TCCCTCTAGTGGGGAGGGCCTTCTGCCAACAGTGGTGTGAGCCAGGCATTGCAGGCTGCACATGGACAGGTGACTGGACTGTACTTGTTGGGTTTGCAGGGTATCTTTTGACATCGTGCTTTGCATTGTAATCGTCTACTTCGGAAAAGTTTATAAAAAGTTTCGCAGCAACAGTCTGTGAAGGGTTCCATTGTGTACCTTAGCGCAGCGCTTCTAACAGAATGTGCAACATATTGATAAACCGCGGGCAGGGGATTGTATCTGAAAACAACTCAAAGGGATTTTTCGATTTAAAGCTTTCGTGACTGCAGGGATTCATCTTCTTGGTTCTTTCGGTAAAGTCGGTCGCAGTTGCTTTCATGAAGAACACCGCGTGATGGAAACATCTCGTAATAAAGAGTACATAGTAAAGCACAGACCGCGGTAACACATGAGGTGCGTACGCAGGCTGAACAAAGACTTAGTGCGCGTGGGTAGTAGCATCTCGAAGCATCCAGCAGCATCCCACTGCTTTGCGCGACGCTACGACGAGGCAGACGTACGACCGCTTGTTCCTGCTCGCGTCACGTTGTTGCGTTCGCTCAATGGCGTTATTTCCAATTTGCATCCGCGTTGTAAAAAAGCGTTATAGGAGAACAGACTGCATTATCACCGTGAATACCCCCACAGTAATAACCAGGGTGGCCGCTGAATTCCAACCGTGCACCTCTGCGACGAGCGGCAATCGCGCTGACGCCGAGTCGCCGTGGGACGTGGTGGGGCTCATCTCTGCTGGCAATCGTGAACCAGTGGCAGTAACTTCCACATTCCTATGGCAAATCCGTCAGCGTGTAGCGTTCGTGGGGGGGCGTTCGGATTGAGCGTGGGGGTCACGAAAAGGACCAGGGACCGCAGCGCCATTGAGAGAATGAAAAGGGGGCGCTGTGCAAGGAAGGTGGGAAAAGGGGGTATCGGAGGTTTGGATGGAAGACCCAGAGAGATATAATTTGGGGGTATAGAGGAGGAGGTAGATGAGGGGAGCAGATACAAAGCGGAGGGGCTCTGGGGAAGAAAAGGTCGGTTGCCAACAACCGTGCTCATGCCCTGCCAGTGTTCGTGCCGGCGTCGCTGGAACAAGAACGTCCCCTCGCCAGCACGCTCGTAAAGCATTCGTACACAAGGAGGTTGGCCAAACATCCCAATGTAGGACCTCAGAGCTTGGGCAGATTGCCGGCAGCGACGGCTCCGGCTGCCTCCCCACTCGGCGTCCATGCAGACACCGTGCTGCGCGTCGACGCCCGTGTTTTGAAATAAATAATCATCATTATGGACAACTCAAAGGTCAACAAACCATGAGAGTAAGCTGTTTCGAGAAAAGTTTCAGTTCAACATTGGCCACATACTTAGTCTCCAATCAGTTTACACCATAATGGCTAACGAATGCCCAGCATAATTCTGCCTGGACTTTGTCCACTAGGAGCCTCTGCGATCGACTCACTGCAAGTTTCCGTGAGGTCGCAGAAGAGAAACAAAATAAAAATCGTAAAAGGAGCCGAATAATAGATGCGAGGCCATTCGCCAAATATTTCGGAGATATTTTCTTCAAATTGGGTCGGAGAAAGAAAGGCACGGACAGAGACGGGAAAGTATTTGCCGTCTCCGATGATGCCACGGTCACATAACCTCCATCGGAGATGGACGGCAGGACACGGTTGAGGAACTCGACAGAGAGGATGCGACGGAGTCTGACTCAAGAGAAATACGAGCAAAACAGAATCAGGTGGCTGAACAAGCGGGGACGACCGTGGGAAGGACGCACTCCGCAGAACACAGCAGACTGTCCTGTCTGCAGGGTAGGGGCATCGTGTTGGCTGCTAAGAAAATCCTCTGGGTCTGGGCCGGAGCGGTCGCTGTGTGAGACGACAGCTCCCAGACGAGACCGACGATGGACGAAATGGCAGCCGGAGGAGGGAACAAGGAGATGGAGCGATTCAATTGGTCCATGCACGGGAGTGATGCGGATTGCGGCTTCGTGGACTAGCCGTGAGGGATAGTGACGGCTTCGGAAAGGTTTCCCGCAGCACTGCAGAAGTCGTGGCTGTCGACAATGATGATTGTAGGTCGGGGACCGCCAGGACCTCTCTCCCTCCAGCCACCCGTCAGGCCGTGCAGCTCTTAGCGCACAGCCACTCCTCAGCACAGCCAACTGAGATCGAGGGCCGCTACAATGATGATGATGATGATCGTCGTGATGGTGCTCTAAGCCATTGGTGCAAGGTTCGTGCGAGTGTTTATTTGACGTTGATCGGCAACACGCCGGTGTTGTGTGGTCGCACGATGACGCGACTGCGGTGAAAGCTGAGAGCCCGCGACGGGTGGTTTACTGCGTGGGCGTCGGTGAGGCCTGGGCCCCGGGGGGAATCTCGATGGGGCAAAGTTTTTGTGGCAAATTCTCGCCCTGGCAAGTCGCAAAACGGTGACGGTAGACCACCCCGAACGCTCCCGCTGAACAACGGGGAACCCATCGCAAAGGCAATGCGTGGGCAGGGTGCAGTCAAATGGAACCCGTGGTAGCCACTGGGAAAGTGAGTTCTGGAAGCAATGTTAAAATATGATGAGGCCCCATGTTTAGAATGTTTTTGGGCTAAAACAACGCCGTTGCAGCACATGCACGGGTTAATGTCTCACGCAGTATTTTCTGGAACGCTGCTCGGGATGGCTCAAGAGTAGGGATTGAAGGGACTATCACGAGAGCACAAGGTATGCACCGAACCAGAATGTTTATTTACGTTGTTGTATCCCGTTTTTAAATAATCTTCAGACACAACGAGGAAGAGGAAATCGGGGTAGCTGGGGGTGGCTGGGTGCGGCTGGGGGTGGCTGGGTGCGGTTGGGGGTGGCTGGGTGCGGCTGGGGGTGGCTGGGTGCGGCTGGGGGTGGCTGGGTGCGGCTGGGGGCTGGGTGCGGCTGGGGTGGCTGGGTGCGGTTGGGGATGGCTGGGTGCGGCTGGGGGTGGCTGGGTGCGGCTGGGGGTGGCTGGGTGCGGTTGGGGGTGGCTGGGTGCGGCTGGGGGTGGCTGGGTACGGCTGGGGGTGGCTGGGTGCGGTTGGGGGTGGCTGGGTGCGGCTGGGGGTGGCTGGGTGCGGTTGGGGGTGGCTGGGTGCGGCTGGGGGTGGCTGGGTGCGGCTGGGGGTGGCTGGGTGCGGCTGGGGGTGGCTGGGTGCGGCTGGGGGTGGCTGGGTGCGGTTGGGGATGGCTGGGTGCAGCTGGGGGTGGCTGGGTGCGGCTGGGGTGGCTGGGTGCCAAAATTATTCCCGAAAAACGACGTTCCGGACTGTGCCCCCTGAAACAATGGTTATACACGCAGTATGGTGATGTCATGTGACATGCAATGCATGATGGGAGGACTAATCATATGGTCATAAATGTCTCGAAATCACCTTGCGTGTGTTGTGGTGGTGGTGGTGGTGTTGGCCTGTGACACGGCCCAGCTTTAGCGTAATTGCTGCTTGTTGCAGAGGTTCGTGGTTTGAAACCAGCAGGCCACCCTGGTTATTTCTGCAGGTATATTACTACACGCCATCTGCCTCATCTTGAACTTTAAAGATCTCGTGACGTTATTCGCAAGAGTAGGCCATTGTGTGCCGGCGTCACGGTCCAAAATTTTAAACGTTACACTACAAGTTTCTCAATTGGGATTCCACACACAGCAGAAGCAGCAATCAATCTCTCCGCCTAAGGACATCTATATCGCTGTCATTCATTCCTCAATCCTTGCACGCTCCTGCCATCTCAGTAATTATGTTCGTCATCGTTTTCTAAACTGCGTCAAGCACCTTGAGTGAAGGCGCTCTATACATCAAACATTGCATCCGAGTAGAGTAGGCGGTATCACTCCCAGCATACTCTGCTTCTCATAATTCCCTTGCTTCTTACGACGCCCTCCTTCCCCAGCATATCTACCTCCCAGCATGACGTGTGTCTGCCCCCGCCTGCGCGAGCACCCAGCAGCGTGCGTGACCACCCTCGTCGGCACGCCATCGCACTCCCCTCTGTGCAGCGATCTTGGCAGCGGCGTAGCTGCCCACTCCGCAGGCGGTGCAACTGCTACGACGAGGGAGATGGGGGGCGGTGGCCCGCTTGACCCCCTGCACCAGGGACGACGCAACACCGTCGAGTGGGCCTAGGCATAGTAGTAGAACTGCACTGTAATAAAGTTCAACGCAGCATCACCGGCACTGGATCTCAGCGCAAATCAATCCCTACCACCACCCAGACATGGATGCCAATTACCAAACTGTCCCGGTAAACCCCGGCTATGGGGGCAGCGCCAGGCCTCGTCGATGTGCAATGCAAACCTGCATAGAATGAAGCGATGAGCTTCGCAGGTTTTCCCCATTTGCACAGCGTGGGTGAGCGCCGGAGCAGAATGCACGATGCCCATTCTGTTCAACGTTTAACAGCCTGTGTAATTTTATATCATTACTAGGTTGTTTACTCAGGAGGCCTCATTGAGTTCACGGCTCTTTCTCAGGAGGGTCCTGCCAGGTGCTGTGTTGTTCTTGAGCTGGATGAGGCCGAGCTTCTGCACAGCGCTCCGTGTGTTGTTAAATCTGATTGCATCCGGCCTGCATTGGTCACTGTGATGTGACGGGTTTTTCTTGTAATTTAGAAATTTGCATGACCGTTGCCTTTAGGCAGTGCTAAAAGGGTCCCCGTAGTTTAAAGGTACGAGCCCTTCCCACACAGAGGCATGTCACAGCGGTGAACATTGATTACTGTGCCACACTGATGAGTCGTAATGAGAACGAAACCGCTCACAGAGTTGTCTTTGTTTCGCTGCTGCCAGTTGGAACGGCCACATTTTTCTCAGCCCTTTGAGTCCACTGTCTAAAACCACAAAATGGCCACACGTTCAGTTCCTTTGCGCTGATGGTCTGGTTAAGGCCGAGGACTTGTTGTGCACACGGTGTTGCACACGCTCCCCTGCGTGTCATTGAAGCTGTTTTGTTTTCCTGCAGAAACTCAAGCGCAAGTCTGTGAAGCATCGCAATGACCGCTCCTTCCCGACGGCGGCCGGCGAACTCCCGGAGAACAGCAAGAAGAACCGATACAAGGACATCCTCCCATGTGAGTGGCGAGAACACCATGCCGCGCCACCGACTTCCGCTGCCACTGAAACCACACAGCACATTTCCTGTTCCCGTTGTAATCTATTTTAATGTGTTATTATTCTTCATAGATATTTGGGTCGGGCCACTCTACGTGATCATCTGACCAAATTTGTATCGTCAAGACCCTCCACCACCCGACACGGCCAACAAGATTAAAGGGCGCTCAAGGCTTTAACGACGAGCTAATTGTCATAAAAAAAATTTACTGGGTAAAAAAATGTGTGAACAATTCTCACAAACAAATGTTGTGGCAGTTAGACACGACGATTCTGTTTGAGACTACTAACTCCAAACCTCGTAGGGGCAAGTTCCAGGAATTCAGACTAAAAATCCCTTAGATTTGGCTGCTATGACAACGTGCTGCACTCATTCGGCATGTTAGATCGTTAAACATAATTAAGAGCCACAGCGCTAGGCTTCACGAGTTGCATCAACTGCATTGGCGTCTTTTTAGGGTTGCCACGCGTCCAGGTTGAACCGCGTACGGTCCGGGAATTGACGTCTGTGTTCGGTCGGCAGGAATTGATTTGTACCAAAGTCTGGTACCAGTAAACTGCACAGTTGCGATAATAGACTGAGTGTTGCCTGATAAGATAGATGTATTTTATTTATTTCAGCAGTAAGGGCCCAATACGCTGTTGGGCTCTATATTATGGGTGTTGGTTCGAATGTTGACCATTACAGATCTTCGGTACAAACATGGGTGCATAGGTCACGATACAAACGGCGAGTATCAGAACACGCTTCACAAGTTACAGGAATAGGGAACTGGTCGAAAACATAACAAAAATAGACAAAGCATGACTAGATTTGTTTCATGAACATAAATAAAGTGGAAAAATGTAATTCAACAAAGCAAACACAAAATCACCAGTAATTAAGTACGCTCCAAACAAACTCGCACTTTTCTACCGATATTTATTACAGCTATGAGGAAGTTGAGTTTCTGGAGTTGTTCGCAGGATTCCCACGGTCAGCAATTATTGAATTGCGAAGTCGAACGCGAGAAATGTGCCCGGGTTTGGTCGACAACAGCTTCTTCACTCGTCACGCTGCCATTGTGAGCCGTGTCCCTCCACCACCGTATCTGTCGCTGAACTCGGTTATCCTCGTGTTTATTTTCAGATCGACGTGGCAGCCTCATTTGTTAAGATCAATCATCTTCTGGAGTTAATTTTCCAGTAATTTGTTACCGCATTTTCTGTAGAAATAGAATCTGTGTATTTTACAGGTTGTAAGAGGAACTTTTTCTTCCCCTGCACTTTAAAGCAAGCGTAATAATCTTCCAGGAGACGGCTTCGGAATCAGTCCTTTTTATTTCCACTCCACCATACACTTTCCTCACTCACTCTCCGTTGCTGGCAGACAACGGAGAGAGGACAGACTACGCACGAAGTCCCCTTCGCGCACGTGGCAACCCGAGGCCCCGTCCGCGCGTGACCTTGCTCTTGTTAGATTCAGTCTGCTCGCGATCGTTCCCTCTCGCTCGCTCTTAAGACCTTCGTCACGTGGTTCCCCCAGCCAATCGTGTATGGACAGCTTCGACCCTTCTCGATGGTTCCCTGTCAATCCCGGGACCACGCCCCTCATCCGGCTCCCCATTAGCTGGGGCCCCGAATGGCTAGGCCAATCACTTCTGATGACCTGTCGTGATGACGCATGGGCCATGGTCCCAATCTCAACCCTTATTGGCTACGAGCAGGACCGGCAAGCCAATCCCCACGTGAACCCTCTATGGCTGTTATTACACAAGCATTGGAGTGAGCTGCGTCGTATGCCCACGTACTGTATTCTATTTTACTAGGTGAGGCCCACTGAGCTACATAGCTCTTTTCAGAAGCGACATGGCCACAAATGATAGCTCATCAAAGTGGCTTATCATGTGGAAATGTACAGCAGCCATATATTCTGAAAGCATGTTGAGTAAATTTGGAGGGAAAAACCAGACGACCCGGAGAAAAATCCACGCGACCACGGGGGGAGAGACATGCAAACTCCAATATACAGGCATCAGAGTCGGGATCGAACCCACGTCCTCCGGCATACCAGACGAGGTAGTAAACATCTCGCCACGGCGGCCCCTTCATGTGGGTGAGGGCCCAGGATGCAAGATTTTAACCCCGGAGTAAACAAACGACGAATGGATACGACGTGTTTGGGGTCCAGTTGTTCAGAATCGCCTTCAAGAAGACGGTGACTCCGTAGCGGAACCACTCTGATCTCCTGATCGTATGACGCACTTCTTACCCAGCGTCCACTCTGCATGTGTCGTAACTTTATATTTGACTGCCGTGTTTCGCGCTGTCCCACGACGTTGTATTTCCTGGATTCATATTTTCAAAATGACCCACAAAATGAGCCCCAACTCTCACGCGTTTATTCGTGACGTTGCCCGTTCGTGTTTACACTTTAATTTCTCAGATCAAATTTTTAATGAAAAATGTTTCAAGTGTTGCTGCTGCACATCGCCCTGGTGGCTCAGAGCGCCTCGCCCCCTTCCTGCCGCTCTGCTTTGTGTTCGTTACTTCGTGCAATCTCAGAGCGGCAGCTGTTCTGTCCCTATAAACGGCGTTAATAATTTCTAGGTGTTGCATGCAGAACATGTGTACCGAGGGTGATTGCTTACGATGGACTGGGATCAGAATGATGATTTTGAAAAAAAACTATTTCTTTATAAGAAGCAACATAGCGATGTGCCTCCAAGAGAAAATTGTATGAGAGAGGCCATCTAACAAGGCATTTGGCCTACTCTTAAACACTGGCCAGACAGACGTCTTGGGATATATTGGGAGCACCTCACACTTTCCCCCACCACACGCAACCTGCTGCCAGAACTTCGGCCCTCCTGTTCACGCTGCGGGGTGGAGATTTAAGACATTTGCCCCCATTCTTTCAACCGTCTCGCCGGGAGATCGGACCGAACCGGTGACCTCTCTGGATAGCTGGTCCAGTGCACTCTCGTAACACCCTCTGCAATGTACAGAGTCGGTAACATATACAGTATATGGGCAGTGGCGTAGTAACGACATTGTGTAACAATTTGTTTTTTGTCCCTGGCTAGTAAGTGTTATTTCCTAATTGCTTATGCCTCAAAAGTACAGAAAATGGCTATTATACCCCACAAACTTTGCTTTTGTGACCAGGACAGTGATATTTAGAAATTTACCTATTTTCCAGAACATTCCAGATAGATTCAGTGCTGAGTAAACTTGGAGTAACTTCTAGAACATTCTAGAACTTTCCAGTAATATAAATAATAGTATAAATACAGGGGCCTTAAGCCCACCAGTTCAGTTTAGTTCCAACTGCCTAAGTGGATACATATCTGAATTTTTCTGAGATGGTATCAAGAGGCTGCAAGCATCCGGCAGACGCATTTTGCTATGTCTGCGGCCAATTTATCAAGATAATAGTGAAAAAGTACTCTGTGGAAGCATCTGCTAAAATGTGTGAGGCATACAAGGCATATTTCGGCATGCCTGTCGGGGATTAAGACAAACCCTGGGCACCTCATTTCACCTGCGAGCAATGCAAAACAAATTTGTTGAAATTTTAAATATTGTAAAAGTTTTTAATTTTTAAATGTTTTACAATTTTCAATGTTATTGAAAAAATATATCATATATAAAAAATGTTGCACATTAGTCATGGGTGAAATAAATGTATTTTTGTAGGATGGTACAGAGGGGAAAAGAGAGCCATGAAGTTCGCTATCCCAAGTATTTGGTGGGAACCCACTGACCACTCAAACAACTGCTACTTCTGCATGGTGGACCCATCCAAACGTCGGACTGGCAAGAATGCACCTGCTATCACATAACTTGACCTTCCTTCATCCATCGCCCCGGTGCCACACTGCCATGAGCTCCCGTACCCACTCCTCCGGTGCAAGAGCAGCCGTCTTTAGAAGAGCAGCAAGTCAGAGAGCGAGGAAGACGTTGTAGATCCAGATGACAATTTCAGAGGTGGAGCTGAGGAGAGAACAAACAAAAATACCTCAACGACTTGATCAGAGATATTGGTCTCACCAAGTCCAATGCCGAGCTTTTGGCGTCTAGGGTCAAGCAGTAAAACTTGTTGGATGAAAGTGTGCAAGTCGCAGATCAGAGGAAGCGTCACCAACCTTTTTGCAGCTTCTTCACCCGTCAAGATGGGCTCTGCTTCTGCCACAATGCGACCAGTCTGTTCGAGGCAATCGGAATCGTCTGTAACCAGAATGAGTTGCGCCTCTTCATTGACAGCTCATCCAGGAGCCTCAAAAGCCGTACTGCTCCATAATGGTAACAAGTACCCGTCTCTTCCCCTGGCTCACTCGGTGCACCTCAAAGAGGATTACAACAGCATCAAGACCTTGCTGGACGCCTTGAAATATGATTAGTACGGCTGGGAGGTCATCGGAGACTTCAGAATGGTGGCATTCCTGACGGGTCTCCAAGGCGGTTTTACCAAGTTTCCCTGCTAGTTTTGCCACTGGGACAGCAGGGACACCAAGGTGCACTACCACAGGCGGGACTGGCCACAGCGGACCAAGTTCTTTGTGGGGAGGAACAACGTCAAGTGGGAGCCACTGGTGGACCCCCAGAAGGTGCTGATGCCACCACTGCACATCAAATTGGGCCTTATGAAACAATTTGTCAGAGCTGTAGATAAGGAGTCGGCAGCCTTCAAGTACCTTCAAGACTTCTTCCCTAAGCTGTCTGAGGCAAAGGTCAAAGCCAGTGTTTTCGTCGGACCACAGATAAAGAAGATATACTGGACTTTGAAGACTGCTACCAAGGACAGTATAACGAGAACATGATGGGAGACTACATTTGTGGGCTGATTCGTAAAAGTGATTTACAGTATAAATCTCGAAAAACTACTCACTTCTAAATATTTTGTCGTCATCTTTGTATTACTTTAGTATGAATACGTGTTAATTTTGATTCATATGTTGTTGTTTTCTGACTTTATGTGAACGAAAACACACAAATTCGCCCGTTTTCTCATTTATAATAGGTACATTTCAAAATATCACTGTCCTGGTCACAAAAGCAAAGTTTATGGGGAATAACAGCCATTGTCTATACTTTTTTGGCATAAGCAATTACAAAATAACACTTCCTACCCAGGGACAAATATTGCGTTACATCGTGTTATCAGCTCAGGGGGTGTGGCAATCGGTCAGGTGGGGCCCCAAGATTGTATTTGTGTCGCACGGTGACACCACACGTCGCAAATGGATTCGGACTTCACTCTGGCATCCGCTGGTTTGGAGCGCTCCAATATTCATGTTTTGGTTCACCCAACAGCACCGGAGTGGCTTTCAGTGAACGAGCGCTCAGCCCGTGAGAACGAAGTGTTCACACCTTGTACCTTCCCGGTATTCTCCCCAGCCGGGAAGTGAGGCTCTGCTTGTCTACCTGGTGACACTGGGATGACAACGTAGAAACAAACGTACGTTGCACAATTTGCGGCCAAACGTTACTGCACTAATTAAATTAAAATTAAATGTGGAACGTAAATGAAAGCATTTTTTTTTAAAAAACGTTTTAAACTGTTTTAATTTTTATTTTATTTTGTACTGTTGTTGAAACCACATCTCATGGTGGTTGTCAAGGGGGCCCCAACTCGTAGCTTTGCCCACCGGGGGGGGGTCTAAGGCCCCCCCTGCCTGCCCCTCGCTTCGCTCTGGTACTGTATATGGGCAATGTTGTATCAGTAAAACTCTTTAAAGGGAAGCGGCAGTGTAATTCTGAGAGAGCCGTGCTACTAACGCAGCGAGTTCGATTCCCGTTCATAACCAATAACAGTGACGAATATCTGAAGCGGTCCTGCCCCCCCCCCCCAGGTCGACTCAGCCTTAAATGAGTGGTGAGGTATGTAAACATCAGCGGTGGGGAGAGAAAGGCGACCGGGCATGGTACTGGCCACCCACCCCCTGGTGTGCCATGCCAGCCTTCGTAGGTGCTATTCGTGAACAGCACTTGCCCTGACAGTCTGCTAAAGGCTACACAGGGCACCTTTGTGTCGGTCCCTGCAGTGTGTGAGTTGCGCAATCCGGTCGTCATATTTGACGCGCAGTGTGATGATATCAGCAGCTTGAAAAAGAGTTCCTTGTGTGTCACTTCTGCTCCCGCGTTTTGTTCCTCTTGTAGTTTGTCATTCGTTTGCTAGATTTCATCATCATCTCCTCGTCGACGATGAGAATCTTAAATCGTGTCCCATTCCTGATGACGTCAGGAATGCTCGCCGATCGGCATTGGCTTCCAGTTGCTGAATGAATATGTAATAAGGTCGCACTCATGCCACACAAAGTGCTTGCCATAAGAATGACAACACCTTGCTGATCTCGTCAAGGAGCATGACCCATCACGTGAACTCCGGCCATGGAACAAAGACGGTAACTCGCGTAGTTTCAGATGCGTTTCTGCATCTTCTGATATTAGGAAGCCATCGGAGCTATGCTCTGTTATATCGAGATTGAAAACTAATTTGTTTGGAACTGGTTTTTGTGTTTAGTTTGCTGTCCTTCCCCCCGCACATGTGATTAGCACGGTTGGCTACGTATGGTGCAAAAGAAGTTAAACATACGTTTCATACACAACTCCAGCAGCATTAGTTCAATGCGCGCAACCTCCTTACCGGGTCAGACACAATTCAACATTCCATCAGCAGACGCATGCTTGCTGGAAACTGCTACGGTCAACATGCCTACAAGAGTTTGGTGATTTTGGATTGTCAGTTCTCCCAACGTGAGTCACGAGTCTTCTGAACATTACAACTTTCATAATAATTCATAATCAACGTTTATGGGTTAGATCGCGTTATTTAGAAATGTGTCGTAACCCTCCACCACCCGACACGGCCAATCAGCAAAAAAGTGTCACTTTGACAAAGACAAATAGTTCACTGCTTTAGCCCACCGGTGTGTTGAAGCGTGAAACCACAACATTTACAATTTTTGAGTACGACGTTTCGCTGGTAATTGCATCCAGCATCATCGGGCAATTCGCCAGAATGGTGAGGCTCTGCTCTTGCTCCCGGTCTTAAATAGAGCAGCAGCAGCAGGGTGACGTAATCATTTAATTTATTCAGGTGCAATGATTTGAGGCAGAGGGGGGGTATTGTAATTATATAAAAAAAAATGATAATCAGTCAATTATATTATTGGTTCTTTCGGTAAAGTCACGTAGAAGGGAAATAATAAAATAATACGAATATAAAACAAAGAATATGAATCCCTGCAGTCACGAAAGCTTTAAATCAAAACCAGTCAATTGTTACGATTAGTAATGATTCTAGATTTGAAGCTTTCGTGACTGCAAGGATTCACACTCTTATGTTTTTTTCTGGAAAGTCACTTAGGTAAAAAATAAATAATTTATTATCATTAATTTATTTTTATTATTTCTATTGTTTTTTTTACCTACGTGACTTTACCGAAAAAACCTAAGAGTGTGATTAGTAATGAGTTGTAGATTAGTAATTGGTTGTAATGTGTTTAATTGTAATGATATGCTACGTTAGTAATCAGTTAATTAGTATTTGTTTCCCCTATAAGGAATTGTAATATGTATTATTTAATAATACGCTTCCAAGCCGTCATAAGGTTAGGAGAGATTTTACAGGTGGTGATGCCTTCACGTAAAGTCAGTTGTCAAAGTCGGTCGCAAAATAGTCGTAACTTGACAAGGACACCGGCATTGCCTCTACAATGTTTGAATTGAATGTTTGAATGTTTTAATGGCCATTCTGGCTCTTACTGAAATTGCTGCCCTGCCAGGTCCCACGCCATTCAAATCTCTAAACGATGGGAACCCCCAATCTGCCGCCGCCCGTTGGGACGGCCGCGTATTCTCAACTCTCCGAGTCGATGGCGTCGACGACAAAATGGGCCATGCGTTCAGTTCTTTCGAACTGGTGGTCTGGTTAGGGCTGAGTGAGGGCTTCTGGACATGCAATGCGTGCACCGCCTTTTGCGTGTCATTAAATTATCTTAGAATTTACTAACAATTTTTCTTCATCAGGCCCCTGGCCAATAACAAGGCCTGTATCAAGGCCCGAATCAAGAAAACGAGATCTACGTCACTGAGCGCATGACCTCTGCGTGTGTCTTTGTGTTTCCGCCATGTCTCTGCAGTCGATTACTCACGAGTTGTCCTCAGCTTACAAACCGACGAGGCCACGTCTGACTACATCAACGCGAACTTTGTTCAGGTGAGCCCGATCACGGGACTCGGTGGTGGCCCCCGTGTCCACCGTCTCACCGCCATGGCCCTGCACTCGGGGAGGGCCTCACCACACTAGCTCAGGGGTCGGCAACCAAAACAACAACAAGAAGAGACATTTTATTTGAATTTGTAAAAAAAAATCCCTGAATATTTCAAGAGCCGCAATGCAATGTGAATACCAGATGGTCGAGGCAGTCCTTAAAGAGCCGCATTCAGCTCCAGAGCCGTAGGTTGCCGACCTCTGCCCTAGTTTCTCTGCTTTGGGATCATTTAGATTTTACCAAAACGCGCTCAGGCGCACAGCGCGTGTTCCAGAGCCTTGTCCAGACCGCCAACTCAGAAGCCACGTTTTTGTTGTTGGATCACCAACTCAGTGCTGCCTAAATGCAACAGTAACTGAAATCAATAAATCTTTGTGATGGGTTTTCTCACCGTTTACACATGCTAATTGTTGCTTTTGTTTCTCAAGTTGTAAACGTGGAGTTATGGATAAACGTCTTCCAGCGCTTTGCTTGTAGATCGATGGTGAAAACAAACATCGTTCACAAGACGTTAATACGACTATCGGGGACAGGATGGGGAGGCGTTCATCTAGCAGTGAATAAGACATGGCCCACTATGTTTGAAATTCGACGATCCGTCAAGGCCTCTCTCGCGAGCAATCATAACCACAAATAAACTCCGTTCAACAGGTTTCCGCGCTATCCAGGTCAGCTGTCACCCTCAGTGAATTAACGTGCGTTTTAGAAAGGGGCATTTGCTTTGCTGACATTCAGTGCATTACTCATCCTCGTGCTGCTTCATCATAACAGGCCGAACGGTCAACATCGGTGAATGAGTCAGTGGGTCTTGTGATTTCATAAAGAGACCTCTCAAAATTCAATGCTATTGTAGGGTCATTGCACAAATATATCTGACTGGTACTGGGTACATCAGGATGCCAGTTAGCGTAGGTTTACAAATCCTGGTTGGGGGTTGACTCAGCCGATCTTCACTCCAGGGTTGATGGAATGAGTCCCATAACATAGGGGGGGAAAGTAAACAATGGTTGGCCGAGGGATAGACTAACCCCACGCCATAGGAATGTGGAATTTCCACCACTGCCTGAAGGGTTGTAAACAGGAGATAAGTGCCGCCTCGATGCTCAAGTTGTGATTCGTGCGCGTGATCCCGCCTCCGCGCGTCGCCCGCATGTGGCCCCGCAGGGTCTGAACGGGCCCCGTACTTACATCGCCACTCAAGGGCCTCTCGCTCACACGGTCATCGACTTCTGGAGGATGATCTGGGAGTACGAAATCCAGGTAGAGACACAGCTGCACGGTGATGCTGGGGACTACAATGCCACGGTGATCTGGGAATGTGACATCCAGGTAGAGACATGGCTGCATCATGATACTGGGGAGTTCAATGTCATGGTGGTGATGCGTCTGCCCAGGCCTGGAGAGTCATGAATTTCCCTAAATAAATAAATAAAAGTGTATGTACGTCATCCCTCCCATATCTGCCTCTTTCCAGAAAATTTCCGACTATTTTTTACACATCCCCATTAGCTTCATGGCCTTCTGGGAGCGCATATATAAATATATAATTTCAGCAGCGTTGGTTTCAGACAAGTAAACTCTGGACCAGTTTTGAGATTTAGTGTCTCATCAGCAGTCAGTCTTGCTTGAACCAATGCTGGAGAACAGCCTGATGTTTTAGGCAAGGACCCTCTCTGTTCGATGTGGGTCTTAGTTCGACGTAAAACTAGATAATGCACAATGCAATTATAGATTTTGGAATGAGACCACGAAAGACTAGTAGTGGTAATGTTGTGTTGTCAGTGCGTCATCTAATTACGTTACTAATAATGTCCTGGGTGAATACTTTCGTTTTGATTACATACAGAAATTATTCTGTAAACTGGTTTAAAAAACAATGGAAAGGGGAAGCATCATCTTATCATCATCTTATCAGCAGCATTGATCGCTGTAACTACAGCAGCGTCCACGGCCGTGCCGAGCCATCCCAGCGCAGCTCTGGACGTGCCGGGTTGTTTTTCCACTGCATAATGCGAGTCGCGCCGCTGACATCCCACGCAGCGAACGAGCGATGCGGCGACGCCATGCCCCCACGGCGTACCGACTGGCGCCACGCGCAGTGAACGCACCCTTAACCCCGCCTCTGGCCCTGCTTGGCTCAAAGCCAGAGTCAGACTTCTCGCAAGGCCATCGTGGCACGGTTTGGTTCTGGCCCGGCATGGTAAATAGCCAGTGGAAAAACCACCCGTACCGTAAGAGCCCCGTGCTGGCTGAGCTCAGGTGTGCCAGTAGCAAAAGGGTTTTAGTGGCCGGAACCAAGTCTCACTGCCCCTGCTTCTAGAGTACTGATGTTTATGCACCGCAGCACTAATTATAATTACAGTAATTTAAGGCTGAGTGGAGTCAGGGGAGGCCCAGATCAGGTTCAGACACAAGTAGTGAGCACCCAATCATCACATGTGAAGTATGGGAATTGACGGCAGGAACTTCTTGACGGGAACACACTTTTTATTAAATCTTTACGTGTCAAAATACAACGTGTAGTCTCCTTTCTTCCGACTTCACACTCCACTACTCTCGTGTAAACTCTAGGCCTCTGGCTACACACGATACCCTTCACTCGTGTAGACCCTACGCCTCTGGCTACACAATACACTCGACTCGTGTAGACCCTATGTCCCTGGCTACACAATACACTCGACTCGTGTAGACCCTATGTCCCTGGCTACACAATACACTGCATTCGGCTCGTGTAGACCTTACGCCTATGGCTACACACACTACACTCGCCTCTGGGTTACACAGAGTCCCGGTCCCGTTAGGACAGCGGGACTAGGTACCGCAGGGCCCTAGGTCTTCATCCCCGTCTTCATTCTTCGCTGGTTACACACTGCCCTCACGCCTGTGTGCATCCCCTTTTATAGCCCCTGCTCACGAGAGGCGGAGCTGATGCGTACTTCAACGTGAGCATCGCTCCTTAATGAACCAATCACGACGCACTCTCTCTACGATCCGTTTTCCCCAGCGCGTGTTAACACTCCTCCACCAATCACACCGCGCTGCCACCCGATCACTCCCTCTCAGCACGTCACCCGTCCACAGCCAATCAGTACCCCGTAACCCACGACCCCGCGCTGACCCCTGATCCTCCACCGTCAGCGCACGTCACCACCTACACAGCCAATCATTACGCGCTGGCATACGATCTCTAATCCCAGCGCGTATCACCTCTACATCACCCCCTCCCACATAGCTTGCAGCCGGCCCGGCTGTTAACCAACAACACAACCTAACGTCAATGCAGTAACAAAGAAACTCCACCTGTCAGTGTGCCCCGTAACGCAACAACAACAACACAACACAACACTTAAATATGAAGCAATATACAGCCCGACGAACAACACAATAAAAGCGAACACCGGAAAACGAACACAATAAAAGCGAACACCGGAAAACGAACGCGCCAAGTGTCTCTGTGACTAAACGCAGTGCCGAGGCGCTCCGGCTGCCTCGACTCCTCACGTGGCAGGTCACACAAAGTAGCGCGACCTAGCGCGAGTCCGTCTGGCCGGTCCGTCGTATGGGACGGGACGTTGGCGACCGTCCGGTGGCTCCGGCCGCTCAAGATCCGGCCGCTCAAGATCCGGCCGCCGGTGGTCGGCAGCTGTCAGTTCCGAGACACCTGGGAGCGGATCAGGCGGAGACATGTGAGGAGCAGGCAAAGACAATTCCCCCTCAGGGTCGCTGGTCACGTCACATGCTCGGCCCTCATGACACAAGGGGAGGCCATACGGAGGCGAGAACGGTTTCAGTCGGGAGGGGTGGACGTACCAACGGCGTTTTCCCCATTTTATCTGAACGCACTGGGGGCGTGCAACCCGCACGACCTCCACGGGTCCCCGCCACGGCTTCAACAATTTAGGCGACGTAGCCAAAGGTGCCTGCGGGCAATGCAGCCAGGCCCTGTCACCTGGTTCCCAATTGTGCACGGACACCTTCCGTGCCCGCAACCGCTCGTTTGCAATTTGGCGAGCCCGTGAATTAAGCCGTGCGGCCTCCCTTGCCTCTGTCAGCTTATGAATATTAAATTTAATATGCTCTGCCAATTTCGAATTTGCTCGTGGTGCGGACAGACCCAGCTGCGTTTCCATGGGCGGGTCGGCTTCCCGACCGTACATCAGATAAAACGGGGAAAATCCCGTAGCTGCATGGGGGGCCATTCTATACGCGGCGAGGACCCCAGGGACCTGCAGGTCCCAATCAACATGTGCCTCACACACCTGCTGGCACAACATAGAAGTCAATGTCCTGTTAAGCGTCTCCACCATCCCGTCTGTCTGCGGGTGGTACGGGGAGGTACGCACCTTCTTGGTACCCAACAGGTCGCACACCTCTTGCAGTAATTTACTCGAAAAATGTTTCCCTTGGTCAGTCAGCAAGCGTTCGGGAGCCCCCTTGTCCAGGACGTAGCCCTGGACAAAGGCGTCCGTCACAGCCGCCGCCGACTGGTTGGCGAGTGGCCACGCCATAGGCCACCGGGTAAAATATTCGACCCCCACCAACAGGTACTTATTACCCCTAGGCGTGACCGGAAAAGGCCCCAGAATATCGAGTGCAACGAGCTCGTTAGTGCGCGAGACCTGGATGGATTGCAGCGGTGGATTAGCTGCCACAGGCGGTGGTTTCCGTCTGGTGCACTCAACACAACCCTTCAGAATATTCACCACGTCACCCCCCATTCCCGGCCAATAATAGTCACGCTGAAGCAGGGCAAGCGTTTTGTTAACTCCCAAATGCAAGAGGCGTTCGTGTGCGGCCAAGACAACCTTCCCCCTCACAGCAGCAGGCACCACAATCGCATGCCGCCGGGACAAACTGTCCCATCTCATCAATAGGCCTTGCTTAAGCTCGTAGGAGCCAGTTCGGTCGTGGTTACCTTCGGAACCCCTCGTCTTGCGGCGCAATGCCAGCAGGGAGCTGTCCGCCATTTGGAGACGGCCCCACTCAATCAATGACAGTGAGAGCAGCGAGTCCTGACCCCCAGGGGTAGCGGGACCATCCCCAATTGGTGTGCTCGCGGCCGCAACCAACGCCTCCCTACCTTCCGTAACCGGCGGTTTACAGCGCGCCGATCCTGATAAGCACGCACATTTGTGACAAGGCAACAATCGCGACAGAGCATCGGCATTTGTGTGTCGCGCGCACAGCGAATCGACCCATTCGAGGTCCTCCTTCGGATTAACGTTTTTCGTGGGGCTCGGATCAGCCTGCGCAACCAGCCGCTCTTCCGCAGGGACGCGTGCCGCGTGAGCTAGCACGGTGCCCTGCTGAATGACGGCCGGCCGCGACCCAGCGTTTAAACCCCTGACAACCGGATCCCTGTCAGCCCCAACCAAAGTGTGAGCCACCGACAAATCGAGACCTCCAACAGCCCTATTAGAAGGACCCAAAAGCGTGCCTTGATCCGAGGTCTCCCTCACCCATGGTTTCCGCAACCGGAGGGGAATTAACATTTGTGAACCCGGGGGCACGTGCACGGTCTGTGTTGCTAACGCTTGTATCGTAGCGCACGCCGTCCGAATTTCAGTAGGGTTCGTCAAAAATGAAATACGGCGACCCGATGGTAGTTCAATGCAACGCTGATCAATGAGAATTTTGATGGGCATTTTTGCCAAAAAATCTGTGCCCAATAGACAAGGAACCGCCAGGGAGGACGAAACGAAAACGGGTCCCGACAATTTGATATCCCCAATGCAAATAGACGCCCTAATCTGACCGATAATGCCCAACGATCCCCCATTAGCGGCGTAAAATGGCACATCCACTGGAAGCAGCGGACGACATTGTACAGGGAGAATGTTGTAAATGAGATCCGATATAATAGTCGCCGATGCCCCCGTGTCCACTAACACCCTGACCTCGACCCCATCAATAGATCCCGTAACGACGGATGAACCCGCTCTGGCAGCCACTATTCTGTGCCCCAACTCCGACCATTTAATGTCTCCCCGGTCCCGGCCGAATCCCCCTCTCCGAACCGAATCCCCGAACTCTACTCGGCTCTCCCCCGCCGCAACGCGACGACCCATATGTGTCGAGTATGCGGGCCGAGCATGTGAGGTGCCGCGACTCGCCGGGGTTTGCAGGGACGACTTGGGGCCTTGGTCGTCGTCCAGCCGCGGTCCCATGGCGCGCTGACGTGGGGCGCGGCAACCGGAGGCCACGTGGCCCCGGAGGCCGCAGTTATAGCAGGTGATGACAGTCGTCGGAGATCTCGGTTGCTCCAGCTTGCGGGCCGCTCGCAGAGGCGAACGACCCCCCGATCTCCAGTCCCCCGGTCGTCCCGCGATGAACGCCTCCTCTCGTGGGCTGACGACTTGGGGCACGGTGACAACTGGGCCCGGAGTTGAGGCCACGGCAGCGTTGCAGACGACTCCCTGTTTACGTTGAAGGACCTCGTGCGCTTGTATGCTTGTGGCGACCCGTAAGGATGAAATATCGGTCTCATCGGCCGTGTTGATGGGGACCCCCAGGTCCTGCGCCAACTTGAGCAGCTGCTCCAAAACCATGGCATCTTGGCCCTCCTCGTCCATACGAGGGAACGCGGCGTCGGCGAGAGCAAGCAACGCCGTGCGGTAGGCGAGCACGGTCTCCGTGTCCGCCTTCCGTCTTGCATAAAAATGATGGCGGCACACCGAGGGAGGACCATAGACCTTGGCCATGAGAGCCAGCGCATCCTTGAGCGTGGAGCGGTCCGACCTGCGTGCGGACGTGAAGGCCGCGAGCGCGTTGTCATCCAGCATGGCAGGCAGTGCCCGCAGTGCCGTAGCGTCGGACCAGGCGGACATCTCCTGATGCGCCAAAAATCTGCGCTGAAATTGGCTCCAATCCCCGCCTTCCGCCTTGAAGGCTGACAACGTGGGAAGGCGCTGCTGAAAGATGAAGTCGTCCTCCTCCTCGTGCTTCCTCTCTGCCGCCCCGTCGGTGTGTAAGATGGCGGCCCCCTCGGCGGGTGTGTGATGGCGGTCCGCCGCGCGCGTTGGTGACGTCAGCGGGCGCGCATGGAGAACCGCTGCCACGTGGTGATGGCCGTTCCCGCCAAAAGTCGGTGCAGATGAAATGGCGGCCATCGCCAAATCGTTTTGGCGGGAATCTGCAGGGCGACCCTGCAGAACGTCGGCCGCCGTTCCCGCTCCTCCCGACGAGCTGATCTCCGCCAGGATGGACGCGGCGGCGAGCAGCAGCTCCGCCAGACGGGAGTGCGCTTCGCGAAGCACGGCGTCAGTCCCCCGTCTCTCGTCCGGCGCCGTCGGCGGATCCTGCCCCGTGGGCAACTCCTCTTCCTCACCCCCCGATGCCAGCTGGCCCATGTCGTCGAGGTTGTCCCCGTGGTCAATCCCGTGGGTCCGACGGTTCCTCCTTGTATCCATGCTTGGAAGACCGTTTCACTTCTGACGCCAGTTGAAGTATGGGAATTGACGGCAGGAACTTCTTGACGGGAACACACTTTTATTAAATCTTTACGTATCAAAATACAACGTGTAGTCTCCTTTCTTCCGACTTCACACTCCACTACTCTCGTGTAAACTCTAGGCCTCTGGCTACACACGATACCCTTCACTCGTGTAGACCCTACGCCTCTGGCTACACAATACACTCGACTCGTGTAGACCCTATGTCCCTGGCTACACAATACACTCGACTCGTGTAGACCCTATGTCCCTGGCTACACAATACACTGCATTCGGCTCGTGTAGATCTTACGCCTATGGCTACACACACTACACTCGCCTCTGGGTTACACAGAGTCCCGGTCCCGTTAGGACAGCGGGACTAGGTACCGCAGGGCCCTAGGTCTTCATCCCCGTCTTCATTCTTCGCTGGTTACACACTGCCCTCACGCCTGTGTGCATCCCCTTTTATAGCCCCTGCTCACGAGAGGCGGAGCTGATGCGTACTTCAACGTGAGCATCGCTCCTTAATGAACCAATCACGACGCACTCTCTCTACGATCCGTTTTCCCCAGCGCGTGTTAACACTCCTCCACCAATCACACCGCGCTGCCACCCGATCACTCCCTCTCAGCACGTCACCCGTCCACAGCCAATCAGTACCCCGTAACCCACGACCCCGCGCTGACCCCTGATCCTCCACCGTCAGCGCACGTCACCACCTACACAGCCAATCATTACGCGCTGGCATACGATCTCTAATCCCAGCGCGTATCACCTCTACACATGCATGGCCAGGTGTCGAACCTACGTCCCCTGATAATTCCTTACAGTGTGCGGACCTCACACCACCTCTACCTTGAAAGGACAAGGGGTGGTGACGTGGCCCAGTGGAGCGAGTTCGTCTCTTGTTGTGGAGGTTTGATTCTGGCAGGCCACGCTGGTTAATACTGTGCTGTGTATTAACCGTAAAATATAATGTTCCCGTCTGCTGCACAGTGGAGCTCAATATGCGGTGAAGTCATTCAAAACGAGTAGGCCATCGCGTACCGGTCCCAATTTGCCAAATTCAAACAATTACGCCGCAGGTACTCAATTGGGATTACACACAGCAGCAGCGCCTTCATTTGTGATGTTGGCCAAGAGCTGTAAGAACCACAGCAGCAATACTAAACGTACAAAATCAAATGACAAATACTCAAAACCCCAATGCATGCCGAGACTGTTTCAGACGGTGACGCTGTGTGTATGTGTGTGTGCACTCTGTTACCTGCCAGGTGATAGTCATGGCTTGCCAGGAAGTGGAAGCAGCAAAGGTAAGGAAATTTCTGCCTCACCAAGACCGACTAGGCCGCACTTCCTGACACTCCAGCAACCGAGCTAATACGTGCCAGTGCCAACACTGGCTCAGCAAAGACGATTGAATCTAGTGGCTGGATAACTGAAACTTATTCACATTTTATAAATTTTTATCTCAATAATGTCACGTGAATCTGAAATGAGGCCAAACAATATGAAACATTTAGTATCTAAAAGTATATATCTTAAACTTACCCCGACAGAAGCCGATTCAGCTCCCGGTATCGCATGCCCACTGCCTGTGACGTCACCACCTCTATGGCATGCCAGGCCGAGGGAGATCTCGGTCGGAAGCTATGGCGCTGTGTGGTGGCATCGATGGGTTTGGGACTTACGTCTCGGAATTATTCGCGTCAATCCAGCTGGCCGTGGTTCTCTGATGAGCCACAATGAGGGCGTAAGCTCATCCATACCTCGCGTGCTGCAGACTGCTCAACGCTTATCAACATCCACACGCTTGTGAGCAGCGTTTTTCAGCGAGTAGAATTTACCGGGTTATTTTATTCGTAATTTCTCGCGTTTTTTGAAAACAGCCCAGAGGCAGGGTCACACACCTCTGCATCATATCAGCGGGAGCTTTAGGAATTTCCATTGAAGCTTCATGATTCTCAGAACCCTAAGTGCAAACACCTGGCTAAGCAGATCCATCTGCCCTCAGCAGCACTTTACCAGATGCCTGTCGCGAGGCTTCACAGTGGCACTTGAACTGTGTTCTGCATTACCCTCCTGCGTGCCAGGCCTCTGTTGGCTCAGTGCCACGTCTGTTGCCAATGGGTTTTTTGCGTGAGATCCGTAACAAGGCTGGCTGGAGACATTTCTCCCCGTTCGATTATAATCCACGATAGGCTGCCTTCGAGGATCTGTGAATTTGGAGGGTTCCGATGAAGTACAATGGCTGTGTACGCAGGGTAGCTCACCCGTAAACGGTTCGCTGTATACGCACCAACGCATTGCAGTTTGGCGTGACGGGAAACGTCTCACGCCCGCGACGGCCCCTCGGGTAGCTCTGCAGGAGAGCGGCGTGCACGCTCTGGGAATGTGGTGGCCACCTGTCCCCCAGGGTTGACCGGTACAGTCCCGACGGCCAGCATGGTGCACGAGATAGTGGGTGACCAGCACCACGCTCGACCACCTTTGGCTCTCTAGTGGCAAAATTTGCACACCATACCAAGTACTCATTCGAGGCTGAGTGGCTCTAGGGGACGCTCAGGACGAGTTCAGATAATCGTCACAGGTGTTGGCCATGAGCCGGAATCAGGTCCCTGAGTTCATAATTCAGCGTGCTAATCCCTGTGCCACCGCTCTCCAAACAAATAGACAAAGGTCCCCCGTGTAGCCTTAACACACTGTTGGGGCAAGTGCTGTTAGTGAGCACCTTTTAAAGGCCAGCACGGCACATGAGGGGGTGGGTGGGTGGCCAGCTCCATGCTCGGCTGCCTTTGTCTCCCCAGTGGCGATGTTTACGCATCGCACCGGGTACTCATTTGAGGCTGAGTCGACCGAGGAGAGGCCCAGGACCGGTTCAGATAATCGTCACCGGTGTTGGTGGCCGTGAGCGGGGATCGAACTCGGGTCGCTGGGTTTGCAGCGCGCTAACTGCTGCACTACCGCTCCCCGCTCCCAACAACACACTCACACGCACTTGTGTGTGCGCAAGTGCGTGTGAGTGTGGACACACGTGTACACGGTGCGTGTGGTTCTTATACAACAAACGTGCGCACGTGCACGCACAGGATGTGGCGTGAGTTGTGGTCTTGGTGCTTGGCTGCAATTCCTGCCGCTTGTTTTGGCGTCGGCTCCGTGGGGCTGTTCTTGATCGCTTGGCGATTGTCAAGGAGGTGATTTCTCGCTTCAGGTTTCCGTGTTTTTCCGTGCCGTTCCCTGCGTCCCGCGAGTACAACTCGGCGCCTCGTCGCATTCAGTAACATTGCTGCTGCTGCTGCTGCTTAACAATCTTCCTGAAGACTCAAGACGCATTTATTCTCCCGACAGTTCGGTTCGTTTTCCCCCCTCATGGCCAGCGATCTCATTATTTATTTTGTGATATGCAGCGTCGTGAGTTCCTTTATAACTGCAGTTTATGATGATTGCCGCTACAGCGGGCATGAGGTGGTGCGGAGTCTCCATCGGCGAGCGTCTCCTCCACGCTCTGCCCAGCGCCTGCTCTCCTGATGCGCTGCTTGAGGCCTGTGTGCTCTACGGACCGCGTGCTGGCAGGGGGAGGAGGGAGGACGACCCGTGCAGTCGCTCCCCGAATAGAAGTTAGACTGCGAATTGTGACCAACGTTGCGGAAGCCTCCCCGTTCAAGTTGATTACCAGAAGAGGAGAGCCCCCGTGAGACGAGATCCCGTTGCGGTAACAAATAAAAGAAGTAAACAAAGACAGGGCGAGCGCAGTACCCAAGGACGCAATAACAGGCGCCCCCATTCCCTGAGGAGCGTTGGGAATATGGGAGCCTTGTTGTGGAAATTCCAGATTAATATCACGGAACCAGTCTCATATTCTTAGGTTTTTTTGGTTAAGTCACGTAAGTAAAACATCAAAATAAAAAAAACCTAAGAATATGAATCTTTGCAGTCACTAAAGCTTCAAATCCGGAACCAGTCTCCTCATGAGATGAGAACTGCTGGCTCCCTACAAACCAGTCCGAGCTTATCCCTCCTGGAGAGACGGTGGAGGTGACCTCTGGTTGGGTTGTGAGCTCACAACGCTAACCAGAGCGCTGTCACCAGAGCTCTCTAACCAGAGCTCTCTAACCAGAGCTCTCTAACCAGAGCTCTCTAACCAGAGCTCTCTAACCAGAGCTCTCTAACCAGAGATCTCTAACCAGAGCTCTCTAACCAGAGCTCTCTAACCAGAGATCTCTTACCAGAGCTCTCTAACCAGAGCTCTCTAACCAGAGATCTCTAACCAGAGCTCTCTAACCAGAGCTCTCTAACCAGAGCTCTCTAACCAGAGATCTCTAACCAGAGCTCTCTAACCAGAGCTCTCTAACCAGAGATATCTTACCAGAGCTCTCTAACCAGAGCTCTCTAACCAGAGATCTCTAACCAGAGCTCTCTAACCAGAGCTCTCTAACCAGAGCTCTCTAACCAGTGCTCTCTAACCAGAGCTCTCTAACCAGAGCGCTGTCACCAGAGTTCTCTAACTAGAGCTCCCTAACCAGAGCTCCTTAACCAGAGCTCTCTAACCAGAGCTCTCTAACCAGAGCTCTCTAATCAGAGATCTCTAACCAGAGATCTCTAACCAGCGCTCTCTAACCAGCGCTCTCTAACCAGCGCTCTCTAACCAGAGCTCTCTAACCAGAGCTCTCTAACTAGAGCTCTCTAACCAGAGCTCTCTAACTAGAGCTCTTTAACCAGAGCTCTCTAACCAGAGATCTCTAACCAGAGCTCTCTAACCAGCGCTCTCTAACCAGCGCTCTCTAACCAGCGCTCTCTAACCAGAGCTTTCTAACCAGAGCTCTCTAACCAGAGCTCCCTAACCAGAGCTCTCTAACTAGAGCTCTCTAACCAGAGATCTCTAACCAGAGATCTCTAACCAGAGATCTCTAACCAGAGATCTCTAACCAGAGCTCTCTAACCAGCGCTCTCTAACCAGAGCGCTGTCACCAGAGCTCTCTAACCAGAGCTCTCTAACCAGCGCTCTCTAACCAGAGCGCTGTCACCAGAGCTCTCTAACCAGCGCTCTCTAACCAGCGCTCTCTAACCAGCGCTATCTAACCAGAGATCTCTAACCAGAGCTCTCTAACCAGAGCTCTCTAACCAGCGCTCTCTAACCAGAGCTCTCTAACCAGAGATCTCTAACCAGAGCTCTCTAACCAGAGCTCTCTAACCAGAAATCTCTAACCAGAGATCTCTGACCAGAGCTCTCTAACCAGAGCTCTCCAACCAGAGCTCTCTAACCAGAGCTCTCTAACCAGAGCTCTCTAATCAGAGATCTCTGACCAGAGCTCTCTAATCAGAGATCTCTAACCAGAGCTCTCTAACCAGAGCTCTCTAATCAGAGATCTCTAATCAGAGCTCTCTAACCAGAGCGCTCTATGTGTGTGTGTGTGTGTCTGTGTGTGTGTGTGTCTGTGTGTGTGTCTGATCCATCAACCCTCGCTGCTGCCTCCACATACTGCATGGCCACCGATATACACTGTACAATATACACGGTACACAGTCGTTGTGAATGGTTGCATGTTTTTTTTCCCTGCAGAGAAAATGTGAAATGTACTGGGCCGAAGAAAACAAGCCCAACACCTACGGCAGTTTCCTCGTGGAGTGTGTGAGTACACAGGCCCTAGGCCACGCACCACCTCACGCCTCCACACGTCGTGATCGCTGCTGCCGGGCTACAGCCCTGATCAGCATATTATAGAAATGTCAACATTTGTATGGTGGGGGTCCAGACTTTGCTAAAACAAGCTCACTACGCATTTTTGCGAAGCGTCATGGGTAAAAAGCAAATATAAGCTAGAACTCTGTTTTGTCCCCATATATGAATACAAACAACAACAACAAGATTTTAGTCCATCAGTGTATTGGCATTCCAGATCAATATTATCAAGCAGCATTTGCTAAAGCAGGCAAGCAAGCACACTCTGGACCGGTTTCCACCTTCTGGTTAAAGACAAGCCGCAGTAGTGCGAGCGATTGTGAGCATGCGACCCACACGACGGTCTGCGCTCCTTCAATGGACGAAGAGCAAAATGACAAACTCTCTTCTGAAGCCCCCTCGTCGTGACCAGTAGCAGACTTAGACATTGGAATCTAGCTCTTGAACTTATCGCTGCCATCGTGCGCAAGAGTAGAACAAGTCAGATGTTTATTTACAAGAGCTGTCATTTCACACGACGCACATCGGTGAGGGTAACGGTTGAGCGATGCGAGTCGCTAATGCTGTGCCGACCGTCCAGGTCGCGCCCGGTGCAAACCCCGCCGACGTCTGTGTGTGCCGTCCGAATTGCATCGGCCGCCGAGTGATCCGCTCGTTTGCCCTCTCGTGCAGGATTCCATGGAGGGGAGCAAGCAAGACAGAGCGGCAATCCCCTCGCAGGCAGGTGGCGTAGTCCAATCTCCCACCCACGGGGGCCCCTCGCGTCCTGGGGGCCGTCGAGCGGCCCACCGGGGGGTACGGCGTGGCCGGGTCGTTGGAAGCGCGCGGCCGCTGTGGGCGATGCGCACCGCAAAGACGGCAGTGCGGTCGCCGCTCGTCGTGGTGGTTCGCGGTTTGAATCCGGCAGGCCGCCCTGGCTAATGCCGCTAGTTGTGCGTTCACCATAAATTCGTGCCATCCGCTTCACGGTCGACGCCAAAGATTCCGCGTCATTCGCAAGAGCAGGCCGTTGCGTGCTGCCGTCGCCGCCCACATTTTTTATCGCACCACGAAATTTCTCAATTCGGGATAACACAGCAATGTCGCCCAGCCCTACCGTGAAACTACTGCAGGCTTTGCCTTTGAAGCACAGCAGCACCTTCGTGATAGCCTTGTAAGAATGGCTCGAATACCATAGGGAAAACTAAAAGTCACCGATTCTTGAATCTAATTGCGACTCCCAACCAATGAGAAGTTCATCTCGTTGTGGCGAGCGCAGTCGTGGGAGTGTGCCGCTTAGCGACGAGCGTCATGCCGGCACTCCTCACAACGTTCCAAAGTAAAGCGACGCTCCTCCTCCACAAATCTTGGGGGGGGGGGGGGGGTGGCGGAACGGCAGGGGGCATCGCCACCGCCGGACGGACCACGGACGGTTTCATCCGAGGATTTTGACATGACACGCGTTGCATGGCTACACGCCTGACGAGGATAACTTTGTCGATTTTATTGTACATGCCTAGTCATCGTGGAATGACTGGTGTAAATTGCAATGCTGTTTTAGAAGGGCTGTACAGCTGAAATTTGGAACACATTTAATTTAAATCTATGCTTCCAAGTTGCAAATACGAAAAGCAGGATAATGTTAATTTCAACTTGGTGGTTGATTAGTTTTACTCATCGGGAAGCTTCGGCTTAAAACTTTAAATCCCTTTAAATCTCATGATAAACACTCACACCAATACTGTCCCAATCACCAGCGAATCGGGTAATTTGCTTCGTATGCAGTGTGATGCTATAGCTGATAGCAATCAGAGAGCCTGCTACCAGTTGCGAGGCTTTGTATACAAGATGTACTGGCCGGCGTGGAAGGGTAAGCGGAGGCCACTTCGAGAGAGGCGCTCGCTTCAGCTCCCTCGAGTGGAGGAGGCCCCTTCCGACGGCAATGGCCGGACCGATTCATCGCAGGGGCGCACCTTGAATGCCTGCGTCACGATTACTCAGATGTAATGTTGCTCTGTCTATTTCCTTTTTTACACACAGGAAACGGACGATGCGTGTAAAGGATACTTTGTTCGTACGCTGAAGGTCACATTCAAAGAGGTAAGGTTAACTGTACGGTGCATTCCCGTTACTGTTCACATTAACGCCGGTCAGGCGTGAGGGTTGGCGGATTGTGCAGGTGTTGTGAAACTGCCGCCCCGTGGGTCTCCACGAATCAGAACCTGGCCCTGCCAGGAGACGGTGGTACAGCAGGAATGTGGACTCCACCTGTTTCGTCTGTATGGGATTGAGTGTTTCCCCCTCGCCACCCGTGGATTTTCCCCCAGTGCTCCGGTTTTCTCCCACACATAAACACTCATTAATTGACCAATAACACCTTATTATGAAGATAGGACCGCAGAGCTTGGGAAATTGTTGGCATCGGTTCCTCCTTGCGCCTCTGAGTCCATTCTCTCTCTGCGAGAGTGAACAAATACAGCTGCGCGTTTCAAGTGATAACTCAGCACTGCACTGTAACGACTCTTCATGTAAATTGACTGCCAAGCTTGTACGTGAATAATAAAGTAAATATACTTTACTGTACGGTAACAAGTAACTTTTTAAAAGAATAATGGCGTTTATTAACAGTCAGTGTTGAATAAATGGCCACTTTCCGGCCGTGTCAGAATTCAATTGAAATATTCAGGGGTTCCTTGACCTCCTTGGGGACCCTATGCCTCAGCTTGTTCCACGTGTACCTGGGGCTGCCACCGATTCCATCATAGGAATGTGGAATCTTCACCACTGGCTCAGGGCCGCAAATGGTAATTGAGTAGGGATACATCGCTGACATCGGGCGCCGTGGTGGTGAGATGTTAGCTCACTCGCTTGGTGTGCAGGAGGTCGTGGGTTCGATCCCGACCCTGACGCCTACTGTATATTTGGAGTTTGCATGTTCTCCCTATGGTCAGGTGGATTTTTCTCCGGGTCCTCCGGTTTTCCACTCCACATTTAGAATCAACATGTGTTTAGAGTATTTTGCTGCTATACATTTCCACGAAATTAGCCACTTCGTTGAACTATCAGTTGTGGTCAGGTCGCTCCTGCGCGGGCGTGAGGCCGTGTGCACTGACATTATAATCGGTGACGTGTGAGGAAATGATCCTTCTTCAAAGCACATCAAGAAGAAGGACCCTTGCTCGAAACGTCACCAATTATATAATTATATATTTGTATATTCTTCTTTTAAAATGTATTTACGGTGCTATTGTGTTTTTTTCTTGTTAATTGTGCCTGTGTACACTGCCAACGCAGTAGCAGCATCACCAGATTACCTGGTTTTAATAATAAGTTTACTACTACTGTGACTACCACCTGCTACTGCCTGTAGTCATCATGGCGATGAAGTGATGGTAATCGCTGTGATGCTATTTGAAGGCATTTTACGACTGCTGATGGCACTGCTGATATCCAGGCAGGTGGTGGCCACGCACGTGGCCTGTAACCCAGAACGGAGAGGCAGCAGCGAGGGTTGGTGGATCACACGAATGTTGTGAAACTCCCTTCCGGTGGGTGTCAGAGAGGTGCCGTACGGCAACTGTGGACCCCACTGGGTCTGTCTGTGTGGGATCGAGAGTTGCCCCCTCCACATGTTCGGGTTTTCTCCGGGTGCTCCAGGTTTTTCCCAGATGTAAACACTCACAAATAGACCAATAACACCTTAATATGAAGAGGACTGCAGAGCTTGGGAGGGGGAGTTTGGCACCAGCTGAGCCACTTGGTTGAGTGCGTAATTATGATTGATGATGAGAACATTACCGCTCGTGTGTTTATTAATGAACCACCCCTATCGGACGTCTGTGAATAAGGGGATTCATAGTTACCAGCTTTTAACTGTGAAACCTTCTTGTACGTTTGAGGTCCTTGCCTATACATTCTGGCAGTTCACCAGCATTGGTTTCAAGCCAAACCCAACTGCTGATGAAATAATGAATGTCGAGACCAGTCCGTAGTTTTGCTTGCGTTGAACGAACGCTGGTGAAATTATGAACTCCCTAGAAGGCCGCGTGGCTCATAGGATGTGAGAAACAGAAATGTGAAAAAGGCGTACCGTCCACGATGTTCCTTCTCCATGTTGAAAGGGTGCTTGTGCAATCCCCACCTCTGCTACAGGAAACCAGGGAAATCTTCCATTTCCAGTTTCCTTCATGGCCAGACCACGGAGTCCCAGAGTCTCCGCACAGCATCCTCTGCATGGTCGCCCACATCCACAGGAAGCAGGGGGCAGCCGCCAGCCCCATCTGCATGCACTGCAGGTACCGCCGTTCGCTCGACCCGTCGCGAACGGCCAGCGCAGGTCCATCACGCCGCCCGCGTGGCCACCGCCGCTCTCCGTCTGCCTTTCCGGCGTCGCTGGCGATTTGTCCGATCCGTGCGTTTGTGGGTGGGCTGGGGTGGGGGGGTGGGGGGCGACCCCGGGGGGGACGGCGCCTCTCCCAGTGCGGGGGTCGTAATCAACTTGGGACGTCGACCGCCGACGAGGCAGACCCCCGGGCGCAACAATGGCCGCCTCCTCCGATCGGAGCGTCCGATCGTCGGCAGAGCCTGTTGTGGATCCAGCATTGGCGCTTGCGGCAGCATCGACCCCTAGGAAGGCGCCTTTGGCATCGCTTGCAAAGAGATCGGAGCCAACGCAGGATCCCTTTGGAGTAACGTCCAGGTTTACGAGCCGTACAACAGCAGCGATGGAAGTGCACCGCTCCAGTAGAACTTTCAGTTTTGCGATCCCAGAGTGTCGATGATTACGGAAGCCAGGCCGACCGGGGGTCTGCCTCGTCCTCCCGTGCTCGGCGTGCGTCTCGAGGAGACGAGTTCCGCCACTGCCTCCACTGTGCGTCTGGTCTCGCTGCTCAGTTGATTTTGTGTGACCAGGCGAGAGAGATCAAGAGGCCACGATAGGGAGTCTCAATTGCCAGAGTGACCTCGGTCACCACAATGACAAAAGCAAAACAAATGAAGTACAACAATGAAGCAAATAGAAAACAGTGGAAGGACAACGGTGGCACAAGACGAATACACATTTTTTTTCACAAACATAAATCAATGTTAAACCATGGAGCGTGTCCTTGTGAGTGAGTGTGAGTGAGAAGTTGGGTGGGTGAGTGGGTGCATCTGCAACTGAGTGGCTCCATCACTTGCAACCAAATCTCTAGGACATGACTGTGTGTGCAGGGTGGCCCAAAAGTCAGAACACGTGGGGTTATTCCACTTATTATTACACTGACAATCAAACATTTTCACTTGTTTCTTTTATTTAACATGTTGTCTGTTATCATTATTAATATCTATTTGTCTCCCACCTGTGGGGTCACCTCACATCCGTTGTTTACAAAACCCGACCAAGAACCCGGAATGAATTGAGGCAAAACAACATTGATGAATGTTCAAAGATTACACAGTTTTAATGTTAAGAAGAGTTCTAAATGAGTGTTAATTGAAGTCAATTCGAACATTTGTTAAAATAAAATATATATAATAACCCTATGTGTCCTGAGTTTTGGGCCACCCCATATGTATGTGTTCAGTGTGTTGTCCTTCCCCCGCACCTCCGATTAGCACGGTTGGCTATGTACGGTGCGAAAGAAGTTCAACATACGACATTGCTCTGGAGAGCCAATATAGTTCGATGGACTAAGAAATATGTCTGCTCGTGTTTGCTTTCACTCACGATGCTCCACGGCGATGCGTGATGAGTTTATGTACTGCGCTGGTGTTGTGTTGGACCAGGCCCCGTAGTTTACAGGGAGTACTCTTGCTGATCACGTCTGGCTCTGCCGGTGAGACCCATGAGGTTTGAGACCGGTCCAGAGTTTGCTCACGTCAACAGATGCTGGCGGATAACATTGGTCTGGACAGCCAAAACGCCGATGGCCTTTAACGTGTTGTTATTTTCCTGTGGAGACACGGAGCGGAGCTTTGCTTTTATTGCAAACGTCTGACTATTTATCGGCCAAATCAATGCACAAAGTGAGAGCCATATCCTGCTCAAGCCAGCATTGAGCCAGTGCTGATATCCCGTTTACAGCCCTGAACCACTTGTGAAAATGCCACATTACTTATGACTGAGACGAGTATATTTTGCGTGGTGTGCAGGGCAATCTACAAATACCCCACTGACTTCTAATGGCCATATTGTTGTCAACAGGCGGTTGAAGGTTGTGACAGCGATGCTGCACATTGTGCACCCTGAGAGCATTAATGGACGATACGTGATTTGAGGCTGGCTATGAGACGTGCAAGTGGCTATACAATGCCGACGTCGTTTTCTCTCTGGTGGTTTCCCTCGCTCTATGTGGTTTGTGCGATTTCAAGCTGTATATGCGGCCAACCTATTTCTAGCCAAAACTCGCTCGATTATGCACTTCAAATTCACTCACATGCGGCTACGGACGTGGGACAATATTGCTGCGAGTATTTTGCGTCTACTGCGTGTGTCCCGCGCTACTCGGCAGGCAGCTGTCATCGGCGGTTTCGCTTTGTGCCCCCTTTTTTTGGAAAAGCGTATACTACTGCTGCCGCATAGAGCGAGGGAAACCTGCATTGCGATGTCTCCCTAGTGTTTGAACAGTGTCTATAATTGGATCGGGCTCGACTGTATAACGTCTCCATGTGCGTGGCGTGCGCAGCGCTGGCTGTGGAAGAACCGGAGCGCTCTGTGTCATCCATTACACGTGGGACCTCATCAAGTCGAAGGTGCAGTCATAGCTCAGTATCTACACGGGATGTCTAACACGACATTGATTTCTCCTTCACACACGTTGAGCGGACACTCCCGTCATCTCATCCATCGCACTGAGTTCACCCACCACAGTTCACAGCACAACAACGCACCCACTCGGTCAAACACTAACTCAACACACAAAGACAAAGATCCCCCGTATAACCTTAACAGTTATCTTGGGGCAAGTGCTGTTAGCGAGCACCTATGAAGGCCGGCACGGCACACGAGTTGGTGGGTGGCCAACACCACGCCCGGCCTCCTTTGTCTCCCTGGTCACCATGTTTAAACATCGCACCAGGTACTCATTTGAGGGTGAGTCGACCTAGGGTAGGCCCAGAACCCGTTCAGATAATCAGCACTGGTGTTGGCTGTGAGCGGGAATCGAACCCGGTCGCCGGATTCGTAGCACAGCGTGCAAACCATTGGATTACCGCTCCCCACTTACACACTCGCCCACCTGCTCACTCACCCAATCACTTGTCACACTGCAAGTTACAACACATCTTCTTGCACTCTTATATAATATTACAACTCTGACAGTGGTGCTGTCACTGGCCGCTTGATGTGTTGAGCCTTTGCGCCTGTGCTCCGTGGCTGCGTTTAAATAAAGACCGCTGCTCTCAGTTTAGCATTTGCAGACGAGTGCTGGCCTTATTCTGCGCTAATCTGCAATGCAGCGCTTTACGCCTGGATGTCCCTCGTCCAACGCAAAATCAAATCCGTGTGGATGTTTCGTCATGGGACGGCAGGGTGGTGGCGGCGAAGTGATGACGCTTGTGCCTCACAGCAACTAGGCTCTGGGTTTGATTCTCGACTTGGGTGCCTGTTTGTGTGGAGTATGTGTGTTATCTATCCCGCTGTTCTGCATGGGTTTCCTCCGAGTTCTCTGGATTCCTGCCACGGCAGAAAAAAATTATACACCTGGAAGTTACGCCAGGAGCATTGCCTCAGACTGCAAAACTTTGGTAGGGCCCTCCTGGATGGGAGTCTTGAGACTCAGTGAGGCTTTCCTGGGTAAACAGGCGCAATAATAATAATAATAATTTACTTTATTTGTTTTTCTGTGCATTTCCAGAGAATAGAAGAAAATTTCAGCATCTTCAATGTGATCCAGGAAATACGGACACAGAGGCCAGCAGCTGTTCAAACCAAGGTATTTTATTTCTTTGAAATATACAATGAATGGAGTAAGATGCACCCTAACTGGGCTTGCTCATCTACAATTCATGTTCATGTCAATATACTGTGTTTGTTTTCCGTATGTGAGGTGAGTTCACTTACAAAACCACTACCTAAGTTCCATCGTTAAACATGTGTAGTGACATGATGACACCTGCTGGCTGAGAATGGGAAGCACGGCTACGGGCACGGTCAAGGGAACACCCAATCAGAGAGGGAGAGGTATCTGGGGCAAAGGTAGCAGGTGGGGTGAGCCGAGATGCTCCGGGAACCTGCTGGAAGGTTCCACGAGAGGGCGTGGCCGCAGACGGGGCCTAGCCACGCCTGGGGGGATATAAGGGGGTGCGGACCCGGGGCTCGTGTGTGGGGTCTTGGGTCCTGACATCTCTCTCCGTCGTCCGGCCACGTGGAAGATCTGCGGGGTTTCCATCGTAATCATCGTCGCGCCGCCAGCCAGCGGCATGGCCGAGTGAGGGCGGTGGGACCACGCCGAGTGATCGGCTGTGCGTAGCCAGTAGAGACGTTAATATCTAAGTGTTGTACTCAGAGTGAGAAGAATAAGGTTGGCCTGTGTTGTGCCCAGTGTGAGAAATAGAAGAAGAAGTACCCTCTACACGACGTGTCGTGGAAGTCGCTCATTACACATGTATGCTGTTAAACTTCTTTCACACCGTACGTAGCCAACCGTGCTAATTGGAGGTGCGGGGGAAGGACAACAAACTCAACACAAATGTAGACGAGAGCGTGTGGGTGGGGCAACGACTCTCTGCTGCGCCTCTCCCGGTGCGGTGTGCAGGACCAGTACGAGTTTGTGTATCGCGCCATCTCCACGATGTTCTCCAACGAGCTGGACAAGAACCCAGACTACGAGAACCTCAGCGCCCACTACGAGAAGCTGGTGAATGCGCCCGTGCAGGCGAGGAGGCCCAGCACAGCCACAGCTCAATATTTATAATTGTTCTGCATTTAGCGTTGAAAGATCAGCAGCAATTTATGTACTTTTGCTAAAAGCACTTGCCCAAAAGTATTTTCTGTATTTGTGTGCACATATGTTTGGCGCAAAGGAATCCTACTATACAGATGTGCTGCAGAGCGGCAAGCCAATGCAGAGACCCTGCATCCCTCTCAAGACATCTCGCTTGTACGTATGAGCCGTACGCACCCCAGGTGGATCGGGCGGATGCGAACGCGTGGAGCGGTGTAATACGCAGGCTGCCGTTGCTGCCGTCTTCCTTTTATTCCCATTCTTGACGCCGTGCAGGATCAACGGGTGAGTTAACGCCACTCTCATCGCCGCCTCTTGTGTGTGTCGTCCCGTAGAAGCGTTCCGTCGCCAAACGCCGGCGATCGCGCCGAAAGCCCCACCAAATCTCCTGCGAGAAAAAAGATCTTCCCACCGGCTGAGGACAGCGGCAGCAGTCGCAGTGGTGGCGGCAGGAAACCCGCGGAGCTGCCAAGCGAACGGTGTGGCAGGGACGACGCGGTGCAGCCCAGGTGGAAGAGCGACTACGAAGTTGTGATCGTCCCCGAGAAGCCGATGAGGAGCAGGCCGTACGAGACGTACGGCGCGCCGGTCACGCCGGACTACGAGAACTTGTTCGTTTCCAATGGTGGCAATGGCGGCAACGGCGGCGGCAAAGCCCGCGTGGGCGGTGGCGGAGCGGCCCAGCACTACGAGGTCGCGGCGCCCTCCCCCGGCCCGCCGCCCGCTGACCCGAGCGGCGTGGACCGCCTGTACTCTGCCGTCACTCCACGCAATCAGAGGCCTGGGAAACTGGCAAAGTCCTCCTCGGTCGACAGCGGCAGTGAAGGAGGAGGAGGCGGCGGAGACAGAGGACAGTCATCGGTGCCGGGGGGGCTCGTGACCCCCCTCTACTCCCAGGTCCAGCCGCCCAGGCTCCCGGCCGCCATCTACAGAGAGGCATCACCTCCTCAAGGTGTTGGATGTATATTATAATAATACAATAATAATGATATGTAGATATAACTACTCGATCTGACCCAATAATGCTTTTATATTTGCATTGTCAATTATGAATCATCACAGGCTGCGAAAACCCACAAATTGAACTCATTTATTTGGTTATGCAGCGGCTTTGGCATCGGTGTATACATAACAACAAACTCAGCACGTTCGTCAGCAACGGTGTGGCCTTAAAAGAAAAACTAAATAAGAGGTGACGTTTCTTGCAATGCGCCTCCTTCTTGATGCTTTTTAGGCCACACAACGTTATTGACGAATGTGTTGAGTTTCGTGTTAAAAATCATAATGCTGCTGGGTGGGGCGGTGCCGCAATTCATAACGCATTGCGCTGTGAGCATGGCAAACTGATGTTAAATCCCAGTCATGGCTAACAGCGGACGTGAGTGATATCTGAACCGGTTCCTGGGTCCTCACCGACCATGACGCCTGCTGTATATTTGGAGTTTGCATGTCTCTCTCCCCGTGGTTGCATGGATTTTTTTATCTGGGTCATCTGGTTTTTACCTCCACATTTAGAAACATGCGTTTAGAGTATTTGGTTGCTATAAATTCTACATGATTAGTCACTTTGTTGAGCTATTATTTGTGGCCAGGTCGCTTCTGAAAAATAGCTATATAGTTCAGTGGGCCTTACTTGGAAAATAAATACTTTATAGGTTAGTTTTAATTTAGTTTAAAGCTCCTGGGATCGAATCCAGGTTTCAGGGTTCTCAAATATCGCGAGTTAATGATCTTAGCCAGGTCGCCAGCGACTGAGCAAAAAACCTCATTCATGATTAAAATTAAGCTCTGCACTTAATTTGACTAAACTCTGAGAATTAAAAAACAATGGTTAGACTGTCATGTGATGAACATTACTCTCATATGGCAGGATGAGAGGGAAAGTCGTGCCCTCTAGGACATGAAATCGGTCACCGCAAGGGACCTCAGAGGTAGCTCTGTGATACCCGTTTCCTTCACATTTTGATGATGCCGATAAAATTGAGGGAAAATGGCAACAAAAGAAAAAAACATTCCAACAACGCCGCCGACGTCACCTCTCACGTGTTCTGTGTCATCCTCGGCCTGATGGTTTTCTCTGAATTCTCCCTCAGGGCCGATGGCTGGGGCTGCCTTCTACAGCGAGGATGGAGGTGAGGCCTGGGTGTTACTCGTCCTGTGAGAGTTTATGGTTCGTGTAAACTCGGCTCTTAACCTGGTGTAGCTAGACAGGCAACCGTAGAGTTGCCGCCTGTCTGGGTTTGACATGGACACTCCAGAGATTGGTGTCTGTGTTTGGGCGGCAGGAGTTGCGTTGTACCGATATTTGGTGTTGAACTTCAACTTTAGACCGCACAGTGTTGATAGGCTTAGGTTGACTGAGAAATAAATCTGCGTTTTTTCTTCTTGTTTCTTTCGGTAAAGTCACGTAGAAGGGAAGTAATAAAATAATAAAAATAAAACATAATAAAACAATTCTCACGACGTTTCGGCTACAACGCAAGCAGCCGTCTTCAGGTGAAGAATGAGACACTACCAAACTAGGAGCTTATATATAAGCTGCATTGGGGGTTGAAGAGCGCCTTAACAAAAAGAATGTGCATGTGAAGAGGGATTTAGCATATTCATGGAAAATGCGTAGGCGTTGGGCGGGGGGGTGTCAAAGTCATATTATGCCCATGCATTATGCAGGATCAGCAGCAACCAAGGGGGGTGCAGGGATTAGCAGTAACAAAGGAAAGGAATGTTAATGATATGTAGCTGCAGTTACTCAACAACACGTAGAAAACTAAAGTATAAACTACATAAAAAACTAAAGTATAAACTGCATCGCACCATCAGTATACTTACTATACTCTATAATAAGCTGAGTTACTAACAGCAAGTAATACATTACAATTTTACCTCGTAAAAATTCTATAATATGCTTCCATCTAAACCTTATTCTCTTACATCACACGAGCATATACCGTACTATATACTGCCATAGATAAACCCAACATTAAATTATATACTGTATTGCTGTAAACCAACCTATATCTTATACATTTAATATCACACTATGTATTATTCTACACACCCTAATGTGTATCGAAATGGTTTATTACGTCCTTCCAATGATTGCTGAGCCAGAATCCATCTTCTCGGTTAAAGTTGTCTCTGTGTTTGTATATGTGGATCGCCTCATGAACGAATCTCTCATGATAGCCAGATGGCTTGCAGAGAACCTCTGTCTTGGAGAAGTCAATATCATGTGAGCCCACTGAGTTGTAACAGTGATCTGCCACGGCTGAGGTGTTAGTCCTACCGTGTTTCAGGTCAGCTTTATGTTCACGGATGCGGTCCGAAAGCTGACCTGAAACACGGTAGGACTAACACCTCAGCCGTGGCAGATCACTGTTACAACTCAGTGGGCTCACATGATATTGACTTCTCCAAGACAGAGGTTCTCTGCAAGCCATCTGGCTATCATGAGAGATTCGTTCATGAGGCGATCCACATATACAAACACAGAGACAACTTTAACCGAGAAGATGGATTCTGGCTCAGCAATCATTGGAAGGACGTAATAAACCATTTCGATACACATTAGGGTGTGTAGAATAATACATAGTGTGATATTAAATGTATAAGATATAGGTTGGTTTACAGCAATACAGTATATAATTTAATGTTGGGTTTATCTATGGCAGTATATAGTACGGTATATGCTCGTGTGATGTAAGAGAATAAGGTTTAGATGGAAGCATATTATAGAATTTTTACGAGGTAAAATTGTAATGTATTACTTGCTGTTAGTAACTCAGCTTATTATAGAGTATAGTAAGTATACTGATGGTGCGATGCAGTTTATACTTTAGTTTTTTATGTAGTTTATACTTTAGTTTTCTACGTGTTGTTGAGTAACTGCAGCTACATATCATTAACATTCCTTTCCTTTGTTACTGCTAATCCCTGCACCCCCCTTGGTTGCTGCTGATCCTGCATAATGCATGGGCATAATATGACTTTGACACCCCCCCGCCCAACGCCTACGCATTTTCCATGAATATGCTAAATCCCTCTTCACATGCACATTCTTTTTGTTAAGGCGCTCTTCAACCCCCAATGCAGCTTATATATAAGCTCCTAGTTTGGTAGTGTCTCATTCTTCACCTGAAGACGGCTGCTTGCGTTGTAGCCGAAACGTCGTGAGAATTGTTTTATTATGTTTTATTTTTATTATTTTATTACTTCCCTTCTACGTGACTTTACCGAAAGAAACAAGAAGATGAATCCCTGCAGTCACGAAAGCTTTAAATCGAAATTTAAATCTGCGTTTGGTCTATGGTGAAACGGTGGCAACCGCAGGTAAACGACTGTTATTGGAGAAGGATGGAGGTGGTCCGGTGGCTTAGGGTGCCTGTGATATTGGACTGCAGAGCACTGAGCCAACATCGGCATCTGAATTTCGAGTCCCAGCCGTCCGCGATTAACCTGGAGTTCAAACAGGAGCACAGCCACACTGTGGAGGTTGAGGAAGCCTTACTTGCGAATGGTTAACGGTGGTTACTGGTTGGACTGCAGATGCTCGGTGACCCACGAATAGTTTGCAAGTTTGCGAGTGACCGTGTGCAAGGTTCGCTTGTGCTGTGTCGCACACAGCTCTGTCGGCGGCGTGGTCCAGGAACTGCGCTGCATCGTCGCAGGACAAAACGGAGTATGTCATCACGGCTCCAGACGGAGCAGGTGAGTGGGATGCAGCGGCTCTCTTTCAGGATGGTCTTGAAACACGTTTTGCAGAAGGGGTGATGTTTCTGCTGTGTCATCCCAATTGAGTCATTTTCAGGCATTTTTTTTGCATTGGGATGTATGGCCAATACCAGTTACATTGTGTGGGGTTTTAGCTATGGAAGGAAACTGGAGAACTTGGGAGGAACTCCATGCACAACATAGGAAGAACATACGAACGCCATTCAGAAAGGCACTCGAGTCGGAAATAAAACTCGGGCCCCTCTTGCTGTGCGGCATCGTGAGAATTACCCAACTCGGACAGCGACGCTGGGCACACAATTGCCTTATCATGCGCACGTCACGGGACCTTTTGCGTCCAACGTGAAGCAGACAGGGCGTATGCTGTGGTTAATACACCCACTGTAATAACCAGGGTGGCCTGCTGGATTCGAACGGTGAACCTCTGCAACACGCGTTGAACGCGGTGACGCTGGACCCCGTCACGGTATTCGCGCATCGTTGGCAGGCCCTCTAATCCGTGTTTCTCGACTTTCCCAAGCTCTTATAATAACGACTTACATGCACAAGGCGCCATTAAGCAATAGATTTCAGAGTGCCGTAATAACCTCGCTCAATTCAAGAAGCGTGTTACATTCTTGTCTTTTAAAATTTGACGGCGCCATTTGTTGCTGGCTGCTTGACGTTTTTGGCCTTTGGGCCTCCTGTTCTCAGCGACTGTGTACAAAACTAAATCACCCAGAATGCACCCAGGGTTGAGCCTGGATAGTGCATGGATGGGCAGTGGCCGTGCAGTCGAGGCTGTGGTTAGTGGGGGGCACTGCAGCAACATAACTTGTGCTGCACCGCCCCCCACCTTCACCAACCCGCACTGACCAGCGTGGTGAAGTATGGTCAAAATATGCAACAACGGGGAGGCCCTCGTCCAGCAGTGGATTGACAAAACTGGGCTGTACATGCACAAGTCCACACATGTACACGAGTTATCACGTGCATTTTCTGAGCATCATATATCTCATGATGCTCAGGACACTCAGACTGAGATGTTCCATGGGAAAGAAGTTTCCAGGTGGATTATTTTTTATGTAAAACATTGTACAAATGTTATCCCTTTACAAGAGTAACAAATCACTTATTAACGCCATTCCTCTCATCTAACAAAGGTCTTAGATAATGGGAAGACTACAGCATGCGCATGTGTGCCAAGCACATTCAGCAGGCGTACGTGTGCATACGTCTGTGCGCACGTGGTCGGCTCAAATGAGTACCTGTACTCAAAGGCGGTCAGGCGTGGTGCTGGGCATCCGCACCCTTGCGTGCATAGGTGCTCGAAGCATTTGCCTCAACAGTCTGCTTCGGCTATCGGGGGGATCTTTGTGCCACGTGTTTTGTGGATGGGAGGATTGGTGGAACCCCTCACATGCACGTGCGCACTGTACTTTGAACCTGGGGATCCGAGTTTGATTTCTGCTCAAGGCCAACATCTGTGATTTACATCTGAACCGGTAATGGGCCTCTCCTAGGTTGACTCAGCCTTAAATGAGTACTTGGTGCGGTGTGTAAAACATCAGCAATGGAGGAGACAAAGGTGGCCGTCCGTGGTGCTGGCCACCCACCCTCTATTACGCCGTGCCCGCTTTCAAATGTGCTTGCTAACAGCACTTGCCCCAACAGTCTGTTAAATGCTACATGGGGAGCTTTGTCTTTATCTTTCTGGATTATAGGAAGCCCAAATTAAAAGCGTTTCACTGAACCATTGACTTTCTATAAAGATGAACTTATTTTCTAGCCCTGGACAGATGATGGGCTGAGGCACCTCCCGGCCAGCGTCCCTTCTGATTGTACTTTGAGTGTTCTGACCACAAATGCGTTTTCTTTACGACCCACAGATGACACCCTCTTGAAAGGAAATCCAAAAACCACATCCCTTCCATTCAACATCAAGCAGGGTGTCAAGATATTTGGAAAACAACTCTTTGGAAAGTCCGAGGTATGACAACAAATATTATAACTGCCGTTATTTGTTTAATAATTTTGCATTTTTATGCATTTTTTTAAAATTCACATTACAATGTTTGTTTTTTGTATGCTCAACTTATTTTTTCTGGGTTTCTCATTCAGCCACCCAGTGCAGCCACCACAGAAAAACCAGGTGAGACCAGTTCAGTGAAGTCCACATGACCCGAGTTCACTCTTTGAAAGTTGAACCCTTCCAAATTTCAATAAAACTCAACACATCCGTCGATAACACACACTGTGGCCTTAAAATAAATAAAACTTCGGGAAATATTTTGTGCAATGGCTCATCCTCACCGCATATACATCAAAGAAGGGCCATTGCCCAAAACGTCTTCTATTATATATATTTTCCTTCCAGGTGGGGTTATTGGTGATTGTGTTGAGCTTTTCTGATAATTGTGCTTATGCACCACTGCCAACGCAGCAGCCTCACCAAATAATTTGTTACATTTCAGTGGGTTCAGGTCATTCGCAGTGATTGTTAATCACCGAGCACGAAACTACAACGTAGGTTTTCGCCGTTGTGCCGTATAGCTCCGCCATGCGTCTTCTGGTTGTACTGTTAGTCGTTCAGCACGTCAGCTGCTTCAATGCTGGCAGCTTCTTCAGGAACTGAATTCAGTACAACAACAAAAAGACATCTGAGAACCACTAAGAAATACGTTTCCTGTCTTGTGAGTGGTCAGTTTGTTTTACTGACCAAGAGCCAAAGTGATGGGTTTCTCAACTAGTTGGTGAATTCAGCCCAGTCATCAATTCATGCACACAAAAACCCATCGTATCCATTTAAGTTTTTCATCCAGTTCAACGCCGAGATTTAAAAAGCAGAGATTACAAATGGCTGTGAAAGTGTACGGGGCTGCCATCATCGAGGGCATATTCCTGATGCAATGCGAGGTTATGCTTACTTAAGCAGTTCAGGTAGGAGATTTCTTTATTTCATTATATGATACCGACAGCACAGATGCATTGATTGTAGGAATAACGAAAATGTCCATCGCGCCGCAACACGGCGAGTCATTTCAAGGCCACTGAAATATGAGGGGATGTATGACGCTGCATGTATTTGTAACGTGTCGTGGTTTTAACAGTGTTTCCCTTGATCTGTGTTAGGGGTCTTGAAAGCAGCTAATAACTCAGATTATGAAGACGTTGAAACCTCTCAGAACCATATATCAAGCACGGCTGCCGTCAATACATCAAACATGGGTACAGTGTTTTTGGTTTACACTCATCTGAACCATCCTGCCTCTCTAAACACACCCCAACTGGTACCTGTGCACCTGTTTTTACCGTAATTAAACTCACATTAAGAAAAGGTTACTTAAGTATGGATATATATAGCCACATCCACTGCAGGAACTAGAGAAGTTAAGGATTTTTGGGCGTTTAAATTCCCCAATAAAAACAACACTTTTGGATGTACTTACCATTTACATGCAACTTCACAGGGTGGAGCAGTGTACAGTTGTTAGCACACCATGTCATGATCCCGGTGGCTCAAGTTGGATTCCCGGCCACGGCAAACATCAGTGGTGGTTATAGCCGAATTGGGAACGGGACGAATCCATCAGAGCGGAACTGAATCCGAATCTCAGCTCAGCTTCCAAATCCGAAACTAACTAAAATATCCATCGCTTAAGTTTACAAAAGTCAAAAAATCAAACCAATCACAATTCGCGATCATTTCCACGTGCCGAGACTACGACCACCAACAGCTACGATAACTGGGAGCTCAATTGCACCTGCGTCAATGGTACCTGCGCCAACCTTGTGTGGCTCAGGTGCAAATTGTGCATGTTGGGGTATGGGAATAGAACCCAGGATGCTAGCTGGGATCTTAGTTTGGCGTTTGCCACCATCACCCAAGCAGGCGTAGTGGTGTCCCCTGAATAACGAGCGGGACCGGGTGAGCGTGCTGTCGCGATAGGGCTGGCCCCGACTTCCTGCCGTGAACTGATTACATAACGACGACAGCTGATGGAGTTGCTCGCGGGTGCTTTTATTGGTTATTCTGGGCAATGAGGGGCACAGCAGCCTCGGCTCCTTGCCTGGTGCGTCTCGTGCATCGCCCCTCAGTTCCTGCGCACACTTAACACAATTAGCAGATCATATGCTTCCTTTACATATCTGTCCCTCCACATGGAAAAAGTGAGTTTTGTTTTATGAATTCCAACTACCACATGACCTTCTGGTAGTGTATACTAACTGCAGCATTGGTTCAACACAAGCAAAACTCTGGACTGGTTTCAAAATAGTGTCTCATTCATCAGAAGAATCAGGCTCGTTTGAACCAATACTGGCGAACTGTCAGGGATTCCTCTCAGTTAGACATGGGTCCTCGTTCAACCCAAACCTATATAATACATGACACGTAGATTATTTGTGCTGTACTAGTGACGAATTGGCATGTTCTGTTTACGTGACAACCCTTACTAGCTGGCTGTGTCGGGTGGTGGCGGGTTTTAACGACACATTTATATATTTAAGCGATCTAACCCCCCCCAAACAAAACCCTCTTATGGATGATATTGGTCGCGAAAGCCTCCTACGTGTTAAACTGAGGTAGAGTTTTCCTTTGGATGTTTCAATAAGATACATGCACCCTCCCTTTTTCCCTCACTCTTGCCTTCCACAACCACTCAGCATTTTTAACCACCTACCCTGCACCCCCCCCTCTGTCGGCAGTAATGAGTCGGCCTGTGTGTATGGTGTGTGTTTGTCGTTGAACGCCTGCAGGGTTTGGCCACCGCCTTGCGAGGCCACGCGGCCCGCGGCAGCCTCCGGCAGACTGGCCCAGCTTCTAAACGATCATTTCAGCGCCAGCGACGGCCATTAGTGTTTCTTGTTTATAAATCAAGTATGAATGTAAATTAATAAAAATAACATTTAAAAAAATGAATGGGGCACACTGAAGTTTCGTTTGCCAACAACAATTCAAGGAGGTGAAATTAAGCACAATTTTCTTGTCTCAAACTTTTGACATGCGTGTCGTTGTTGTAAACCTCTGTCTGCTGCTTTGGCCAGAATAATCGGCTTGGTGCCACCACCACCGTCGTCGTTTTTTAGTCATCGTCGTTTATTTTATTTTATTATTATTTTAACCTATCAACGTGACTTTACCGAAAGACCCAAAGAATGTATACTTAATAACATTTTTATTTGATATAGCGTCAGTCATGCTAATAGCATCCAATAACGCTGTACATCAATTATACTGAGGACCAAATCCTATACACAGCCACTACCAAGCAAATTAACACCTTGCTACGTACCAAGCAAATCTAAAATTAAGAAATTAAGAAATGGCACCAAAACTAAAAAAGTTATCAAAACAAAGAAATTAGTCCATTAGGTCACACCCGAGACCATAATTCCCATTTTACAACCAAGACAAGAAATCTTCACAGGAGGGACGGTGGAGTGCCAAAAATGTACGACTAATTTATATCAATCGGTCCAATATCTAAAAAATGATTACCAATTTTTCAGCGTATGCCTGGATGAATAAAAAAAAAACTTTAGTTCAGATTTGAATAATATGATAGAGTTGATTTATTGGGTGTGGAGTGGGAGGGTATTCCAGACTGCAGGGACTGTGCATGAGAAATATCGTCCACCAATGGTTTTAAGTTTTATTTTTAGAGTGGAGAGCCACCCTAGAGAAGATGAACGGGGGAACCTGAGGACGGGAGTAAACTGAAATCAGAGGCGAAAGATAGGCAGGGGCTAGCCCGTGAAGAATTTTGAAAACAGTGAAGTGCAATCTTGTAGGTGATGCTGGACTGAATAGGTAGCCAGTGGAGCGACTGTAAAATGGGTGTAATGACGCTTACGGATGTGAGTCCTCTTGCAGCTGCGTTTTGAATGCACTGGGCACGTTGGTTGAGACACGAAGACCAAATAAGAGAGAATTGCAGTAGTCTAGCCTGGAAGTTACAAATGCATGCACTTTTGTTGCTGCAGCCGTTTCAGAGACACAGTTGCAGATGAAAGCGGTCTTGCACATATAGGAAATGTGAAGTCAAGAACGAAACCCAGTTGACCTGCCTGTTGACTAATATGAAGATCAGAGTCAAGCAGATGGACAGTAGATTGCTGATGTGAGGTAATTATTTTTCCCCCAGTTTTAGAGTTATTTAGTTTTAGAAAATTTTCTGCGAGTCAGTTAGAACCTGCAGTAAAACAGGCAAGGTCGCAACCAATGACCACACAGGAGCAGATTTCGTAACTGCATGCCGGTATCAGCACTGGTTGAATACTCAACAGCTGGGCAGGTATCCCAAACGACGGCGACACCGTGCTGTGGTAGAGGGCAGTGTCAGGCAATGACCAGATTCAGAGCCACAGCCATTTGTGGTAGAAGGCGATGTGTCACAGCCAGCAGCACCACACGAGTAGGACCCGCAGTATTGTACCGGGACAACTCGGGTCAAAAACAGCACTAATCCAGTGCCGTAGAAACGGTGAAGTTTCTTATGGAATCGAAACAGCTCACAACGTGAGGCTACGTATAGCAATCAGCTGCGTCGGCTTACAGCAGCAGCAATTTTGGCTTCATAACTTCTGTGACTTTTTTCAGCAATATTTGGTGTAATTGGTGGTGAGTTCAGAGTAAAATAAGTAATCGCTGTAGTCAAACAGTGTGATGAGAAGTGTAAAGTTGAGCAAGAGGTCGTGCAGTTATGGTGGTCAGATGAATGTATATTATGTGTTGAACCTCTTTCGCACCGTACGTAGCCAACCGCACTGATCAGGGATGCGTGATTATAATTATTAGAATCACACTGAAGTGGTCTACCAGGTGACCCAGCTAAAATTAAGCCCTTGCTACACAAACACAACACAAACTTTAGTGCACTTTACTGATGATCGATACTAACATGCTGCATGGAATTACAAATCTAATTTCTCATGTGTCTAAATGTAATTGCATCACAATACAATGCACAAAAACAGGACATGTGCCTCAAGAACAACCGTGAGGGGTATATATCAAGTATAGTTTCCATACAAGACCCTTTGCAGACAGGATACACTCCTGTCTGCAAAGGGTCTTGTATCAGGGCAGAGAGTCTGCACTACGCATATGAGGGCGTCTGGCCGCCTTTGTCTCCCTAGTGGCGATGTTTACACATCACACCAGGCACTAAATCGAGGCTGAGTCGACCTCTGGAAGGCCCAGGACCGATTCAGATAATCGTCACTGGTGTTGGTCCTGAGCGGAAATCGAATTCCGGTCCCAGCGCAGCACGCTAACCACAGCGCCACCACTCCTCACGCACCTTTGAGCTTGAAGTAATGCACGCGATTGGTGGCGCTGTGGAGGATGCAGCCATCCGCATCTACTCCACGGGCTCTTCCACTACGGAGCCAACCTCCTCTGACCACCACGAACAGAACTAGCAGCCCGCAGATTGTAAATCACCCTTCTGGGAAGGTCAAGATCTTGGTCCACCTTCAATGGTGTAACAAGTGAATATGAGTGTGGTTAATTAGTATTGAGTGAAGTAACTGGATAGTGTGCTTAGATAACTGGCTGTTCGCCTGTTGGCGTCCTCTGGTCTAACACTGAGACTCGGCTCGAAAGAAAGCTGTCTGGTGTGGACCAATCCGTTTCAAAGACAATGCACCATATACTACCAGAGCATGTTTTTTGTTTGCATGTTCACCACAAGTAAATGTGGTTACTCTTTGGTTCTTTCGGTAAAGTCACGTAGAAAGGAAATAAATTAAATAATAGTAGAATACGACGTTTAGATTGCAACACAAGCAACCATCATCAGGTGCGAATTATTTAATTGATTTCCTTTCTACGTGACTTTACCGAAAGGACCAAAGAGTAATTCCTGCAATCACGAAAGCTTCGAATCTAGTTTTATATGTGGTTAATGCAGACGTGATTCCTTGCCAAAGGTTTTAGTTTGGTTGTTTTGACATCATAACACCTGTTTTATTGCCAGAAAGGGTAAAACCTATTCTTATATGTAAGTGAATAGTTAAATGAGTGGTGTGGTCGAGTGATGAGCATTGAGGTAAATGCAGATAGTGTGGTGGTGAGGTACCTGGTGTAGTAAAGTGGCAACGTCATTGTAATTAGCGTGGCGAGTGATCATGTTGATTGCTAAAGTGCTATGGTTGAATAGTGTGATGAGAGTAAGTGGCGTGGTTGAACAGCGTGGCCAAGCGGCGTGGTAATGTGGTCGGATGGTGAGACGATTGGTGAGGTTGGATGTTACACCGGGCAGGAGACGAACGGGTGGCAGGAGGGGGATAGGGCCCTGGTTACACCGACGGCAACTCAGCACACAAGCGGGAGGATAGGGTTCAAGGTAATTTAAAAACGAACTGGCACAGAAAATAAAATATAATGAACTAAAATAAAAGGAATTTACAAGCACATCAAAAACGGTGCGTTTTCAGTTTTGCATCGCTGTTTTTCGGCATTGATTGTCCAACGTTTCGCTCAAAAAAGCAAACCGTGGACCGGTTTCGATATTCAATGTCTCATCAGAACCGCTGGCATAAACACTTTCTTCCACATTCAACTTCAGTTACAGCTCATAGGCAAAAAACTGAAAGTAAAATAAAAACTTCTGATACATTTCAATTAAGTGCAGGAGGTTGAGAGAATGTCTGATTTCGACACTGTCAATGTTTCTGCCACCATCCCTCAGTACCGCTTGCTTTATTCTGCTACAGTTGACAGAACCTTCCAACATTATGGCCATAAATATTTGCGCTAAAACTTTTATAAAACTTCACTGTGAATGGAGTATTTTTTTACATCGTTGATGTAATGTACAGTACCGATGAATGTTCATTAAATTATACAAAGTGAGTGCATTTGTATAATCGTTATTCACTTGTGCATTCAAAAGTGTGACTTTCTGTTGCGAATGCAAATGAAAATACCATTGTTTATCTTATACATTTTATGCGATGCGTACTGTTGTTTGTTATTGTTTGTGACAATGTCGGGTCGGCATTTTTTAGCTTTACTCAAATACCTTGAACAACCAGAATTATCTCGAGTAACACCGTTTTTTTTATTGCTTTACGATTGTTTAAATGGTTTCCATGTTGTGGTTGTGCTCTCGATATCTATGAGACTTACCAGCTGCTGTACATTGGGTTGTGGGATATTTCTGGTATCTTGGATTGCTTCATAAATACCAATGTTGATGGTGATGTATTTAAATGTTTTCTTCCAATAAAAGCTATATTCCATATCTACTTTCCTGAATTATGATTTGTATTTTTATTTACATTTCTACACTTCCTACATATCAATGTATGGCTGTTCAGTCTGTACAAAGTTAAGTGCCTTTTCATAGACTGAACAATCTAGACAAGTAGATTTGGTATTCATTTGTATTTTATAGCAGCATCTGTTCATGTTATTGCAGTCATAAGTAGAAAATGCTTTACTAAATCCAGCTTGTACAAGTGGTTTGTGGGCCTCTAGATTGACTGTTGTGAACAATTGTAATAATATACTGTGGCTGTCATTCTCAATCAATTTTCAGAATTTCTCAAATCAGTTGTCAGTTTGAGGCACCTCTCCGAAGAAGAGGCTTTAAATGTCTGTAAACAGGCAATGATTCTGATCCAACAGTTCGTCCCACTTATTTGATGATTTCTAGTGATTGTATCTGATCATTGGGGCTCTTGTGGTGCCACGGCCTCGGAGCAACTCTGCAAGCGCCACGACTCCCCCCTGGCCCCCACACTGAGCACACGCACACAGCACACACACGGAGTGTCCTGGTGGGGGATTTCCTGGCACAACGGGTTTTAATCCGAAGGATCCCTAGGAGGAAAGTCCCACGGTTTCCCGGTGCCAGGAGATTTGCCGACCCTCGCAGTACAGGTTACATTGCGGTGCCCGTGAGTTGGCCTAATATTGTATGGGCGCAAAAAGGTTCACCGGGCCAGCCGCAATCAGTCATTCGCGACATCGGGAGGGGCTGCGGTGGAATATTAAGTGAGAAGGGCAGACCATGAGGTCAGGGGATCGCAGCACCACGACCTCCCCTGACCCCCATACCGAATACACACTCGCAGGGTGCGTATTCGCCAGTCGGGCATTATTCCGGATTAACAAGAGTGAGTAATAAATCAATGAGTGCGGACGGACAGGCAATGGGTCGCAGAAGCACCAGCAGCAATTCTCCATGTGAGGACAAAAAAACCGGGCGGTAATCACAGGTAGGCGCACGATTGGCCACGCGGCACAACGCGATTCCAGGATTTTGAAGTCAGGAGGATAAAAGGGGAGCCTGGGGTTCGTTCAAAAGAGATCTTTCTTCAACCTCTTGGCCGCCAAGACCCACTCCCTGCCTACTCGAGCCGCTCGCAGCATCCGTGTGATGCCAGCGAGGGCCTGCCACGAGGCAGTGATAGACAAAGCTTTTTTCGTCCTCCCTCCGACCCTCACAGCGTCCGTGCGACGTCGTGAGTACAGCTACGGGGTACGTGGTAGGGCATTTGAGTATCTGGGGACTTGGGCAGTAGTAGGCTAGGCTCTTCCCCCCCGGGTAGGGCGGGGTTTGCAGCCAAGAGTAAAAGTTAGCACAGAGCATCGGTGTGGTGTCTGTGATTTCTGTGTGGAGCGACTGCGTGGGGGAACGTGCGGCGAGAGAGAACGTGGAGCCGCAGCAGTGTTCACGTTAAGAGATAATTACCCGCAGGTGCGAGCGCGTTCGCGCCCCCTGCGTTAACGATAGCTGCGGTGTGCACGGGTGTGTGGGTTAACTCCGTGTGGCTACGGGCCAGCAGCACGAGTAAGTCCCTCAGAGAGGGCGCTAGCGTGGGGGGCCCCATCACTCGGTCAGCGGGGGCCCAGCGGGAGCCGACTGACGCAGTGGAGATGGGAGCGGAACGGGCGGATGTCGCGCCCCACTTGTCCAGCGAGGGCGGTGGGGCGGACGTGGCGCCCCACACTCTCTCTATATGCCATTCTGTAACGCGCATTGAGTAAATGACATCAAGTATACAATCTGGGAGATCCTCCTTATCTAAAAAAATGTTACCCACATTTTACTCCACCCCACGCAACTTGCTTTAGCGACTGATTTACCCAACTATACACCCAATGCGCACTGACCAGCGTGAAGTATGGTCAAGGTCATATATATATTTGCACATGATGGAAGTAGCAATATGTTACAATCCATCACAAACTACAAAGGAACAATAAGCTGTGAGGCAATCAACCACGCCTCCCTCCCCGACCAGCTCAACACCTTCTATGGACAGTTTGAGGCAAAGACAGCTACCCCTGCACCCACAGCTCCACAGTCCCCCCGCCTCCCCCTACGTTCCCCACCTCCGTCTTCCCCCCATTGCACCGACCACAGCTCTCTTGCAAGCGTCCTTAGGCTCAACAGAGCCGAGGTGACAAAGATCCTCCGGCAGGTTGACAAACACAAGCCAGCCGGCCCAGACGGGATACCAGGGCGTGTCCTTTCTCAGGGCATGCACATCCCCAGCTGGCCCCTGTGTTAACAGACATCTTCAACCTTTCCCTCGTCCAGGCTGTCATTCCAACATGCCTCAACACGTCTACAATCATTCTGGTTCCCAGAAAGGCCAAAATTACATGCCTTAATAACTACAGACCCGTAGCGCTCACCCCACCATCATCATGAAGTGTTTCAAAAGGGCAATAAAGAAACACATCTGCTCCATCCTACCAGATACACTGGACCGCCTGCAGTTTGCATATCGCACTAAAAGGTCCTCGGATGACGCTATTGCTATTACATTTGTAGTGACATCACGGGATGTCACTGTGTCGTGCCGACCCGAGAGAGGCACGGCGTGCGATGTAACGACATCGCAGACACCACAATGGTGTGGGTGTAGTACCGGCCCTAGAGGTGCTCGGTGAGCGCTGATTGATAGCGCTGGATGGCACCACGCCTGGCGTGCAGTGCCGGCCCCTACAGGATAGGGTGTTAGAGTGCCGGCCATAGAAATGGGGTTACTAAAGGCCGTGGCACTCTGGTTGACCCAAGAGGACATGTGACCAGTTAAGTCTACAAAGGGGCCCCAAGTGGGGGCTAGGGGTGGTCACATGGTCGGGGATCAGATCCTGATGGAGGATTCTGGAAGGTGGTCGTGGCCAAGGGGGGAGCCGGCCACGCCGCAAAGGATATAAGCCGGGTCCCCCAGAGGGACCGGCGTTGTTGTTAATCCTGAAGAAACCTTCGTCTACGTCCTACCGAGTCTCCAACACGTAGACCTGGACCCGAGCTGTGGTCCGGTCCGTTGTAGCAATTACGTAGTGACTAATGTAGTTAGCCTGGTGGTGGCCACCATAGGTTGTTATTCTGTTAAGGGGCAGTTACCCCGTGTGTTGGTGTTAAATAAATGTGTTGCCTCCAAGAGTATGTCTGCGACTCAGTTGAATCCATTACACATTGCATAAGGCACTGTCCCACCTGGAGATGGAGGGTAACTATGTGAGAATGCTGTTTATCGATTACAGCTCAGCATTCAATACTATAGTGCCCTCCGTCCTAATCTCCAAACTGGAGGCATTGGGTGTGAACGCCACCCTCTGCAGTTGGGTGCTGGACTTTCTAACGGGAAGACCTCAGGCGGTAAAGGTAAGCAAAACATCTCATCTTACCTGACCGTCAACATTGGTGCCCCCCAAGGATATGTGCTTAACCCTCTCTAGTACTCCATCTACACTATCGACTCAGGTACAGCTCCAACGCCATAATAAGGATGAGGTGACGGCACTCTCAACGTGGTGTCAAGGGAACAACCTTGAGCTCAAGGTTGGCAAAACTTAGGAGCCGATTCTGGACTTCAGGAAGAGGGGAAAGCAGGTGCCACTAACCATCAACGGGGCCTCAGTGAAGCGGGCCAACAGCTTCAGGTTCCTCTGAGTTCACATCTCAGAGGACCTGAAGTGGTCCCGGCACGTGGATGCACTGGTGAAGAGGTCCCAGCGGTACCTACGTAACCTCAGAAGGCTGAGTGAGGTGCACCATTGAGAGGAGCTTGACTGGCTGCATCACCATCTGGTATGGTAACTGCACCGAACGGGACCGGCAGAGGCTTCAGAGGGTGATGCGGTCCGCTAATCACCCTGAGAGACCTCTACACCAGGAGGTGCATCGCGAAGGCCCTCCAGCCACCCGGGCCACGGCCCTTTCATCAGGAAACAATCCAAGAGGAAGCTCGGCTCCATCAGCTTTGGGGCTACCATCAACCACCTCAGTTTCTATCCCCAGGCCATGCTGAGCTGAGCAGAGCCCCGCGCAATATCTGCCCAAGCCCCACCAACCCTGATTCTGCTCCCCCCTACCCCCATTCACACCCCCCCACCGACTGCACTAGACATTAACCAAACAAGAACATTTTGCATAACAAGATCATTTATAAAGCCCATCCGCAGGGAGCCCTATTTATGCTAAGCACATGTCACTTTTATAATCTGCACAGCGATTTTAATATTTTTGAAATGTTTATATTGTAGTTAATTTGCACAAGCCGAGAGCGACACGGTGATAAATGATCTCACTGCCATGCACCTCATGTATGCATGGCTATGTGATCAGCAAAGCTGACTAGTCTCAAGGAGCGAAATGCCAACGTCGAAGTCTGCTCGCCATGAGCGCTTTAGGAGACTTTGTTGTTTTGCTCTTTGTAGTTTGGGTCGGATGGCCACAATCGCACTGCTGTGGCTTGTTTTTAATGCGTCTGGGTTTCTGTCTTATATGTATCGCTGTTTCTCAATGTATATCTTATGAGACTCTACATCTCTATGTCTCAGAGTTTACGATTTGGATTGTCCGTAGTTTGCATTGCGTGACCACAATCTCACGACTGCATCTTGTCTTTATTTCCCATTTATGAAGGATATGCGTGCATCGGCCCTTTGATGTTCTTATGCGGTTAATGGTGACACCAGTGTCTTCGAGGAGGAATATCAAAGCCACAATGTTTGGATCTCAAATGATGTGTCTATTGGGGACATTCAAGGGCATTGTCCCACTCTGTTGGGTGAAACCACCCCCACAAGGCCGCCCAGACCGCACGAGGCACCGATCGACTCCAAGCATTCGCACTGTACACGCACGTGGGGCCGCACTGTACGGCAGCGGCCATATTGGGCAGGGACAGCCATCGCTGTGACATCATCAGCGCGCGACCTCGCCGTATAAAAAAAATGCCCGGAAGATTCCGGCTCGTGCTGCGCCTACCCCAACGGTGTCCCCTACCCAAGATGGCGTCGTGTTGTCTGCGTTACTGGCGCGGGTTGTGCGGAGCGGCAACCATGTTGGGTAGGGAAGTGCCGCGCGCGTCACGCGTTTACGTGGGGGGTGCGTCTTTGCTCGGGGTCCGGTCCGTCAGGGGCTGTGGAGTATCCTTGTGGCTCGGCCGCGTTGTTTATAAGTGGCTCTTAACAAACCGGAGAAGCCGAGGTGACGTCTTCAACTAAAAATCAGCCACGTGTTTTACTTGTGCCCGCAGGTGTTCCAATGTTCAATTCAGTCACCGTTACAGATCGAAGTGTGACGGCTGAGCCAGGTGATAGGAAGAGTCGCTCGTACACGTGAGTTCAATGACGATTCGCAACTCGGACACACACGGTCTCTTAGTAATCACAACACGGGGGGGGGAGTGTGTCTTCATGTTGTATGTGAGCAGGACACCCAATGTCTCTTAGTAATCACAACACGGGGGGAGGGAGTGTGTCTTCATGTTGTATGTGAGCAGGACGCCCAATGTCTCTTAGTAATCACAACACGGGGGGGGGGGGGGGAGTGTGTCTTCATGTTGTATGTGAGCAGGACACCCAATGTCTCTTAGTAATCACAACACGGGGGGGGGGGGTGTGTCTTCATGTTGTATGTGAGCAGGACACCCAATGTCTCTTAGTAATCACAACACGGGGGGGGAGTGTGTCTTCATGTTGTATGTGAGCAGGACGCCCAATGTCTCTTAGTAATCACAACACGGGGGGGGGGGGGGGAGTGTGTCTTCATGTTGTATGTGAGCAGGACGCCCAATGTTCTTAGTAATCACAACACGGGGGGGGGGAGTGTGTCTTCATGTTGTATGTGAGCAGGACGCCCAATGTTTCTTAGTAATCACAACACGGGGGGGGGGGGAGTGTGTCTTCATGTTGTATGTGAGCAGGACGCCCAATGTCTCTTAGTAATCACAACACGGGGGGGGGGGGGGGGGAGTGTGTCTTCATGTTGTATGTGAGCAGGACCCCAATGTCTCTTAGTAATCACAACACGGGGGGGGGGAGTGTGTCTTCATGTTGTATGTGAGCAGGACGCCCAATGTCTCTTAGTAATCACACACGGGGGGGGGGGGGAGTGTGTCTTCATGTTGTATGTGAGCAGGACGCCCAATGTCCTTAGTAATCACAACACGGGGGGGGGGGATGTGTCTTCATGTTGTATGCAGGGGGGGGGGAGTGTGTCTTCATGTTGTATGTGAGCAGGACGCCCAATGTCTCTTAGTAATCACAACACGGGGGGGGGGGGGGGGGTGTTCTTCATGTTTATGTGAGTAGGACACCCAATGTCTCTTAGTAATCACAACACGGTGGGGGAGTGTGTCTTCATGTTGTATGTGAGTAGGACACCCAATGTCTCTTAGTAATCACAACACGGGGGGGAGGTGTCTTCATGTTGTATGTGAGTAGGACACCCAATGTCTCTTAGTAATCACAACACGGGGGGAGGGAGTGTGTCTTCATGTTGTATGTGAGCAGGACACCCAATGTCTCTTAGTAATCACAACACGGGGGGGGGGGGGGGGGAGTGTGTCTTCATGTTGTATGTGAGCAGGACACCCAATGTCTCTTAGTAATCACAACACGGGGGGGGGAGGGAGTGTGTCTTCATGTTGTATGTGAGCAGGAGGCTTGACGAGGCGTCGGTCGGGTGGCTCAGATCGAGATCCCGGATCCCGCGAGTATCAAACATTTACTGATTCTGAAACGGAGATCGCGAGTTTAAATCATCCCTCCGGGGTCGATACAGCGAATACCATTTCTGTGGGGAAGTCGGCAGATGTGTTGAGAGGCTGGACCCCGTCAGGAGGAGGACATCCGCCACTGGCTCTGGGGGAGGTCAGCGCCGATGCATCGACGATGCTCGTGGCTCAGCACCGCGAGGGCTGCCGCGGTGTTGCGATATTAAGATTCTGTGTATCGTACGATGATCCTATCGTTAGTGTTGTAAAATATCGTGGTTATTTGCCCTCAATTTACTTAAATATCTGCACTAATGTTTCTAGTCATTGACAAGTTTTAAACATTTTACTTCATATGAAATGACAATCACATTTAAAATACCAATTACCCATTTAAGTTAGCGCTTTGCAAACGTGTTCTAGTTATAGACAGTTTAGTAGGTGAATGTGTTGCTGTGACGAGTGATGCGGGTGTGGATGAGAACTTGGTGGACTAGGAGCCTTTTGTAGTAGCGATAAGAGTGACGATGAGGAGAGCGAGTGACTTGGTGAATGGTGGTGGATCTTCCATCGCCTTGATCTCCGCTTCACTCTCGATGGCGATCCGCCGTGGTGACCACTGGGTGCTGCACCAGAGTTGTTTACTTTGTGTAGCAGCAATAACTCGCTTACACAGGAGTATCATCATTGTTTGGAGTTAAGGCTTTGCATGGAACAACAACTACCTAATTGCCTCCTGAAGTAACAGCCATTCCACGACACAGCCCAGGTGGGACTGCTTTGCCAAGCAGATTGATGGTGTTACAATGGCCCAGCGTGAGGGTCAGGTCGCCTTTTGAAGGTCTGTACACTCAGAATGTACCATCATATGATGGGAGAAGCCAGCCAGCCTGACGTGAAATCATTGGCGGGTGGTGGTGGCGGCAATGCACGTGGCAGATCGCACACGCCTTGTCCACAATCCCTTCCCGTGGGTGTTGAGGAGGAGGAGGAGTCGTTCCCTGGCTTGCTAGGAGAAGTTGGTACAGCAATAATGTGGACTCCACCATGTGTATGTATGGGTTGTCTTTGGGTGCTGAAGTTTCCTCGCACATGTAGACATTAATTCATTGGCTGACAACACCATATACACTTGCTTGTTTGCCCGTCCAAGGACGGAAGCTGTAATATTTACGAAAGAATTGAGCACACTATAATTGTATCTCGTGTACATTTAATGGCAGTGAATCTGGCACAAAACGAAGTCATAAAACGCCTGACTTAATGTCACTGTAGCACTGTATATAACTGACCTTTAATTTGTTCAAATTCACTGCTCTGATACTTTATTCTCTTCTGTTTTCAGTCGCTGGGGTTGAAATAAATGGGAATTCGATCCAATATCTGGAAAACCACCGAGAAACGTCTATTTTACCATAATGTAGAAGCATAAATTAGACTTACCTTTTGTCTCATGTGCTGAAGAAATAAATAAAGACACCAAATCCACTTTGTTTCTGCGTATAATTATTAATTAGATTCACTTTCAATAAGGAAACGTCAAACTTAAAGCGAATTTGCGAACAAAAAATTCCGTTCGACCTTCTGCTGCGTGAGTGTAAAAATCCACCGGCTCATGAATATTCATGAAGGGGGCGGGGCGGAGTGCGGCCAATGGCGGAGCCACATTTTTCAGGTAGAGGGGCAACCCCTCCAGCAATGAAACATTATAGAGGATATTAACTTTAGTATTATACAGGAGTTGTTAGTAAGGACTTGTTCCTTGCTTTTTATTCGACGCGTGTGCGGCGATGGCGCAGCCATCGATCGAGGGTCGAATTCGAACCGCGTTGTGTGATCGGCATCGCGCTCGCTGAAGGTGAATGCCGTCATTGAAGTCGTTTCCTGGATACGCCAGTGGGTGCGGCATGTGGGGTGACGTCACGCGCGTGACACACAGACATTCTTGGCTCGTTCTAGTAGTAATAGAGGTATGCAGAGGTTGGGCTCGTCGCATGAGCTACCTTCCCGCTCGTCCGTGGTTCTTCCCCGTGCCTCTGTCATTCTGAAAGAGAGCGAGCGAATGCTGTGTGCGTTACAAGTTGAAATCATATTCACTATCTTTCATTTTAGTTGGACGAGACCAGGTTTTTGTCTAACAACATCCTATTACTTGATCATTTCTCAAAAGAATACAGTACCTAATTGGAGATTATGCGAACATATGTTTTGTAACTATTTTGATTTGGCAACAAAAGGCTCCGTATATCCTTAAATATCTTATCTGCATTCTTCATGCAATAGAATCAATGGAAATGCGATACTGTGCTGTAATTGCATACATCATAAGACTGAAGTAAGCGTTTCTGTGACTGATCAGTCCTTGTGATCATAGCCAGAACTCAAACCCACAGCAGTTGCCAAGGGCACGGCTGAATTATAATTAAGACTCTGGGTCGGGTGTTGTGTGGATCTTTTAATCAATGTGGGGGAGTTAGACACCGCATATCTCTCTGGAAGTAACAAATGAAATGCCAGTTTTGCCCATATGTAATGGCTCCAAAGTGATTCACAGTATTCCAGACTTCTCATGACTCAATGTCTTTGTGGATATCAATAACAGTATTGTACTGTGTACTGCACTGCAATACTGTGCTTATGACCACATCGCCGGGAACGTGCCCAATCCCATCACATAGGGTATTGGGCCAAACCCCGGACCACGGTTCCTCAACGTTCGATTGGTCAACGCATGCTCCATAGTCAACAAGACGGTGCTGATCCATGATCTGATCAATGATTGTGGACTCGATATATTGGCCATAACCTGGGTATATGACAATTCACCGGATGAAATTAAGCATGAGGCTGCACTTAATGGATATGCTATTGTACATCAGCACCGTCGCGGGAAGCCTAGCACCGACAGCCCGCATGGCAGTGGGATAGCACTGATTCACCGTGAAGACGTGCGTGAAAGTCTTGAGTGACTCATTAACAATCATGTAATTCGCTGCTGCTTGTGATAATAACAAACAGCATGCGGGGCTTACGATCGCTGTCATCTACTGCTTTAGGAATTATTTTACAAGCTTTCTGGTCTGCAAGACTGGGTCACTTGGCTTCACTTTACCCGTGATCAGCAGGCACACTCAATTACGCTTCCGCACACGGGTCACATGACAGATGTGGCGTCACAGCTCACTTACCGTGCAAAATATATGCATTATTGCGTCCCTCCCCCCCCCCACAAAAAAGTCTATTTTTTAATGTTTGCATGGTGTACAGTCTGGAAAGTACCCACTTGCCAAATTTCAAGTTTGTTGCATGTCGGGAAGTACGCTAAACATTTTGAACAGACACACATATTCACAAATTTCCCTTTATATATATAGATGAGATTTTTCAGTAGTCAAGGTGGTGACCGTCTCCTGTTGGCAACGCTGTGTTGGTGGTGCCATCGTTTGTGTCAGCAGTGGAGTTTTCCACATTCCCCTGGCAGCAAGCTGTTCTTGACCATGCCAGTGCCGTGTTGAATTGCCACAAAGCGCTGCTTCATATTTTGACAATCCTGCACGGACAATTAAATTAATCATATCTGGTGGTGCTGCTGCTGCGCTGGCAGTGGTGCACAAGCACAACTAACAACTCAACACATTCGTCAGTAATGCTGTTATAGACTCAACACATTCGCCAATAACACAGTTATAATCTTAACACATTCGTCACTTACACTGTTATGAAGGTAACACATTTGTCAAAAACACTGTTATAAACTGAACACATTCGTCAATAACAGTGTTTCTGTTTATGAGGTGTCAGTCAGGTCGGTGGGTGACTGAGCTCTTCCCAAAGTGCGTTCACATTTCCACGACTTTGAACTTACAGTTCAGTGACTATAAACACGTGGGCAATTATTCCTACGTGCGCACATGATGTCAACTAATGTTTGACTGCAATTCAGAGAAAAATCATTTGTCCAACTTTGTCGGCAAGGGGAAAATACTCAAACCACTGGTGTCAGGTGTGCACTGGGTCACACTGACCGCTTCATCCACGCTGGGATGGTGGCGATGGTGAATTCAGTTTTGTGTACGTGTCAAACCATCGACTTATTCCATAAATAAGCCACATTTTCTAAAACCACAAAGAGCTTAGAAACGACACCCCATGTATATGATGATGATGATTTAGAGATGTTGACCGCCGGGCTCTCATTGAGTGGAACCGTCTTAGAGCCGTTGACTCAAGTTCAGATCCTGGTTGGAGGCCGACAATCAATCGTCCATGTAAAAACACTCAACACATTCATCAATAACACTGTCAGTAACACTGTTATTGACAGTGTTATTGATGTGTTATTGACAGTGTTATTGATTAATTGATGTAAGTCCAAAGTTGTGGAAGTGTGAACGCACTTTGGATAAAGCTCAGAGCCACCCACGGACTTGACTGCCATCTCATTCTTAAACGGAGAAGCGTGAACAAAATGTGTAAGGTCATCCTTGACAGCGGCGGAGGGGATCGCTGCCAGGGGTTTGAGTATGCTATACAACCGGCCTCTATCCCTAACCCCAACAAATTAGAGCCCTTGCTCTTAATGGTCTTGCCAACCGGACCCTGGCTCTCCTCTTGGCCTCAATCCCGCCTCAGTCACTTGTAATATCTGCCCCCTCTCACATTGTCCACGTTTGAGTTTTGTGCTCAGAGTGCCATAGATATGGAAACACTGCATAGATATGGACACGCATGTAACATATATGCTATGGAAAGATTTCCCTGACCCCTGTTCTGGAAGTGTGGAATACCCATTACCCTCTCGAGCCATCGGTGGAGATGAGCAGTTACTGTTTTGCGTCACAACGCACTATGACCACATTGACTTACAATACCACGTGTTTGACCTTCGCTTACGCACTGGCCAGGCGTCTTGAAGACGTGCGAGTACCCACACTTCTCGCGACACGCAGATTGCCAATCGACTCTTGTAACCAAATGATCCTGCTGTGGTGGACAGAGATGGAAGGATTTTAGAAATTATACGTTTTGACTGCACGCCTTGCCCGCCCGCAAGGCGTTTAAGTGTCTCGCGTTCTTTCCGCCCCCCTCCCTCTGCCACCCCCATCCCTCGCAGGCGCTGACGATCGATGTGCCAAGCCCGAAGCGGCCCCCCCACTTCACCTTGCTATCCGCGCCACAATGGCGGCGTTGCTGCTGCTGAAGGCGCTGTGCGCGCTGGCCATGTTCGTGCTCATGTCGCTGGGCTGCCTGCTACCCGTGTGGCTGCTGCGCCGCGCGGAGGCGGCTGAGTCGCGGCGCGCCCGGCGCCTCATGGCGGCCGCCAACACCTTCGCCGGTGGCGTCTTCCTCGGCACCTGCTTCTGCGCCCTGCTGCCCTCCGTGCGCGAGAAGGTGCGCTCGCAAAACATCACGGGGCCGGCGGGGCCGACGGTGGTGACGGCGTCGGCGGTAGTGAGGGTTATGGTGAAGGTGGTGAATGAGGGTGACGGTGAATGTGGCGGTAATGATGGTGGTGATGGTGGCGGTGGTGATGGTGGCATTGGCGATGGTGGTGGTGATTAAGTGAGTGAGATGGTGAATGTGGCGGTAATGATGGTGGTGGTGATGAGTGAGGGGCAGCTGGCACTTGGGGTTTCCTTCGAATATTTTAGATGAGATGTGATGTAAAGCACTTGGAGTTGCTCAGACATTCAAGTAAAACGATCGTTATTCCATTATTACTAGCGACGCCGATTCTAGCGATGTGCTGCCGCCCATGGCAATGACTATTGGAGCGTCCTCCCCCTCCTATCCAGGCCTTCATCGTGGGGAAGGCGATGGGCCTCCCGGATCAGTACCCCCTGGCCGAGTGCTGCATGGTGCTCGGCCTGCTACTCACGCTGCTGTTGGAGCAGCTGGTGCTCGTCTGCCGGCGCTCCGAGCCACCCCCGCGCGCCGCCTACGTGGGGCTCGACTCGCTCGACGGAGACGCCGGTGCCGACTCGGACACGGAGGCCGAGGAGGAGGACGCCGACGAGGCCGGGTCGCCGGCGCCGCTCAAGCACGTCCGTCCCCCGCCCGGCCGTCGCCAGCAGCAGCCGCGGCGCCACCGCCACCACCGCCACCACCGCCAGCAGCCGCAGCATGGGCACGGCCACGGCCACTTGGACGCGGCCGAGCTGGCCGAGTCGAGCTCGCTGCGCCTCGCCGTGCTCGTCCTCGCGCTGTCGGCGCACTCGGCCTTCGAGGGTGTCGCGCTCGGCCTGCAGGAGACGGCGGCCAAGGCCGCGGGGCTGGCGGTGGCGGTGGGCGTGCACGAGACGCTGGCGGCGGCGGCGCTGGGCGCGAGCATGGCGCGCGCGGGGCTGGCGCCCTGCCGCGCCGCGCGCCTGGCCGCCGCATTCTGCGCCGCCATCCCCGCGGGTGTCGCCATCGGCACCGCCGTGGAAAACGGCGCCGCGGGGCTGGCCGGCGAAGCCGCCTCGCTGGTGCTGCAGGGCCTGGCCGCCGGCACCTTCCTGTTCGTCGCCTTCCTGGAGGTGCTCGCCAAGGAGATGGCGCACGGGCAGCGCGACCGCGTGCTCAAGGTCGCCTTGCTGGCGGTCGGGTACGCGCTGCCCGCCGGGCTGGCATTCATGCACTGGTGATGCGCGCGGTGCCACCGCCGCCACTGTGCTGGTTACAACCCGGCACGCCGGGACGGGAGACCCGTGCGCGCCGGTCCTTCGGCGTGGCCTCGGGTAGTTGTGGAGAAAAAAAATGGATGACATTTCATGTTTGCACCATTCTCATAGCGCAAGGCTATCTTGAAGGAAGGTGCTGCCGTGTTTCACAGGCATCGTCTGCAGTGGTTTAAAAGTATGGGGTGATGTTGCTCCGTGGTTTCACGCATTTAAATCATTTGCAAGTAATTTTCGGAACGTGGCAAATTCGGACCGCGACGCCACCACATGCTGCCTACTATTTCTTGAAAATCGTCACAGGATATTCAATATCCACTGCGATGCAGGTGGACCACAAGTCCAGTTAAACACACGCGCAGTAGCAATCGGGAGGGCAAGCAAATGTTTCCATGGCGGTTGGAGCGCATAACCCGGAGCCCTTTATTTCTTATTGCTTGTTTAAATGCGTTACCTGGGTTCTGCTTAGAACAGCCAATTCCCAAAAAGAAGGTCGCGAGTTTGAATCCAAGTATAGGGGGCGGTGGACAGAATTCAATGTTTTATCCATCCTGGGTCAAAAGAATGTCACCTTGTGGAAAGCTGATAGGAGTTGTCCTTTGGAGTCACTGGTCCCACCATCATCATCACCATGCACGATCAATCCACTGCTGGATGAAGGCCTCGCCAAGCAGTTGTCATTTTACACGCTCCCTGAGAGGGAAATATCCACCACGGTACCTGCACACGATCCGCTTTCATCGCTACATCTCCTCGCGGACGTGCTCTCTAGCGTGTTTCCCACCGGAGGGTGGCATTTACACCGCTGAGTCTGGCAGATGAGCACCAGTGGTGACTTGGTTGAGCAGGGAAGACACATTGACCGTCTCAAAGCTGCCTCTTTCATTATTACACCAAAGAGCCTGGCTGTTGTCCTGTTTGGTCGATCGCTGACAGTCATGGTGAGGTTGTACCACGGATCTGGAGAAGGAAGGCGCTTTCCTACAATGTGTATTTGTATACATTTACCTGCTGTCATTTCACATGTAATGGATACTGAGTATTGCTCTGTAGACACAAGGTAGACATGTCCCTGTTGCATATTGGGGGACGAAGTCACTTGCGCAGTCACTCCTAGAATAGAGGATGAATTGTGCATTATTATTGTTTTCCACATTTTATTAATATTGCGCAGCGTATGAAACAAGGTGTAGGAGTCTGTATGGAAAAACTCTGATCCCTCAATGGCTTTTTTACTGCTGGTACTGTAGCACGCCATAGCGGAACAAAGCTCGCTAATGAACAGTAGCTCCCTGGGCAAGGTAGGCAAGGAAGTCCACGTTAAAGAAAGACAACCCATAAAACGTAATAATGCAAGAATACTAATAATAATGATCGTACGAGTGTCCATATCGTACCCATAACATAAGGAAATGTCTCCACTAAGATTCATCTTTACACTCCTACTACACAATTTGGTTTGATGAGGTCTGAATGCAAATTCGATGTGTGCAATATAGTGGATTGTGGGTAAATATATAATTAAGGTGTGGCCAAAATAAAATAGTGCTCCTGTCCAGAGCATTTGCCTATTTGAAGTAAACCTTGGACCGGTTTTGACTTTATTTGGGTCTCATCAGCAGAGCGTGTCTTCCACCAATGCCCATGGGAGCTCTCGACACGTTCGGATCTCTGGCTCAAATGACCATCTCAACTGCTTACGGAATTCTCACATGTTAGAATTTTTCCCAAATTTATTAGTTGTGTTTCCGGCATAATGTCACGAGAGGATGAATCCATTCACAACTCTGACAGGGCAGTGCGTTATCCCCGTGGTAGAGAACGGCCTATAGAAAGTGGACATCACAGAGCTCCCTCTGAGATGCCTTCAAGTGGCCTCTGGTGTACCCATCATGGGGGCAGTACATTCCTACACGCCCTGCCACTGAGAGAAATGTTCGTCGCAAGACAGTCAAACTCATGTATTTAATTCTCAAAGCTGGAATAGGCAAATTTAATCACGGAATAAATGTGGTCTTTGTGTGCAGTTTTTGACCGGGCTGAGGCCGTCGACTAACAACACTTGAGAACCTCTGATCCATGTGCCACCTTTACAGATCTTTTTATGCACTGTATATGCGGTTTAATAAGCATTCAGATATTTTCAGAAGGATATTTATCTCTGAGTGGATTAATGGAGGGATGGAAGTTATCTAACATATGATAATTTCCTTTTCATTCACAATCAATGTTGCTGATTATTCTCTTGCTACTTTACTGTCGGTTGTAAGGGTCACTGTGTTAAACTTTTTAAAGTTTACTCTATAAACGTTACTCATAGTTTATCATTTGGCTATTGACTGTGTTTACAAATTAATCATTTGAAATGATGTACAGCCGTCTGGAAAGAAAACATACGGTACTGGTATGAGCTTGTTAATTTGTTTACAACGTTCCTGTTGGTTTTGTTATTCTGGGTGTTCTTATTTACAATTTTAAATAGGGTTTTAAAAATAGAAAATTGGCTAGGTGTTGAACAATTCATTTCAACAGGCGATTGGATGAATTGTCACGATTTGGAGTCGTTCGATTCGAGCCTCAAGCAATTTTGTCTCGTTTTTTATTGTCTCATTGGTTCTGTTTACCCCGAGTGTTATCGGGGTCTTGTTTGTTCCATTAACCTAAATCTGTAATATCCTGTGGAGCACACGTGGCTCAGTGGTACAGCAAGCGGAAGGTTGAAGTTCATATCCTGATTATGGGTTCACTCAGCTCATCAATCATCTACTGCACACGTGACCACGAATGTGAATCGCTTGTCCCTAGGTCTCTCATCTCGCGATATCTTGTTTCTTTCTCTCTTCTCGCTAATCTGTATTTCCTCATGTCCCAGCTAGCCAGATTAATTATTAGCAGGCCATAGCTCAGCGGGCCCCTCCAAAGGGCCTACATCTGGCACACCATTTGAAGAGCCCTGGCCTAAAGGGACATGAACATGTAATCCACATTAATTATAAATACATTTCTCGGACGCACAATTCGATGCGTGTATTGTGAGCACAAGACTCGATCTGGCATGTAATAATTGTAATTCAATGCATTTACATGTTAAATAATTTGTTACATGCCCAATAAATATGTAATGGATAAAGTTTGAAATATTTTTATGGACTGTGGGGACGATTGTTTGGTCACAAATATATGCCACTCCTAAACTTGTTTTTGTTTACTTCACAATAGTCGGTGCCGATTGGTGAAAGCAGGGACCATAAACGTGGGAGGGTAATACAGTACAACAATGGATGTTGCTGCATTGCCCTCTGTTGCCTGCAACATAGTGGCGCAGCAGCCTAGAACAGCTCTGTACTCGCCTGTCTCGTGCGTTGTGATCGCCCATCCAACTACTCTACAGGCTCAACCCTACTTAGCTTCCGAGATCCAGCAGGATGCGATGCATTCCTGGTTATTGTCGTTGGTTAATCATGATAACATCTTGAGATTGGTTTCATAGGAAAAATGTGAACAGTGAAAGTGTATGTTGCATAGCAATATAATGTTGCTACAGAACTCCAAAAAATCTGCGGAGATATGGGAATGGGTTTTTCGCAGATTCCGTAATCTGCGATGTTAATCTAGAAAATCCGCGAGAAAAAATGGTGGACTTTGAGGTTTTAGCCACGCGTCTCCATAAATCCATGAGAAATATATGGATTATAGAAGCAGGGAAGCACGTAACGATACTCCAGAGCAAATTGTCAGCACAGTGACATCTGTTTATATTGTTCTCTCCCTGTATCTCCATGTGTCTCTCTGTGTCTTTGTCTCTCAAGCACTTCAAACACATCTCCATTGTGACTTTTACCTCAAACAAAAGGTAAATGCCATCGCTGGTGTCTTGTGAAAGAGGCATTTTACTTGGCAGATTACAGGAGTTTTTAGCTGCCCTCCAAATGTCCCCAAGTTCTCAGGCGTTTTGATTTTCTCCTCCGCAGATGACGAAAGTTGCAGTAAACCGCGGTTGCCACAGATTTTAGAATTCCCGGATTTATTGGAGTTCTACTGTAATCGTAAAACGAGTCGTGGTATAAATAAACAACGTGGTGCTTATTGTTTGGTATTTGTAATACTAATATATACTACTATGGAAATAGTGGATGCATTGAATTTAGTCTGAATTTTACAGTTTATAACTGTATTTCTGTTGTAATTATTTTAGATAACTTGGAACAATAGGCTCATTGTTTACCATTAAAACTGTGAGCCGAGGGCAAGGCTATCAGACACTTCCCAAATGCCGGTCACGCTATCAGACGTCAAATACAGCACGGAGGTTTCCTGTGGCGCCTCGTGGCAGGGCCTGCGCTGCAAGATTCGCAACGCCACTGGACGGACGGCCACGAGTGGTGAAATAAACCCCAAACTGTTCTCAAAGGTGACGTGGCATTCGTGAAGAAATGGTGTGGATGTAAATAAGGTACAATCTTGTTATAAAACCATCCCATGTCGATACTGTGTTGTCTTTATTGCACTTTTGTCATATGTCTTAACCAATTGAATTATATTGGACATCTGTGGAAATAATGGACAACTAAAAATAGCCATATAGCTCATCGGATTCCTCCAGTATATATAAATATTATGATTCATATTCTGATCAACATGATACTCTTAGAGGAAGAGATCTCCCCTGCGCCCCTGTTACAGTCTGCCAACTCGGTGCGTCTCATCCTGCCGGCGCGTCGCTCACCTGTCTGTCCCCCGCTGTTGTTGGCAGGCGGCTGCCTCAAACTGCGTCCTTCACGAGCCTCCATATAAAGTCGATCTTAGCACCGCTGGTACCAATGATTGTGTACTGGAGATGCTTAATAACAGAGGGATATGTTTAGAGTGGATTTCCACGTAATTGGCATTCAGCAAATGGTTGTTTTCCCCCCAAACTGCGTCATCCACCCTTCACTTCACACAGCCAATTAGGAAAGTCGTCACGTGACGAGCAAGCCTACCAATGTATTACTACAGCACCGCCGGCGTGTTGGAGACCAATGGGTACGACGTTTCACTCATAGTTACAACCAGCAGCAGCATCAGGTAGTAGCCAGAATTAATAAAATAAGGCCCAGTACTTGGAGGACATTTTTTGCACATTCTGCGCTGCGTGCGCCCTCTGGTGGTGACCGTGTTGCTCTCGCGGTACAATTTGATGATGACTTTTATACAGCCGATTAATTTTAGTCCCGAGTACAGGAGTACTGTTAAGAAGAAGCAAGGCGATTGTCGCTGTCGCCTTTTCCCCTTTGGAGACGAACGGCTTCTCTACGGGCCCGTGTCTCCTCTCGTATGGCCGGACGTGCAGGGTGAACGCCGAGTTTGTGTTACACCAGGAGGAGCCCGCGGCACCAGGAGGAGGCACCAGGAGGAGACGCGGCGAGGACCGCAGCGGTGCCGCACGGGCGGCGCGTTCGTTGCTGTGGTCACTGGGATTTTGCTCCGGGTCCTTTCCCCCCCTCCACATCTAGAATCAACATTACGCGTTTGGAGTGTTTGGCTGCTTTACATTTCCGCATGATGAGCCACTTTGTTGAGCTATCGCTTGTGGCCAGGTCGCTTCTAAAGAAGCGCTACATAGCTCAGTGGGTCTCACCTGGGTAAAGTAAAAAGTGTTTATCGTTTCAGTGGTCGTGGGAGCCCGGTACTCCCACAGTAACATCCTCTGTGGGGGTTTATTGTTTACCACGTCCATTGATGCCCACAATCTCGTCCCGTGAGTGCCAATCAATGCCTTTAGTTTCGGCTGCGAGCTCAAGAGGCGCGCGTCCAGAAAGGTTTCCTGGATTCTACCCATTGGCGTGATTCTTGTCGGTGTTCATAATACAAGTGTTTGGGTTTAATCCCGTAAATGTGTCGTTACTCCAACCACCACCCGACAGCCAATTAGTAAGGTTTGCGTCGGGTGGTGGTGGGTTAACGACACATTGACCGTGATTTAGGCGATCTACCCCCACCACCTTTATAGTGAATATACTACTGGTCGCGCAAGCCCGCGGCGTGTTCACTTGTAGGTGTTGTTGGAGTGGCAGAGCGTCGTTGTCCATCACCTCGTGGTGCTTGCCTGGCCGTCGCTGCGTCACGTCGCATGTTGGCTGGGGCGATGTTCGCTGGCACGGGAAAATAGCTCAAACTCGTTCTTCATAAATAAGTCGACCCCTGTGTAAGCGATCTCGATAACAGCTACACGCAGACACATGGCAGTGTGAAGGTTGCATCGTGTAGGTCATCAGCCGGAGGCAGCGAGGGTTGACCACACGAAGGTTGCGGAACGCCCTTCCCATGGGCATTGAGGAGCCATGAACCCGACCTCGCCAGGCGAAGGCAGCAGCAGCAGTAGCAGCAGCAGGGAAGTGAGTACTCACACATCGGCTCTGTCCCTTCTGTATGTTGCTCTCTCGCACACGTTGTTGCACTTCTCTGGGCACTTTTTATCCCACGTAAGAACTCATGAATTAGCCGATAACACCTTCATATATATAGGACCGCAGACCTCGGGCAATTGTTGGGACCGGCTCACCACGTGACTGTCTCCCCTGCTCGTCTGTAGTTCCTGGGGCCGCTGGAGATGTCCTCTCTATTCGAGAGCAAGCAAATACTTACGTTACAAGTTGACATTAGTATCGAGGGTATTTGTTCTACTACGCCCAATTGACGAGGCGTGTTGGCAGAGATGAGCCTTCCCACACTTTGGCCCACCACGCACAACCTGCCGATCGACGAACCGTGCTGGTGAACCTATTTGCACTGCTGCCGGGTGGACACAGGCCCGCTTTGCTTCAACTGCGGTGCCGCGAGATGGACTCGAGCCGGCGACCTCTCTGTTACAAGTCCAGCACGCTGCTCAGCATGACACCACTGGCAGCTCCATTCGTCTCCCAATTAAACAGTTAACTTGCAAACGGTTATGCCTCAACGTGCTACTGGTTTGGCATGCGGTTACCGGTTACACAATAACAAACGCTTCATAAACTTTCCTACAAACAAGCAGCCTCGTGTTCCTTCCTGTCCTAATTAAACTGGCGTGGCAGGCAAAACGAAACATCACATCACCAATGCAAATACCACCGATATAGGGACTCAACTTTACTAGTTTTAAACTCGCGGTGTCCACAAACTCCACCGGGAGCAGAACCTCGTGCAACCTCGCATCAAACACACGTGCTTACTTGGCCATGCGGAAAAATAAACTTACAAGCATTTAAATGTATTAGTGCACATTAACTCTAAACATGAGATGTCGTAGCACGGACAAGCGTCGCGGTTCGTTGCATCGTAAATATCTAACGCCGACCGCGCTAACCGAGTTCCAGTGCTGAACAACGCCGCTCGACTCTAACACCGGCCACTCTTGGCCCTGCATCTCGAATGAATGGAAATGACAAACTCGCGACTACTGCGCCTATCAAGCTAACCACCATTCAGCAAGGCGGCTCGCCGTCTTCTTACGCACAATCACAAACTCGAATGCCTCTTTATTTTTTCCACAGAACAACCGAGCGACGCCGGGCCGTTGCCGAGTCAACCCGGCGCGGCTCAGGAGAGGCAGGGTTACTTTTCCACTGCAGATACCGAGCCGTGCCGTCGACGTCGCACGTAACGAATGAGCCGAGATGCGTGGAAATGAAGCGGTGACTCCGTGTCCTCACAGTGTAGCGACTCTTGGGATGAGTTTATCACTATTTACAGAGGGGTACACTTGAGTTATCTTCTTGGTTCTTTCGGTAAAGTCACGTAGAAAAATTGTTTTATTATGTTTTATTTTTATTATTTTATTACTTCCCTTCTACGTGACTTTACCGAAAGAACCAAGAAGATGAATCCCTGCAGTCACGAAAGCTTTAAATCGAAACTTGAGTTATCGTTGTCTTTCGGCAGTGCCAATGGGCCCCCCGAAGAGTAAAGGTTACATATTCTTGGGTCTGTCGGTGAAGTCACGTAGAAAGGAAATCATATTCTTGGGTCGCGTAGATAGGTTCTATCTACGTGACCCAAGAATATGAATTCCTGCAGTCACAAAAGCTTTGATTAAAGAGAAAAGGTGACAGCTCTCTCTCCATATGTGGGATCCCCCAGAGCAGCAGTGGCAATGGATGCCTGTCGGATATTGATGAGTCCAAACGAAAACGAACCCCGTGTGCTGTGTCTCCTTATCCACTGCCACCTGTTGGGATGGCCACATTTTCATATATTTTTTAGTTGGTCGCTTAAACATGAAGTGTCACGGGTTCGGCACTTTTGAGGTGTGAAATTTGAGCGTGAAATGTGTTGGTCACGTGACAAGCATGCCAGGCAATGTGGGGGGAGCCCTCCTGCTGTGTGTCGTCACTATCTTAAAACAAGTCTAAGCGTGGCCCCTTACTCCGGAGCCAATTACGTAAATTCCACATTCCCATGGCAAGGACCGCTGTCTCCATAGGACAACTCCTGTTGACTATTACACAAAGTGGTACTTTGTGTTATTAACTGTGGAGGGATGGTGGAAAAAGTTGAGCCCCGACCAAGATTATAAACCCGCGACTTACCTCCCCAATCACGAGTAAAGCGCCCCAACCCCAGCGCTGCCCGCTCGTACAAGGGGCGTCGATTTTGAGCGCGCCAGGCGCCGTGCGGCATGAAAACACGATACCGACAACCACCGTAAACACAAACATAAGTTACGGCTACCAACGATCAGTGTGCCATGCTTCGTCGGAATAGTGCTCACTGTGGCTCCGTGCGGAGACAAACTCGATGTGAATGAGAGAAGAGGGGTCGACGTGGGCGAGCCGTGAGCCTGAACTAAACACAGTCCAGGCCCCTTCCGAGCTCAGTCCGATCGCTCGCTACCCCAAGCTCTCAACCTCGCTCAAGAAACACCGCAACTCTTTCCCATTACAACTTTGACGCCAGTGCCACGTGTTTGTTGCTGCCTACGTTGTGGACCTGTGCTCAGGAAACACGAGAACCAAATCCCTCACTCTGCCGGCACATGCTGCCTCAGCCCCACGCGAATTCTGTAAATTTGACAAAACAAAGTAACATGACCAAATGAGCGCTCGGAGAGAGCCGTGCCTTCTTGATTGGCCCTCGATCGATTCTCGAGCGCACATTCCGCGTCGTCTGTGCCGTCCGCGTCACATTGGACAAAGATCCTTTGACGCCACTCGCAAGAGCAGGCCGTGGTGTGCCGGCATCACGGTCCAGTTATGCCAAATTCAAAAATGACACCGCAGACTAAAGCACACTTTCAGACCAGGTTCTAAGTCATCTTGTGCCGCACAGGGACAGCTGGCACTGGGGGTGTTCTTCGAAGGCATTGAGATAAGATATGAGGTGAGATGTGAGATGTAAGGCTGCTCTGGGTTTGCCGAGCCTTAGAAAAGGGAAAGATGGGGAAACGTTTGGTAACTGTTCACGGCAAGGTCCAAAAGTTTTGCAGGGTCGGTACTCGGGGATTCATGACGGCGCCCAGTAGACGGGGAGGAGGTGCCCCCCCCCCCCCTCCCGGTTTGCGTGGACGAGCACGGCGACACGGGACAGCAGCGAGTCCGAGCTCCCGGCGTGGGGTTTGGAAACATCCGAGAACGTCGCCTACGCTCCGCACATGCGGTGGGAGAGGTCACGCACGGCTCCCGGATTGTGTAGGTCGCAAGGTCGTGGAAGCGCGAGGCCTGCCGCCGTCCCGTGGGCGGATGCGCCAGAGAATCCTCGCGGTGGCGGATGGCGTGGGGGGTCTGGGGACCGTGGGCAACTCGGCACGCTCCGAGCGCTACTCGACGGAGAGCCGACACGGGGAGACGTCGTCTCCGCCCGATAGTAAAAGACAAAGGGGCAAGCCCTGCAACTGCTCACTCCCGTCCTCTGCTGGCGGGTCTCCACCAGAGGAAGCGCGATAGAGCCCTTGCCTATGGGGTATTTGGCTCATTCTCCCACGCTTACCACACGACGTGGAAGAGGTGAGAGAGTAACCTCGTCTTTTTCTCATCCATCGTCATTTCACCCAAAGTTTATCTGATTGCACTGCTGTTGGCATCACACGGTCAGGAGACGAAGAATCCATTCGGAAAACTTGCAAATGAATGTGACCCCCTGCCCGCAGCGGTAGAGAAGGGCTGAATCTTGGGGGCCACTCTCGAATGCGGAGTTGGGATGTGAGACGTGAGGGAGCGGCTTTTTATTTACAGTGTGAGCATCTGTGTGAGGGAGAGAGGCTTGTGGGGGGAGCCTCGTGTAGGATGCTACTCGGCAGTGCCAGGCTAGGTGCACTGTAACGCTACTGGGCAGTTGGAGGCAGTCACCCTCTGACAACAGCGGACAGTGGAGAAATCACGCTAACAACAGTGGGGAGCACAGGTGGTGCAATCTGCCAGTTATCTCAGAAAGTCAACCCACTGCCCTTGGGTCTTTCCCGTGACCTCCTGGCAGCAGCGAGCCTTTCCACACTTCACGTCGCCTCAAGGTGCACCTAGCCTGGCACAAGTGGCAGTGTTGTAGTGACGTTAGGGTGACAGTGGGTGTTGTTAAGGATGAGACTGAGTGAGTACGATGTGAAGCACTTGTGGCGTTGTTGTTGCGAGGAATCCGGTGCTCCAGTCCCAGCTCCCACGGCCACGTGACTGTGTGTGCCTCCAGTACAGTGGCTTCACAGTAAGGATCTGGTTCCTAAACGTAGAGTATAACTTTTTAAATGTCATTTTATGACCAAACAAATAAAAAAACTCACAAGGACTGATGCTAGAATTGTTAAAATATAAGTGGGCCTTTTTGTGAATATATTAATACAAAAATTAATTGCTAAGTCCAGATTCAAAGTCCTGATTCCAAATTCTAATGATCACTGTGACAAGTGAAATCAAGTTGAAGAGAGCACTGGGCCTAAGTACTCGCACGAACCTCAACACGAGAACCACCCACAGTAAAAACCGGCGTGCGTAACAACATCCAATCGACGCGAGCTACTACCTCGCCTCGACCGTGTTTTATGATGAACGCAACGTGCACACTTTGTTCACAGAGCAGCTAAGCTGGAACTCCACGCGTACCATACACAGAGCACCGATGTGTGACACACACGTGGATTCTGGGCTCAGCCTCTGCGCGTTGAGAAATCTCTCAAGGACAGTGCCGATTCCACTCCCGGAAGACACCGTGGGAGTTTGTGGCGACGGCCAGAGAAACATAAGTGCCCGTCCACAGCCTGACCCGGAAAACCCGACCCAGATTCCGAGCGATACAGTTGGAATAAAAAAAAACTGCTAAATTAAAGTTTGAGGTTCAGCGTGTAATCCAGTTTCAATTAACTCCTAGCAGGTCCACATAGTTAGGGACGAAATCTCTTTGAATACTGACACCCAAAAGCTTACAGGGTAAGTGGGGACGCATCATAAATAAAGACGAAAGCAGAGACGGTGGCCGCTACGCGCGGTTGGATGTTTGCTGTTGTCTCCAAAAAGTTAATTTCAGCCAAAACGAGCATTGGGCCTTTGGTGGCTCATCTCCCGTTTACAGCCCTGCGGAGCCAGTGGTGGAAATTCCACATTCCTTTGGTGGGGATGATTCTCTCCATAGGACAACCACTGTTGATTTCCCCATGCAAAAGTGGTGTTTAATTTATTGACGCTGGAGGGAGGGATGATGGTGGTTTGAGTAAACCCCGCCAACCAGGATGTGACCTCGCAACCAGAATGTGACCTCGCAACCTCCCTATTGCGAGCCGCTTGCTCTGCCACCGAGAGAATTTGGTTTACGGAGGTGGTGGTGGTTTCTGCCGCGTTGGGTGAAGAGGACTTCTCCAGAACTTCTCGTGGCCGTCTCATCTTGAGTGACCTGGGCAAGGCACATTGTGACCCACGCACGCACACACACGCACGCACACACACGCACACGCACGCACACGCACGCGCACGCACGCACACACACACACGCACGCACACACGCACACACACACATGCACGCACGTTATAAGGAGGCAGCAGCACGAGCATGAGGAGAGTCTGATACGGGGTCTCGCTCCCCGAATGAGCAACGGGACGTCGATCCCGAGGGTTCGTGGCCGTAATGTTAACAACACAAATACCGATCCGTTTCTGTAAAGGCCACCACGACGACCGGCTGTGACTTCGGGTCTTCTCTCTCTCGACGGAGGGTTCATGAGACGGCACGAGGTGTCTCCTGGCTATCGCCGTGGATCCCGCTCCACACCTGCATGCTACTCGGAACCCGAAGTGCCGTCCAACCGGGTGCCTCGGAGCCTTGAATATTCCACCACTCGTCCTCTCCACATCCACCCGCTCACCCGGAGACTTCGAATCTCCCGCGCGGCTCGCGCTCCCTCTCACCTCCTTCACCCTGTCACTTCCTCCCTCGCACGCCCCCCATGCCCTGACACTCCCTCCCTCGCTCTCACCTCCTTCACCCTGACACTCCCTCCCTCGCTCCCCCCCCCATGCTCTGACACTCCCTCCCTCGCTCCCCCCCCCCATGCCCTGACACTCCCTCCCTCGCTCCCCCCCCCATGCCCTGGCACTCCCTCTCTCGCCGTCACAGCAGCCAAAACGCGACTTCACACCACTCCACTAGAACCTCCCTCCCCTTTAGGTCACTGGGACCCACTCCCCGATGGTCTCACCTGTTATCCCCCCCACCCCATCGTATCTTGATGCCTATTGGCCTTTCGGGACGCAGACCCCTGGTGCCATGCCTACTCCGGCCAGGTCTCCCCTGGCCCGCCTTCTCTGCCCCCCCCCCACACCCCCTGCTGTCCTCGACTGCCCCTGCTGCCCTTGGCCGGCTCTAACCCCCCCGCCCTCCTTCACGCCACCACGGCGCGTCGACTCGGAGCGATTCACACGCCGATGAGCGACTTGCATGGCGGCTCCAGCAGTGGATTTATCACGGCCAATGAGGACGATGACAAATGTGTTTGCTTGCTATTATTCACATGTGAACATAAGAAGGCGATGAAATGCTTTGATAGATACAAAGATCCCCCTATAGCCTGAACAGACCGTTGGGGGCAAGTGGGTGGGCAGCGTCATTGTCGGCCACCTTCGTATCCCCGTTGCGGATGTTTGCACAGCACAGCAGGTAATCATGTGAGGCCGAGTAGACCGACACGCACGCACGCACCTGGCTGCAAGGCCTTGGAGCGCGTGTGTCGGACCAGAGACTTGGTCGCGGCTTTCTCCTCCTCCGCCGCCGCCACCCTTTGAGCCGCGAGCCCGGCGCCGACGGCTCTGGCGGCGTGCCGGTGGGTCCGGCGATGCAGGGCGAGGCACGTCTTCTTGGCGAACGCCTTGCGGCACACGGGGCACTCGTACCGCGCCGGCGCCGACCTCGCCGCAGAGGCCACGTCGGCCGCCTCCGCCCTCCCGTTCGCCATCGTCGGAGACTTGGCCCGGCACGGCGGCAACTTTGCGGGCGCCGGTGCCGGCGGCGGTGACGACGGTGCCCCGATCGCGGCAGCGCCGGCGGGGTCGGCCGCCGGGTCGCCCACCCGCTCGTCCGGACCCTTGGCTCGGCCGCGGCTCAAGAACGCGTCTATCGGCTTCTTGACGGCACGGCTCTCGAGGCCGCCCACGATCTTGGCGAGGTCGCGCGAGCGCTTCTTGTGCACCATGGTGATGTGGCGCACCACGTCGCGCTTGCGTCGCGTCTCGTAGGGGCACAGCGGGCAGCGGTAGAACTTGACGTAAATGCCGCCGCCCTCGTCGCGGTCCGAGTGCAGCTCGATGTGGCGGAGCATGTTGGCGCGGTTGGTGAAGCAGCGCTTGCACAGCTTGCAATACAGCCGCTTCATGTCGAAGCCCAGCGACAGCCGGAGCCGCCGACCCTGCGCGGCGCGCGCCGTCCTCGCCGCCAGCGCCAGCAGCTGCTGGCTGCGGCCCAGCCCGTCGTCGTGACGCCCGTGTGCGCTGCACGCGTGCCGCTTGAGCCCGGCCTTGGTGGCGAACTTCTGAGCGCACGCGTCGCACCGCTCGCCGCCGCCACCGCCGTCGGAATCGTCGACGGACGACGCGGAGGAGGACGAGGCGGGGCCAGCGACGCGCGGGGCTCCCGCTGGCGCTGACTCCTTCTCTGCTTCGACGTGAGTGCGGTGCGGCGCCCGCTGCCGACTCCTGCGCGTGCGGTCTCTCCGCCGCCGCTGCCGGCGCCGGCTGCCGGCACCGTCGCCGCCGGACGACGAGTCGCTGTCGCCCTCCACGCGGCCAATGTCACGCCGGTGGATGAGCAGCATGTGGCGCTTGAGCGTCTGGGCCGTCGTGTACTGCCGGTGGCAGCGCAGGCACATCTTGGTCTCCATGTCCCAGTCGGCGGCCGGGCCCGAGCGCCCGACGCCGTCGTAGCCGTAGCCGTAGCCGTAGCCGTCGGCGCCGACCGAGTGGCGCTTGGCACGCGTCTCCACCGTGGACGTGCGGAACGGCGGCCGCTGCCGCCGCTCCTCTTCCGCGCCACCGCGCACGACCTCCCCGGGCTCGCGGAGCGACGGGTCGGCCGGGTCGCAGGAGGACGCGGGGCTACGCGGCGCCATTTGCAGCAGCGTCAGCAGTTCCATGGCGCTGCGGCTCATGGGCGTGCTGGACTTGCGCCGGGAGACCCGCTTGACGCTCGGCTCGGGCTGCGGCGTTTCTGCCGCCGCGACGTCGCACGCCGCTTCGGGGAACTCGACGGTGCCGGCGCTGTCGGCCGGCGGCGGAGGTGGGAGGTCCCGGTCCGGCCCAGCGTCGTCCGCGGACTCCCTCGCTCGCTTGGCCGAGCACGGGCGCCGGGAGGAGACGACGCAGGATAGGTTGACGACGGGCTCCAGAGAGCCGACCGTCGCGTCCGACACGCCCAGCGCCGGCGCCACGCCCGACCGCTCGGCGGCCGCTCTCGCGCAGGTCGCGCCCCGGCCCGGCCCAGCGTCCGCGGCGGCGCCCGGGCGGTCGCCCCACCCCGCGGGGAACGCCGGCGGCCTGGCGGCGCCAGAGGCCTCCGGCTCGCCGGATCGGCGTCCGGAGAGAGAGAGGTCGACGTCGCTGCCGTCGGAGTCGTCGTCGTCGTCCTCCTCCTCCGCGGAGCCAAGCGCCGACACGGAGCCCGGGACGGCGGAGGCCGTGGTGGCGATGGCGCCGGTGTCACGGCGCACGCCCAGGTGGACCTCGTCAAAGTGGCGGCGCGTGTTGGCCTTGGTGGCGAACGATTTGCAGCACAGGGGGCACGACTTCCCCGCGAAGGCCGGGGGCCCCGGCGCCTCCGAGGCTGGGGGCGAAGGCGAGGCCGGCGCCGGCGAGGCCGGCGACTCCGCCGCCGCGCCGGCCTCGCCTCCCCCGCCCCCCGCCGTGCGCCGCGCGCCGCCGATGAACCCGCCGACCTCTTCGGGCGGCTTGCGGTGGATGACCTTGATGTGGCGGCGCGTGCTCTTGCGCGACGCGAACACCTTCCCGCAGATGCGGCACGTGCGGTTGACGGACGACGCGATGTCCGGGAGGGGCGGCGGAGGTGGCCGCGGCGGGCCGCCCGAAGCCGCGTCGGTCTCCGGCGACGAGGGCCCAGCGTCGCCGGCATCGCCATCGGCCGGCGGCGCTGCCTCGTCAAACTCCGGCTCCACGGCGGCGGGGCCCGGCGGCGCCTCGCCAAGCGGCAGCGCGCTCTGGAAGACCGCATTGGAGTTGGAGGAGATGGGCTCCAGCTCGATGACGTACTCCTGCCGGTCGGCACGTGGGTAGATGGCCTCCAGGAGCTCCTTGACGGCCTGGCTCTGCCGGTCCGCCTTACCGGAGGTCGACGGCTCTGCGAGATCAAGCGCGAGGGTCAAGAGATCGCCGCGGCAGCCGGGCAATCGGTGCCGGTCGGCGAGCGGCCCTTTTACCGTCAGGCGGATACGATGTCTCGCCGTGCCGACTCTCCGCGTAGCGACGCGCGGAGCGAACCAAGTCGCCCGCGGTCCCTGGGTTCCCACGCCATCTGCTTCCGCGAGGGTTCTGGGCGCATCTGCCCACGGGATGCCAGCCGACCTCGCGACCCCACGACCTCGTGACCCCACGACCTCCGCAATCCGGGAGCCATATGGGATCTCGCTGGCCGTGTAGGCGCCGTTCTTGGACGTTTCGGAATCCCGCACCGGGCAATGACGTTACCCTCATCCGCGGTGTTGATCCCGGTTTGTGCGTAACGCTAACGTCGCGCCCCCAACCCCCCCTTCCACCCTGGCCACGGATCCCGCCCACACCAACGTGATACACCACCATAGGGACGGAGGGTGGGTCCAAGGATTTGCAGCCTGCTAGCGTGTCTATTTATTACTAATGATAATAATGATGATGATGATGGTAATAAACAGGCCACCAATGAGGTGAGACCGACCGGGCAGGCGCTCCCAGCTGCAGCAGTAGGCCTCCTTGTGCAGGACGAGGTTTGGGAGGCCGCGGAAGAGGCTGCGGCAGGCGCGGCACTCAAAGATGGTGTCCACCTCCCTTAGTAGCAGGTGCTTCAGCTGCGTCGTGCCTGCAGTGCCGGCGGCAGTGGGAACAGCGGCAGAAGCGGTAAAAGCGGTAGCGTTACATTTCTGACTTAATCGAAAAAGAGAGGCCGTGTGGAGCCACCACATCTTCCACCGGAGACCCAACCTGGACAACTTTTTCTGTGAGCCTCGGCCTATCTAAAAGATTGAGCGTGTGGGCGAGTGAGTGGATGGGTGAGTGAGTGCGTGGGTGAGTGAGTGCGTGGGTGGGTGAGTGCGTGGGTGGGTGATTGAGCATGTGGCTGAGTGGGTGTATTGGTGAGTGAGTGGGGTGAGATTCTCATGGTGGGTGGTGCCCCCGCTGTATCTCGTGGCACCACTACCCCCCCCCCGCCCCCCCACCACACCTGTGCAGAAGCACTCGATGATTTGCTGGATGCCAGACTTGGCTGTGTTCTGCTGCGGCTGCAGCAGCGCGGGGTCCGGGGACTCCACGGCTGTGGGGACACGCACGTACACACGCACGTACACACGCACGTACACACGCATTCACACGCACCCACACGCACCCACACGCACACGCACCCACACACGTACACAACGACAACCGGCTATCACCACTAAGTGGTGGTGACATCACCACGACGCTTGTGCCAGGTTATGTGCACTTTAAGGTCACGTGAAGTGTTGAACACTCACTGCCAGGTCATGGGACAGACCCAGGTGCCATGGGTTGACTGACTGAGATGCCCGAGAGATTTACCAGCTTTTCCTCCTACTGGGCCAACTTGCTGCGTATTAGCTGCCCGGTTCGTTGTTTTGAGCGTCGCTCCTCTGCCCTCCGTTGTTGTTGGAGGGCAACTGCCTCTGACTGACCAGTAGCGTCCTTCACGAGCCTCCTCCATAGAGGCCGATCTTGACACCACTGGTACAATCTAGATCAAATCTAGACTTGACGTTTTCGTGACTGCAGGGATCCATACTCTTTGGTTCTTTCGGTAAAGTCTCGTAGATAGAAAATATTTTATGCCTACGTGATTTTACCGAAAGAACCAAAGAGTATGGACCACTGGTACAGTCTTCGGCAAATACACTCCACATCCTCCTGTACTGCATCAGTCCATCTCTTCATCTCTTCTTCAACGTATCGTGACCATTTAGCCCCCTTTATCCTTTCAAACAGAAGCTGCTTGGGCATCCGGTGGCTGGGCATGCGGTGGCCGAGCATGTTGGCTACTTGACGCACGATGCGATCACGTGGCTCCTCGGCAATGAGCGCGGCTCGTTAACATTGCTGCAGCGTCTCACCCCGCACCTGCGCTCCCACTGACCAGGGCTCCCGGTCGTGGTAATTGGGGCGGCATCACGACGACGCAGTAGGCACGCGCGCGGAGGGGACCGGCTCTCCAAAGACGCGTGCGACCGCCCATGCGGGGATTTTTTTAATAAGCTGCCTCGAGGCGCGAAGAGGCCCGGTGGACTTTGTGGAATCGGAATCGTCGCCAAATCCCAGCGACGCCGCTCATGGAATCGCCGGGGCGCCGTCCCCGCGTTCGCGCCCCGGCGCCCCGGGGACGCCGCCGCGGTTCGCACCGACGACGCGGCAGCAGGGCCGCGGATTTGCGGCGTGCGCCCGCTCGGGATCGCATTCCTGGCATTCCGAGCATTCCCGCGCCACACGGCCAACCTTTGGTTCCACCGGCTGTGCGTGTGCACTCGGCAGGCGGGCGTGTGAAGGAGCCCGGTTGTTCCTTGCGGACGGCGTCAGAGCGATGAATGCATCTGGCCAGCAGGGCAGGTGGCTCAGGAGGTCAGAGCGCTGAAATCCTGGGATCGAATGCAGATTTCAGCCACGGCCCCTGGCACCACCTTTGTGTCCCCAGTGATCGTGTTTGCATCTCGCACCAGGAACTCCGGCGGGACACAGTACCAGGTTTAGATACCACTCCTAGCCACTGATGCTAGCTGTTAACCACAACCATGAATCAAACTCGGGTCACCGTATTTGTAGTGCGCCACCACTCCTCACACACAGTGACGTGGCCGGGGATGGTGTTGGCCTTCATATGTGCTCGCTAACAGCACTTGCCCTAACAGTCTGTTAAAGGCTATATGTGGAATCATCTTTGTCACTGAGGCCGAGGGATGGCTCCCTATTGGTCAGCTATGATATGGAAATGTCTGCTCACTGAGGAGTTGGGGGTTCTACTGCTGAACTTGGAGCGTGCCACAAAGAGGTGGGGCCATACCATCAGCCCCACCAAAACTAAGCACCTGGCTGGGTATTTTATGTCATCAAACACTCCATCCCCTCAATTCCCGATGAGTGATGGACCAGTTGTGGAGAGAGTGGAGAAGTTTCTGTACATAGGTAGTGTGCTTATGACCAGCACCGGTTTGCCAGCAGAGGTCTAACTTATAATCAGTCATCACCTGTTTAACACTGTGTGGAAGCAATCTGGTCTGTTACTCCACACAAAGCTTAGGGTCTTCTCAGCCACAATTATGCCCTCCCTTCTCTATGCTTGCAAAACGTGGACCCCTCTCATGGAACATTTGTGCCAATTAAACACATTCAGGCTGGCCTGGCTATGATCCATCCAGGGTTTAACCAGGCTGGATTGTGTGAGGAGCTCACATATCCTTCAAAGATCTGGACATATTCCCATCAGTGAGCTCCTCCAAGTTCCATCAGTGATCAGGTGAGACTGAGTCATGTAGCCCACATTCTCAGCCACGGCAAGCCCAAGCAACTTCTGTCTGGCTGGATAGAGGGGTCTAAACGGGTGCAGCATGGGCTCGAGAAGAGATGGAGAGAATGCGGTTCAGGAGAATGTGAAGCTGGTGCAATTTACAAAGACCGGTACCAGTGGTGTCAAGATCGGCCTCTATGGAGGAGGCTCATGAAGGATGCTACTGGGCAGTTGAAGGCAGTCGCCCTCCAGCAACAACGGAGGGCAGGAAAATGAGAGGAGCGCAAGACAGCTAAGAGGCAACAATGTGGCCCAGTGGGGAGCCCAGGTGGTACATCTGCCAGTTATCTCAAACAACCCACGGCAACCGGGTCTGTCTCGTGACTTCCTGCTGGCAAGCCTTTGAAACCTCACGTGGCCTCAACGTGCACCTAGGCTGGCACAGGTGAGGTGGTGACATCATCCATTTCATAGTGAATGGCGGTTCTTGTTCTGTCCATGTGTGTGTCACTGTGCAACTAGGGGAGTAGTAGTGTAGTGGTTAGTGATAGTGGTAGTGTAGTGGTTAGTGATAGTGTAGTGTAGTGGTAGTGTAGTGGTTAGTGATAGAGTGGTAGTGTAGTGGTTAGTGATAGTGTAGCGTAGTGGTTAGTGATAGTGGTAGTGTAGTGGTTAGTGATAGTGTAGTGTAGTGGTTAGTAATAGTGGTAGTGTAGTATTCTTAGGTTTTTTCGGTAAAGTCACGTAGGTAAAAAAATGTAATTAATAAAAGTAAAACAAAAATAAAATAAAAATCACGACGTTTCGGAGGCAACACAAGCTTCCGTCTTCAGGGGGAACCGTCACAGCACGATTGCTGTATCAAGTAAGAGAAATTCCAAGAAAACAGTCCTTGTATACATACTGGTTGAGGGTGGGAGGAGCCAAGGTAGGCCCCTGGATATTATTATTGTGAGGTTCGGTGCGGCTGAAGCCGCTGCTAGGAATGAGCCTTTGTTGTGTAGACTGGTTGAACTGGGAGGTTCCAAGAGTTGTTAAGGTGCGGCTGATGTAAAGGTGCGGCTGCTGTAAATTGGGACTGAGCCTTTGTTATGTAGAGGTGGTGCGGCTGAAACCGCTGCTAGGAATGAACCTTTGTTCTGTAGACTGGTTGAATTGGGAGGTTCCAAGAGTCGTTAAGGTGCGGCTGATGTAAAGGTGCGGCTGCTGTGAATGGGACTGAGCCTTTGTTATGTAGATGAAACAGCACTTTGCTACGTTGCTGGGATTAATTCTAGATTTGCCAAATATGTGTGGTAAAACTTAAAGCAGGAAAACCAGTGTGTAAAAAAAAAGAATAAACTATACGGTAACTGAAGAATATTTGGACCATCTTATTTGACAGGCACTATTCTTTTTTACCTACGTGACTTTACCGAAAAAACCTAAGAATATAAATACTTGCAGTCACGAAAGCTTCAAATCTAGAATTGGTAGTGTAGTGGTTAGTGATAGTGGTAGTGTCGTGCTTAGCGCACTTTGTATGAAGCTGGAGACCCGAGTCCAATTCCCACTCGCGGTCAACATCGTTGATAAATCTGAACCAATTCTGGGTCTCTCCTAGGTCGACTCAGCCTTGAATAAGTACCTGTTGTGGTGTGTAAACACCACACCAGGTACACCACACCAGCACTGGGGAGACAAAGAGGCCGGGTGTGGTGCTGACCCCACCACCCCCTTACATGCTGGTGCGGCCTTCATAGGTGCTCGTGCAGAGCACTTCTCCACCAAGCTGTTGAATGCTGACAGGAGATCTTTGTTGAGTCACAAAGACAAAAGCAGCGTCACACAGTGATGCATACACAGTGACACACAATACATACACACAGTGACACACAAGGACAAAGACCTCCCGTGTAGCCTTAACAGACTGTTGGGGCAAGTGCTGTTAGCGAGCACCTATGAAGGCTGCCACGGCACACGAAGGGGTGGGTGGTCAGCAACATGCTCGGCCGCCTTTGTCTCCCCAGCGGCGATGTTGATACACTGCACCAGTCACTCATTTGAGGTTAAGTCAACCTAGGGAAGGCCAGGACCAGTTAAGACAATTGTCACTGGAGTTGGTCATGAGTGGGAATGGAATCCAGGTCGCCCAATTCACCGCTACACTACCGCCCCCCGCACACAGCGACACACAGTGACACACACACAGTGACACACAGCGACACACAGCGACACACAGTAACATACACACAGCGACACAGTGACACAGTGACACACAGTGACACACAGTGACACAGCGACACACAGTGACACACAGTGACACAGCGACAGAGTGACACAAAGACACAGTGACACACACACAGTGACACACAGCGGCACCCAGTCACGCATGACACTCTGCACACCTGCACCGCAGCAGTGCCGCTGCCGCCCATCCGTCTGGATGCCCTTGTCCACCGTGGCCTTCCGCTTGGCTGCAGTCTCCCTCGTCCCCTCCGTCCGCGTCCGCGCCTCAAGGTGACCAGGGCTCTTCGCGCTTGCCTCCGGCGCCTCGGTTGCGGTGGCTTCGCGCTCCTCTCCCCGGGAGCTTTCCTCGGTTTTGTCAGCCGGTCCGTCTCCGCCCGGCCGCGTGGCCGCCGCGGCGCCCTCCCCGTCGTCCGCTTCCATCGCCTGCGTCACGGGAAACCGTCGCCCCGAGCGCGGTGAGTCGCTGGGTGGCATCGGGATCATCAACTCCCACTGGGCCGCGCGGCTGACGGGATGTGCGAAGGATGGCCGTGCCGTTGACGTGGAGGGGCAGGCGTGGGAGGGGAGAAGGCTTCGTGCCTGCAGGGTCAATTGCCCAGCCCCAACATCTCCACCTCTTCTTGCCCCCGGGTGCCCCCTCTCACATGTGACAACCTCTAGCCCCCCCCCCAACTCACAAACCCTTCTCTACCCGCATGCCCCCTCTCCTCTCTCCTGTGCTCTGGGTGGGTAGTTGGGTGGGTGGGTAGTTAAGTAGGTGGGTGGGTAAGTTGGTAGTTGGGTGGGTGGGTAAGTTGGTAGTTGGGTGGGTGGGTAAGTTGGTAGTTGGGTGGGTGGGTAAGTGGGTTGGTTGAAAGGAGGCAACAGCAGCCAGGAGGTGAGGAGCCGGAGCAAACAATTGTTCAAGTTCTGCAGTCCTTTATATATTGAGGTGTTTTGGCCAATTAATGAGTGTTTACATGTGGGACAAAATTTAATCCCCTAGAAAAAACTCACACATGTGAGGGGGAAACACTCTATCCCATAAAGACGGAACACATGGAGCCCAAATCTCTGCTTTACCACCTTCTCCTGGCAGAGCCAGGGAGTTTCCCAACGTTTGTACCATCCACCAACCATCACTGCTGCCTCCACAGCACCAGATCACAGCCAGCCGCGTGCAGCAGTGTAGCCGCCACCGCTGCCACCACCGCGCAGCTGACAGAGCTGTCTTTACATCATCGCCACTACTTGGCTTAATGTGTTTTTTTATTTAATGTTGCTTGTTAAGCGCTTTAGGATGTTTCACATGAAAAGCACGGGATAAATCAAGCTTGTTATCATCATCATCGTTGTTCTTATTGAATGCTGCTCGCAACTATGGGTCAAGTCACTGTGCCCTTGCTCTCTGCCCGCAGCGAATGCCTTCTAAGTCCCTCGGCTACGTCACAGATGAGCGAGTCGCTGGACAAATGCGTGCGTCGCGTCTGGGCACGTCAGCAGGGCCAGTCTCGCTCCCAAAAATGGGTTCCATTAAAATTAAATTCTGCACCAGTTTCAACATTCAGCATCTCATCAGCAGAGTTCAGGCTTGCTTGAACCATTGGTTCAATTTAAGCAAATTCAATTTAAGCAAGAGTTCAGGCTTGCTTGAACCACTGGTTTAACATAAGCAAATTCTGGAGTGATTTCAATATTCGGTGCCTAATCAGCAGAGTTCAGGCTTGCTTTAACCATTGGTTCAAGTAGGTTAACTTCCATCTGTACGGGGTTTTAGTGTCACCCCCTCGTGGCGCGTGGGTTTTCTCCAGCCACTCTGGTGTCCTCTCACGTGCACAACCAACTCAATAATGGAGTTGGCCAAACAGCCTCATATAGGAACGCAGAGCTTGGGCGATTAGTGGCACCGGTTCTGGCTGCCTTCCCACTTGTCTGCGGTTTCCCACACCTCTGAATCATTCTCTTTGTCTTCGTCTCTCTTACTCTCTTTCTGAGACTGAACGAAATCTGCGTGCATTACAAACTTCTTTAGTATTTAAGTTATTTGAGAATAATAAATCCTCTCCTAGATGGCTTTCCATGCCATCATGGTCACGGACGGCTGTTTGACCAAACTTCACCACGTTGATGATATCGCTCACAACTGGGAATAGAAATTAGGTCACCAGGTTCGTATCGCTGTGCGCTAACCGCTGCGCCACCATTCCACGCCACACCGCTCTGTTCCTTTGCATTCGTGAGGCAACAAAACGTCTACTTTTCATAGATGTCCAGTCAGTGCAGGTCTGCGAGTTACAACAACAAACAAAATGAAAACACGACAGGAGCGCAAATTAGAGAAAAGGTAAACTCGTCAAGTAATAAATAAAAATAACGTATACAAGTACAAACTGTATAAGTATATACATCCCTGCCCATTTCTCAACATTAAATGCAAACTTGGGCAAGGACGTGTTTCAATACCCCACGAGGCTGGGACTGCTCCATTCCCCGGCCATGGAGCGATTGCGCTTGGCATGAATTGGGGGACAGAAAGCACGACAAATGGCCACCTGCCCCTGCAACTCTGCACCTGGGTGGTGGGGCCACGGTTAGAGGGAGACGCTTGCCCAATGTTTGGTTGTGAATTCAAATCCCAGCCTGCCGGGGGTCAACTAGGCCCCAATCGTCAGCTCTTTGGGGACAATAAAATGAGTAGCACTCTGCGAGAAGCAGTCATCAAATGGATAGACTTGCCACTGCCATAGCAATGTGAAGTTCCCAACGATGGCACAAGGCTGTTAATGGAATTGGATACCTTCCGATGTTTATTTCAGTAGAATATTTTAATAAAATGTCCACTAAGGCTTCGTGTTTGGGAATAACCAGACACTCATGTACACCATTGTGGCGTGTGATGGGTCAGCAGCTGGGCTCGTTGTGAGAATCCCTGAGTAGATTCTTTTTGAGCAGCAACACGGCCCATCTGTAGCAAATTCACCGCATGAAAGGCTCACTGTACTAATCCAGCAGGCCGCCCTGGTTACTACTGGCGAGTGTATCAACCCTAAAATACGACGCGCTGTCCGCTCACAGCTGAAGTTAAAGATCCCGTGACGTCATTCGAAGTCAGGAGGCCATTGTGTGCCAGCATCGGGGTTCCAATTTGCCAAATGATAAAAATGACACTGCAGAATCACCCAATTGGAATCAAACACACACAGCAACATGGCCCCGGACTCTGAAACGACTGCAGACTGTGAAACACAGCAGCACCTTCACGATGACAGCCTCTCACGATGAAAAACGGCACGAATACCAAACGTACTCCCGCCACGTGCATACCCGGTATGCGTGTGTGCGTACGCACGTTCAACGTTGACTACCTCGTTCGATCCGTTTGTGATTGAGCCTCCAGTGATTTTACATCTGCTCTCCTCAAAGTGATAGCCTGTTGGTGTTCACCTCCCATTTGCAGCCCGCAGCCAATGGTGGAAACTCTGCATTACTATGGCGGGAGGACGGTCTATCCATAGTACAACCACTGTTGATCTTCCCCATAAAGTAGTATATATTTTATCGACCCTGGTAGGAGGGATGATGATGGGATGAGTCAACTCCAAACAGGCAACAAAACATCAACAGGGATTTGAACTCGCGACCTCCTATCTCAAGGCAGCTGGTTCGTAAGTGGAAATGTTCGTAAGTTGGGCTTTCATAAGTTGAGGACTTGTTATGATTCTTAAGTGTGTAATTCAGGGAATGTATTGCAGGTTGCATAACGCGATACTCACCGATGGATCAATGCATCCCCAACATGCCTAGGAATGGAACGTTATCAACTCCCCGTTTTGTGAACGGCAGCCACCCCTACGCAAGACGGCGAGTGTCATTACCTCATGTGCCAAGTTCCTCCCACAAGAAGCCAAACAGTCATCATCGGGAGTGGCCAAACACCCCAATGCATGATACTCCTGGAAAATGGTCCTGAGACTCGGCAAAGTCCTTCTGGTTATATAACTGGCATTGATAATTCCTATTATTAAATAACGGGAGAAACGTTCCTCATGTAATGTCTTGCATTCCACAAGTCAATGGAGTTTTGTGTTGATGTACACCTTTGGGTTGCCTTCTCCACAGTGTCGACCCAACCCGGGCACGTTTCTCAGTCTGCCGAGACCAGAGGTCGGCAACCTGAGCTCTTCAATGACTGCTTCGTGACGTTATTTATTGAGGGCCGTCTCGTATTCACATTGCATTGCAGCTCTTGAAAATTGAGGGGTTTTTTTACCGAAATCTATAAAAATGCCTCTTCTTGTTATATTTTGGTTGCCGACCCCTGACCTCGACCTATCAACGCTGTGCAGTAAACTCAACACTGCTGATGAGTCCCAGCAGCACGTGCCGCTGATGGGATGTGTAAAAAAATACTTTAGTTATTTTTCTGTGAAGAGACAAATCGTGGAAGAAGGCGTTATTTATTTTGATCATCATAATAATCCATTAAAGTGTCATATTACTTTATCCAGGAAAGTCTCTCTGGATCCTCAAGACTCTGCCTTGGGATGGTTTTTCACTCTGATGTTTGGCCAAATACGTTTTAATGAGCGCTTCATTGAAGGGGATTAGAGATGCCTCCTGTTCTTAGAGTTCTGTAGTAATGCCCTAGGGTCGTAGAGCCAGACTAAGGCACTGCGAGGAGATTTAGAGTTGAGAGTCAACGACCGAGGCCAAGATGACGGGATGAGGGAATTCTAAAGTGGGGCAGTGTGCGGATAGAGGCGGAAAGAGAAGTGAGGTGCAGTGTGGTGTGTGGGTGAGAGGGTGAGTGGGTCAGTGAGTGGGTTAGTGAGTGGATAAGTGGATGCTTGTGTAAGTAGTTTAGTGAGTGAGTGAATGTGTGAGTGGATGACTGAGTGAGTTACTTCGTGAGTGAATGAGTGTCTGGGTGGGTGAGTGTTTGACTGAGTGGGTGAGTCTATTGTTGTAGGAAGCGGTGGCAGTGGTTAGCGTGCTACACTATGAACCCGGCCACTCGAGTTCAATTCCCCGTCCATGGACAACACCTGTGACGATTATCTGAGCTAGTCCTCAAATGAGTACCTTGTGCCATGCGTAAACATTGCCACTTGGGGAGACAAAGGCAGCCGGGTTTGGTGCTGACCACCCACCCCCTCGTGTGCCGCGCCAGCCTTCATAGGTGCTCCCTAACAGCACTTGCCCCAATAGTCTGTGTAGGCTATTCAGGGGATCTTTGTCTTTGTGTGTTGTTGTGACCTGCAGTGTGGTGGTTGAACAGCGTGGATAAGAGACGAAAGAGTCACGTCTGGTACAGAGTCCTCAACATAGGTGGAGCAGGAATCAATGAGTGGAGTTCACAGGAATGGTAACCATGGCAGTAGCGGTAGATGAGTGATTAGGAGGTGACTGGCCGCTGGTGAGCGAGCGAACCGGAGAGAATCAACGAACGCTCGATCATTGATCCACCCCGACTGCCACTCCACTGTGATTTCTATCGGGTGCAGCAGCAAGGTAGGAACTAGGTGCTCACCCCCGATGTGGACAGCAGCAGCAGCAGGATTCCAACTTGGGCTGAACTGACGCCTTGTAAATTAGCCAGTAGTGATGATCGTTCTGAGTTAATAAAGTCATTGGCACGGAAAAGAAAACTAGCTTTCTCCGATGCCTCCTTAGCCAGCCGTTATTCGTGGTTTCACTACGGATAGGAAGATCAGCGTTCAATATGATGGGAGAAGCTGTCGCATTGCCACTCCGACGTTACCGTTACCACTGACCGGCCAACAAATTGACTCGTCAAACATTTTAACGCAGGGCCCTCGTGAAATGAGTCACGAGACACTTTGTGCCATTCCTGGGTAAAGGCACCAGTATCGGCTGCAGCTCTACGCGGCTCATCATCCCTCAAGGGTTGATACATTCATGCCAATATTTAGCCAATTCGGTAGTGGCTATGCACGTGGCCTATTATCCAGCGCTGTTGAGGCAGCAAGGGTTGGTGGATCACCGCACTGCAGGAGGTGCCAATACCTGACTTGCCAGGAGAATGCAGCACAGCAAGTGGACTGCCATCTGTCTCGATCGATACGGAGACAGATTGTTGTGTGGGTTTTATCCGGGTGATCCTGTTTCCTCCAACTTGCATAATAAACACCGTCATCTTTAATTGGCTCAAAACATACTAAAATAAAAAGCCAACGCAGGCACCTCTGAACACGAGTGGCTCTCCTGTATAAAGTAAATTACTACACCAAGCGGTTGTCCTCTGGAAAAAACTGAACCCTTCATTGGAATGTGTAATTTCCACCACTGCCTTTGGTCCAATATAATGACAGCAACAAATTATAGCATTGTATTATCTGTGTTGGCAGCCCCGAGTGGTGAAACTGGCACACTTCCATGGCAGGAGCCAGGCTATCCATAGGGGAACCTCGGCCTGCAGTATAATTCCACGCAGAAGCGGATTCCAGCAGAACCAGCCCAGGTCCAAATCTCTCTTCTGGGTTAAAACTCAATTAACCGGGTTCCAGAGTCAGCTAAACGATTCCAGTGGAGATTTAGTAACGAAAGCACCGATTGGCATGCGCCGATGTACAAACCTAACGGCAGCCTTAGTGGCAGCGCGGTACGTTTGCCCTCGTTTCTCAGTTAAGATGTAGAGGCGCAGCCCTGCAATGTCTCGTTTACGCCGCTGCTGGCGGAAGGGGCCTCCGCGAGAGGACGCCCTGGAGTAGTGTTTGGCCAACTCTTCCACGCGGTCCCCGGCGTCTTGGAAACGGTGGGAGCATCCTCACCCTATACCCCGCCACACACGGACTGCCAGTCATCGACATGTCAAATAACAAGGTAAAGTGTTTGTTACTCTAGTAGTGTCTATGCTTGTGGTGAACCGATTTTAAAGTTTATTCATGCGGTTACCGGTTACGCAAAACGACCGAGTCTCATCACCATAACAAAGGCACCCCCCCTACGGACACGGGGATCCGGGCCAGGGTCAAGGGCCGTGCCACAGTGCTGGGTGCTGAGACCGCAGAATATGAATGCCCCTCCAGCTCTCTCCAGCTCTCTAATCACAGCATCCCCCACCACACGTGCCGCCCTCACTCATGGCCACGTGTGGCACAGGAGGATGGCAGATGAATGTAGGTGGAGGAGGATTGGGGGGTGGTGCAAGAGGTGGCTGATGGAAGGATGGCGGAAGAGAATGGGGGAGGGTGTAAGAGGCTTAAGACTGATGGAAGAGGAAAAGAGTTGAGAACAGAGGATGAAGGCGGATGGAGGACAGTGGAGTGGGAGGGTGTACGGCGAGGAAGGGAAGAGAAGGCAGAGGAGGTGGATGATCAAAGATAGCGGATGAGCGATGCGACAAAATAGGCGGGTAGAGAAAGAGGAACATTGATGGGGGCAGACGAAGTGGATGGTGAATGAGGAAGGAAGAAGAGAGGGTGGACAAGGCGAGTTGTTAACGGACGACGCGGGATGTGGAGGAGGAGAGGGATGACGATGATGGAGGAGAGGGATGGATGATGACGATGATGGAGTAGGAGCAGGAGAGGGATGACGATGGAGGAGGAGGAGAGGGAGCGCACCGAGGCGCTGCGCGCACGCGGAGCGCGCCGTTCCATAGGGAGCGGCGCGCGTCGCCTGCCGCCGCCGCCGCCTCCTCCTCCCCTGCAGGCGACTCGCCGAGACACAAAGGAGTACGAGGGGCAGGAGATGGCGACGATGCTGATGGCTGTAACGACGATTAATGTGATGGCGGCTGCGGGGTCCGACCTGCCGGGGACGTCATCCCCGCGGGGGCTGCCCCCCATGGGGGGCAGCCCCCGCGGGAGACGCCGCCCGCCCGCTGCGACAGCCCCGGCCATTTGCCTACGAGAGGCCGCGGCAGTCGTCGCCGGCGCTATGGAGGCCTCCTCCTCCTGCTCGCTTCCTCCCCCTCCTCTCCCCCGCGCTGCTGCGAGGGACTGGCGCGGCGCAGGGCCCGGCCGCCTCCTCCGGGGGCCGCGCCCAGCAGCGCCGACGGGACCCCCCCCACCCCACTCCGTCTCTCGCTCCCCGTCTCTCTCCCCCCGTCTCTTCCGGACTCAAAATCCTCCTCCTCCTCCTCTCTCCACTCCGCGGCCGGGCCCGGCTCAAGCTCATCCATTCCTGCCTCCATCTCCCTCCTCGCCCCCGCGCGCGGCCGCTCAGCCCCCTGCCCCCCCCCCCCCCCGACTCGGTCCCTCTCACCTCCTCTCCCCCCCGCCGCCCGAGTTCGTCTCCGCTGTGGATGCTCCCGGACGCCGCCGCCGCCTGGCACCGGGGAGCAGCTGGGGGCGCCCACTCGGGGTCCCTGGGTCCCAGGACCCCCCCCCCCACCCCGGTCCCGGGCGCCGAGACCCCGGCCCGGGGGTTGCCACCTGTCCGGGTCTGACTCGGGACGGTCCGGGGGGCCGCGCCGAGCCTCTCTGCAGGAGGGGGCCGCGCGGTGTCGGCGGCTGCCGAGCGGAGCGGCTGAGATGCCCGTCCCGCGTTGGTTTACAGTGGGGGGAGAGGCGGCGACCAGACAGCCCCATTCTTACCCGATCCCAAGTTCCCTGGGTCCGCAACCCAAATCCTATAGGCCCAAAAGTCCCCGACCCCTCGAGGTGGCCGGGTCCAACTCTCCCGAGGCACACAACCCCAGTTCACCCACCGCACGCCGTGTAACAGGAGAGGCGGCATCACCGGCATGGCGCAGGGAGATGGTGGCTACTGCGAGCAGCGGCAGGAGGCGGGGGGGTCGAGTACTGCGTGGAGGTGGATGCAGCATTCCCGTGACAAAGTGCGGAACAACTGGGCTCGCTACCTTTCTTCTGCACCAGCACTGGGGTCACCACCCCGGGCGGGTGGCACAAGCCCCGCGTGGAATGATGGCGCAGTGGGCACTGCACGGGCTCGCTCGGGTTGCCACCTGTCCGGTTTTGACCAGGAGAGTTTTGGGATTTGGGTGGCAGCTGATTTATACGGAGATGCGGTACCGGGCTTGCTCTGTTGAGCTTTCTTACAGGAAAAGGTGGCAACCCCCACTTGTGGAGCCAGAGTTTACTCAGGGGTCCAGTGCCCCGAGGGAAAGGCGGGTGGGGGGGGGGGGCACTGAAGTGCGAAGGGGATTAAAGGGTCTGGGACCGTCCATTCATGGGGGTGCGCGCGCCCGTGATGGGGCCAGCGAGACCGCACGCTCCTTCCTCCCCGTCCGCCTGTACCCAACAACACCACCACCAACACCACCAACAACACCACCACACGGACACTCAAACCCCCACGCCGCGCGCCATTGACTCGCGGGCGAAGCCGGCGTGAGTCGCGCCGCGTCCACCACCGCATCATGGCCCCGATAGCTTCTACCCCGTGCGCCCACGGAACTCATCCACCCACAGGGGAGCCCCTTTAGACTCCCCTCCGCGTGGCGTGGCAGCAGGCGGCGACGTGTCCTCGCTCAGCGATGGCGCACAGGCCATGAGCGAGGCACACGCGTGTACACGCACAAGACACGCACAGGACACGCACAGGACACAGCCGCGTATCCCCCTCCCACCATGGCTGGTGCGTTACCCGGGCGCCCCATCATCATCATCGCCGCCGCCGCCGCCCCCCGTCCTCCTCCCCCCCAACCATCGCGGTGAAACACGGCGCTCTCCTGCTGCTGCTGCTGCTCTCTCCACTACGCGCGGTGCCCGTGGAGCGCGCTGAGACGGCCAGAGGCCCCGGGGGCGCGCACCGCGGCCCAGTGGCCGCGGACGGGACCCGCTCTCACCTGCGCCGCGCGTCCCTCAGCTCTCGACTGCCGCGCCGGGAAATCGACCCGAGACTGGCGACCGAACTCAGGATTTGCGAGTGCGGCGTCGCCGACCATCACGCCGCGTGGCGGTGCCCGTGGCGGTGCGTGGGAGCCCGGGGCGAGCGGCTCGCACCCGCCACGGCCACCCGCGCGCTCACCGGGCGGGTGGCCGACGATGGCCGGTCGAGCGCCGCCGTCCTCGCCGCTCGCCGCTCCGCGTACCTCGCGTTGCGCCTCCGCCCGCGATGCGCTTGAAGGGCCCCGGCAGCAGCAGCGGCAGCAGCAGCAGCAGCTGCTACTGTATCCCCCACACCCGCCAGAGCCCAGGGCCAGGCCAACGACCGACAGTCTCCCCCACGGACTCTCCACTCCTCCTCCCTCCTCCTCCACGCACGCACCTCGCACACGGGACAGCCTCGCCCCGCACACGCACCACGCCAGAATGAACGCGCTCTGTGGCTATCCGACAGAGCGCCACTTTGGCGAGACACGGGAGGGCCCCCTTGCTCTCGCTCCGCGCGTGTGTGGAGGAGGATGGGTGCAGGGTGGCGGCGTGGGTGGGTGGGAGCGTGGGTGGGTCTAAAGGGGCTTGGCCGGCGGCTCTGTGCGACGAGAGCCGCATTCGCGAGAGCCGCCGCCTCCGAGAGCCGCCGTCGCCGTCGCGGCCCTCGGCGCTCGGAGCGATCCCGAACCGCGGCGCCTGCGGTCCCCGCGGGCTGCGCGCGGTGAGCGCCGTGCGGGCTGGATGAGGGCGCCATCGCTGGCGCGCTCACGACCCCCACCCCGGGGCGCCGTGCACGACGCGCGGCGCCCCGTGGGGCCGCGCTGCCCGCCCCGGCGAGGGCGCAGTGCGGCGGGGACGGGGGGTCAAGCGCCGCTTCCTCCGCCGCGTTACCTCGTTGCAAGGAAGCAGCTCGCGAGTGCGCGATGGCGCTCGGAGGAGAGGCTGCCGTGTCACTCTGTGAGCGCGTGTCTCCGTCTGGCCGGATTAGTGGGGGGGGGGGGGCGGGCGTGCTCCAGCCGCCGCCGCCGCCGCGTGCGCACGGGGACGCGTCGAGTGGGCGCCGCCGCACGCGCCCCGTGCCCTCGTCGTGTGCGTGTCCTGGGCCTCCCCTCCTAGGTCGCCCCAGCGTCAAGGAATACTTGGCGCGAGGGAGACAAAGGCGGCCGAGTCTTAGTTCTGACCACACGACAACCCTTGATAGGTACCGCCGTGCGGCCTTCGCAGGTGCTCGCTAACAACAACTTGCCCCGGCAGTCTGTAATTATACGGATGTCTTTGTGACTCTCGTTGTGTGTCAGTGTGTGCAGGAGGCTTGTGAAGGACGCTACTGGGTCGTGCCAGGCTACGTGCACTGTGAGCTTACTGGGCAGTTGGATGCAGTCGCCCTCCAGCAACAGCGGAGGGCAGAGGAGCGATAGTGGAGCGCCGGGCGAGTTGGCACAGGAGTGCACCACCGGTGTATCTGCCAGTTGTCTCAGTAAACCCAGGGCACTTGAGTTTGTCCCGTGACCTGCTGCCAGCAGGGCGACTTCCACATTTCACGTGACGGCCTCACGGTACACTGAGCCGCCGAGCACAAGCGCTGTGGTGACATCACGGGAGGGGTGGCACAGTGGTTAGCGCACTACGCTACATACATATAACCCGGCGGTCCAGGTTAGATACCCAACCACGGCTAACAATAGCAAGTCCGGTCGAGAGATGCCTTCCGATTAGCCAACCATGTTTTGTATGCTGATAATCTGGTGATTGCTGCTCACTCAAATAAGGAGTTGGGGACGCTGCTGCTGAACCTGGAGCGTGCTACTAAAAGGTAGGGTCATACCATCAACTCCACCAAAACTAAGGACGTGCCTGGGTATTTTGTCCCATCAAACACTCCACCAGCCCAAACTCCCCATTGGTGATGGGGCAGTAGTGGAGAAAGTGGAGAGTTTTCTCATACCTAGGCAGTGTGCTTATGACCAGCTCCGGTTTGACAGCAGAGGTCTCTGCGAATCGGTCGGGCGACAATATCTTTTCACCGGCTGCGTAACACTGTGTGGAAGCTACCTGGTCTGTTACTCCACACAAATCTTCGGATCATCTCAGCCACGATAATGCCCTCCCTTCTCTATGCTTTTGAAACGTGGATCCCTCTAATGGAACATCTGCGCCAGTTAGACACATTCAGGCTGGCCTGCCTATGATCCATCCTGGGTTTAACCAGGCTGGATTGTGTGAGGAGCTCACAAATCCTCGAACGATCTGGACATATTCCCCTCGGTGAGCTCTTCCAGCAGGCAAGGCTGCATTCGCTGGGTCATGTAGCCCGCATGCCCTGCCACCGCATACCCAAGCTGCTTCTGTTAGGGCCGATCGAGGGGTCTAAACGGGCACGGCATGGGCCGGAGAAGAGATGGAGTAATGCGGTACAGGAAGATGTGGAGCTGAGTGGCCTTGCCCAAGACGGGTACCAGCGGTGTCAAGATCAGCCTCTATGGAGGAGGCTCGTGATAGACGCTACTGAGCAGTTGGAGGCAGTCGCCCTTCTACAACAACGGAGGGGGAAGGAGCCTCGCTACGAGTCCAGATACAATGCAGCAATATG